ACATGTTGGACGGCCGAGTCGTTGTACGCGGCCGTGGAGCTCGTCCAAGCCTGGAAGGGCCTGGAGAGCTCTGAGTCCATTCCGCGGGCGTAAGGAATAACGCAAAAATAACATATTGTTCAGCTTAAAGTATGGCGGCCCGGGGGGCGAGCAAACTGTGAGTGGTCACATTACTTGAAAACAGCAGGCAGGAAGTGTTTTGCAACAGCGGAAAATCTTCAGGTCCAGTCTGACCACCAGACGGTCACACTTCATCTGGCCTGCGGTCAGTGGATGGATATCATCCCTACTGTACGGGGCTGGAGACGCTGCCCGGCGTTCGTCTTTTACCCTTTTTGCACGCTTTTCAAAGTTTACACCTTCTCCTTCCATCGCTTCCTCTGCCTCTCCTGCTACATCTTTCTTCTTTTACAATGACGTCTGATCATGTTTAGTGCCCCCCTTTTACCTTTCACCTCGACCCCTTCCCTCGCAACACCCCTCTCTCTTTCTCGTTCTCTATCTTACCCTCTTTCTCTCTCTGTTTGTGGTCAGTCACACTTAATCTAGCTCCATCCATCTGTTTCTCTTCACTCATTTAGTTCGGGCTGCTTTCGATTAAGATTACATCAGGCTTTGACCTATTAGTGTGCTATGATCCTTTTGAAGTCATGCTGTGGTTACAGGTTAAGCTCAAAGCCCACCAATCTTCATACTCAGACTAACACAGACAGCAATGGGAAAGTAAAGAAGAAAAAAAAAAGAGCATAGGTTTGTAAAAGTTTTCAGCCAGGGACCAAAGTCGTTGTTTTTTTTTTTTCTCTCTCTCTCTCTGGGATCTGGGATCATTAAACGGTATAAGAGTGGTGGTAATATGGACACCCAATAGAGACCCATTTTGGACTCTAACCCATAATCCAACCAACCAAGCTGTGAACTGGAATATATTGTTCATTTAACCCCATATCCTGAGGATTTTTGCGACTTTCTGTTCCCTATTATGGTTCCTGTTTAAAATTGGACTCACAGTTTCCACTAAACATAATCCAGACCACTTTCATAGCTTTAGGAGCCAAATGAGGAACATATTGAGGCCTATCTACTAGCCTAACCCTCCACTTATAAGTCATTTTAATAAAACACTAATACCTTTATTTTAATGATACAAAGACCTATAAAAACCTGCAGATGTGACGTTCTCCCAGATTAAATAATGTTTAAGTTGTGTCCCCTGCTCATTCTCATGATTCACTTCTTACCTGATCTCCACGAAACAGAATTAAACACGAGGCGTTAAAATGATTTACTTTTAAATGAGGCGTATTAGATTGCAGGCTGCACAATCGCACAGTTGTTAAAACCAGTGCCTAGCAGAAAGAAGGTTGTAGGTGTGAATCCTGGCATAAAGTCTTGATGTATGTATGTTTTGGGGGGGGTTTCCCAGGTAGCATGGCTTCATCCCACAGTCTGAAAAAGGGGATGATAAGAACTGGAGAACAAAACATATAAAAATCTCTCTGGAGCCAAACAATTAAAACACAAGACTGTACGGAGTCTTTCAAGACGTTGCATTTTCGTCTTCTTACGATGTAAAACATTTTGAACTGCCTTGTTGCTGATATGTGCAATTAAAATAAACCTTTTTTGAAAAATGCTCTAACAAACACGCAAGTTTCCATGGATACGCTAAATAAAATACATTAGCTATTTAATGTTACTACAACATTATAGCCCACGGCAATAAGTTTAGTTTGCAGATTTGTACAGCAGCGGGTTGATCTAGATTTTCTTCTGGCGAAAAGAGACTATGACATTCATAAAATGGTGATTGTCCAGAATCCTTGCATGCAATCTCCAGTTTTAGTAAGAAGCGCACATTTCACCATTGACATCATGTTGAAACTCTTGAATGTAATTAAATAAAGCTTGCACCGTAAAATACCTGCTCCTATTTTACCTGCATCTCTCCTGTACATAAACAAAATTCTCAAACCCACACAGCCTGTCAGAAAATCCAACTTTTGTAAAATACCTTTTCACTTTTTCACGAATACATTCTCAAAATATCTCTTTCAGAAAAAAATAAGTAATTGAGAGTGACTGCTGTATATTTTGTGACAGGAACGAATCCATTCGTTTGTGCCGCTGACTCACTTGACTTCACCAGGTTGACCATCTTATGTTGAACTTCTGATTCACATCGTGTGCACATATGACACAAAAGTGAGAAAAGACCATCAATATACTACAATCAATAATCACAAGGGACCTATAATAAAAATGCATATATGGTAATTTTCTGAATCCTGGGAGTTTACCTCTCATGACAGAAATTTAACTCTTCTCAAAAAAAATTATATATATATATATATATATATATATATATATATATATATATATATATATATATATATATATATATATATATATATATATCAGTTGAGCTGAAAGTTAATATTTTTATCTTTTACTTGGTTATATTTTGTCTTTATTGCATTTCTCCATTCATTCATGTCACATGGCTTGAGTTGACCAGCAATTAAAGCAGAGGACCTGCTCCATCTGTCAGCCTCCACCTGTAACACCACCAGTTTAGGCGCAGGAAGATAAGAGAACCCAATTGACAAAAAAAGTAAGCAAAAAAAATTTTTCCAGCTAACAATTTAAAATATGGATTAAACTGAGGTCAAATGTCAAAACTGTATATATATATATATATATATATATATATATATATATATATATATATATATATATATATATATATATATATATATATATATATTTTTTTTTTTTTTTAACCCTGTTGTATTTTCTCTTGTTCCACCTGTGAACCTCCACCTTCAACACCAACAGTGATTTTTTTATGCTTTATGTTGAGGTTGATCAGCATTTAGGAGCTTTTACTTTGGAAAGCAGTGAAATCCCATGAAGATGTAAGGTTGCCTGTAGCCTCTACCTGTGAACCCACTAAAGTAAGATTGAGCCTTTTTTGGGTGAACTTAGCTTTAGAAAGCATGTTTTTCCCACCCAAGAGTGAAGGAGCAGAAGGAAGCAAGTAACATCAAGTCTTGGAAAAAGGGGGAAAAAAACAACATAGTTTTACAGAAAACATCAACCATAGACAAAAAGAAGCTACAAAGACCTTTTTGAGTTCTTCCAACTCAGCATATCTTATTTACACCAATCTTGTTTGATTCGGCAAATATGAAGCAGCTGGTTGACTTTTGATACCGACCAGAAACTTTTAGTCATTCCTTCTAAATGATATTGGCACAAATGTTTGACACAAGTTTAGTTAGTTTTGGCCAAATGAAATTTTGACTGGCTAAATTCTGCCAGGTTACTTTATCTGTGCATCCACGGTTTCATTTTCGTGGAGGGCTTGTGTGCAGAGATTGACAGAAAAGTTAAACTGCACATCATCATTACTTCTGGGTCAGAGCTGGGCTAAGTAACCAATTGGCTAAAACTGACATCTATTGGCCAAGCCGCAGCAGGGTAGGATGTTAAAGTCATTTCGACTCATCAGGCTAAGTGGACACAGTTGACTGAAAGGTCTCGAACCTCCACACGTCTGGCTGCGGGTAGCTTTCATGGCCAACAGTTCTCAATTAGAGCAGAGGATAAGAGGACATCTGGGCGGCAGAGTCAACGTCTGTTTGACTTATGTATATTAATGTCCGCCCACAGGCCTGGTTTCATTTCATAAATAAACCTTACACAGAGCTACAAATGTCAGTCACTCTGTTTACAGCGTGGACCGATGCTGAGACGATATCCAACCAGAGGGAGAAGCCCCCGACTTTTACTATGATAATTTCCCTCACTAACTCCTTTACATGAACAGTCAAAGTATTTTTGCATAATAAACTAAAACGAAAACACAAAGCCTTCCAAAAAAGGCAGACGATCCAGTGGGCCCAGGTTTACAGAACCTTAACTTTTCAGCCTTTTTATGATTGAGATTATTTTCTTAATTACTCAAGAATTAAAACCTTGTTTTCCATTCCCATTAGATTATGTAGGCAAAAAAAACAACAAATTTTAACGTACAAAACGTTTATGTACAGTGAGCAATGATGGAACACTTTTATACATACAGTGCAGCAAACTCTTTGCTATTTTCTTTTCTTTGCATTTTGTTTGTTAATCCTTGCTGTGTCTTTTGCACATGACTCAAAGCATGTGCAAAAGATTCACATGCTTTGAGTCATGTTCAAATGTACCTATGTGCAGGTACTATGCACATAGAAAGATGTTTAGTGTCTGCATCTTTCTATGTGCTTCTATAAAAATAGTTCCAGGTCTTTTTGGATCTTAACACATTTTTGGGAGCTTTAGTGCCAAAACAATGAGGAAAATTGTTTTATTTCTCAAATTGCCGTGGCATGATCACACACTGATTCCTAACGTCTAGAAAGTTAGAAATCATGTGTAATAACTGATGCATTGTTGAATGATACTGAATATTACTGAACCATTTTTTTATGCTTTATGTTGAGGTTGATCAGCATTTAGGAGCTTTTACTTTGGAAAGCAGTGAAATCCCATGAAGATGTAAGGTTGCCTGTAGCCTCTACCTGTGAACCCCTAAAGTAAGATTGAGCCTTTTTTGGGTGAACTTAGCTTTAGAAAGCATGTTTTTCCCACCCAAGAGTGAAGGAGCAGAAGAAGACGGAATAAAGGACTGCTACGTAACAAGTGAATCAAACACGTTACTTCAGGTCAATGACATTTGACTTGTAGCACAGACATGCGCCTCTGAAACTGCAGAAGTGATGAGATCACATGGATGTCACAGTTTCTTCTTTTCGCTCATCTTTTGAGACGCATTCAGATGGAGAAGTGGAATAAAAGCAACAGTGGAAATGGGTCAAACAATGACGGACGAGGAGCTGATCGCTCTCAAGCTCACAACCACCCCCTCACCCCCACCCGCCTCACCCCTCCTCCTGTCTTGACAGACGCCAAACACTGAGCTATAAAACCTCCTCACCTCCATCACTGTCAGGGACATAAACATCCCGACGTGTCTGTGTTTATCTGACGGGCTGAGGTGGCTGCAGATACTCTGAGGGTGAGTTCTTGAGATTTAAATCGTCTGGTGACATTTTCTGTGATCAGTGAGTTCTTCGGCTCTCATCTGATTGTTCATTGTGACATAACAGAGCTCGTGTCAGCGGAGATGTTGGTAGGTGTGTTAGTTCTGGGCACCATCCTCACAGCTTTACCAGGTATGAGGCAAATGCTAATATTCCTTACAGTATTGTTTTTTCTTTGCATTTTTAAAACTAGAATCAAATAAGGCACATTGAGCTCACAGATTTCTTTTTTTAGGGGGGGAATTGTTCAGTTACAGATTAGTTTTCAATTTAGGATTTATATTTTTTACATTTAAAGTTTTAAAATCAAGAGGTATATTTTTAAGAGCCATTATGTCCACAGTGTCCTGCAGACAGGTGCCCTTCTCTTTACACTCCGATTTATTTATAAGTATTGATTGTCTTTTGTGCAAGGCAGTCAGCCAGGCCCACAGTCAGCAGCACAGGACGACACCACGGCTGCACATCAAGGAGAACGCTTCCTGCTTAACTTCGAAATGATGCGTTCTGAGATTTCACGTTTGAGATATATTAGAAAAACAATTGGCCATGTACTTGTTGCACGTCATCACACTTTCGCAGTCAAGAGAAGGTAATTCAGGTGAAAACTGTAGAAAATGTGGTGGAATATTTGCTGATTTTTGTGCATTTATACCAGTGGCACGCACAGACAGTTTGGGAAGGAGGCGCGCAGGTGGATAAAAAGTTCACATCATGTAACCGTGATTTTTATTTTAACATATGTATTGGTTTGCTTGAATTTTTTGTGCTTAGACTTTTAAATTAGAGCATTTGTCTCGTAGGTACTCAGAGCAGGTGGAGTGTGTCGTTTTCCAGAAGAGTGATCTGTGTGTGGGCAGGAACTACAGTGACTCTGCCCTGCCGTTATGAATACCCCTCAGGTTGCTCATTTGTTCATTTCTTCAAATGTTTGTGAAAACAAGTAAATGTACTTTGTTGGGGTTTTATGTAACAGTGTATAAAGTAATCTGAAAAGTTTGATTTTTTTTCCCCCCCACTTTACACTAATAGTATGTTGTGTTGGTGCATCTCATAAAGTATCAGTGAACTATTTTGTTGCTACATCTTTAGGATATGTTTAAGTGAACGACAACATTGTGTAAAACTCCACAGGTCACACTGTGAGGCGCGTTATGTGGTTCCGCGTTTCTGTTGAGGGTCGCAGGGAGTTTGCTCACCACACCGACCCAAACCAGATCAGCCCGTCTTACCGCGGGCGCACGCGGTGAGAAGAACTGCAAGTGCTTTTACTGTTACAGTAAAATTACGTTACTGAATTGCTGCCTGGGTTCTAGCTACACCGGGGGAACCTATTCCAGCTGCTCGGTTCAGATTCGGGGCGTGAAGCTGGGCGATGCGGGCCAGTATCACTTCAGGTTTGAGACAGACCAACCGCTGGGGAGATGGACCTCACCTGACACCATCACTCTGGATGTAACAGGTAGGCCAACAGAAACTGAAGCTGCTGAGACGTCTCAGAAAAGTCTCAGCATTTCGTGACGTGTGTTTGTCTCTGTGTTTCACAGACCTCCAGGTTCAGGTGCATCCAGCTCGGCCGAGCAACATGTTTGGATTTGGAGAAACGGTCTTTGTAGGTTGCCAGGCCAGAGGATGTGCCGCCCCAGGGAGAAGCTTGGCACTCTACAGGTAAGTCTGCATGATGTTATTACGAGCAGCCATCTACTGTGACTAGATAGGGGTCAACAGGACATGAAGGAGACACAAAACACATCGTTAAATAATCACTGGGTCAGAATTACTTTTTAAAAGTAGAGGCAAATATAAATTGGTAGCAATAGGTCAATCAATGGGTTTTATCCAGGAAAGAAGATGGAGCAAAAGCAATGAACCAGGAGTACTTTCTGTGAGAAAAACAAAGACAATACATACAGTTAATGTCAGTTCTATCAGTGACTGTGTACAGGAAAGAGGCACAACTAAACCGTGGTAAAGTGTATCTTTGGATGTGAAAAAAAGAGAGAAAAAGGTCAGAGATGGAGAAACAGTCCTTGTAGGTTTCCAGGGAGCACATCCTCTGGCCTGGCAGCACATAAACGACACTTATTTGACAGAACTAAAAGGTATCACCTTTGAGCTAGTTCAGGCCATCCACTACAGCTGCGCTTTCTGCCGAGCTAGCCCAATGCTAACTGGCTAACTAGCCCAAAGTTGCCATTATGTTGGGTTTTCTTTCCATTCCCTACCCCCATCTCTTACCAGCTAATGGAAAGAAATCACAGTTTACCATCAGTTCCATTATCATGTGATGTTTTAGGAACGGATTGAACCTCGGCTCGTATGAGAAAAAGATGATTAATCGCTTTGACCAGCAGCACGCAGGGGCATACACCTGCCGGCCAATCCCACCGCAGAACGTCCAGTCACCATCGATCTCTCTGGCAATGGGCTGTAAGTAATGTCAGCCAAGAAAAACAGAAACTTTTAGGATTTTTTAAGTTTTTCACTGTGGATATGCATCTGGAAGTAATGGACAGGGGATAATATTTCTTATGCTCTTGTTCATAGACGAGGACAAATGTCTTAGAATTTGAAGAAAGCACGAAGCAAAGAATTTAGGCAATAATAATCATGCCCTTCATTTCACATAATAATGTGTGATATATGTGTATGCGTTACAAAGGTTATTCATATTTTGTCATAATTTTGTCCTAAAACATGCTTTTCCCATTGTTTCTCACTACAGACAGTCCTCGCTCCACTTCCATTGCAGTGTTTCCTGAGGGAGAGTTGTCGGAGGGAGGTTCAGTCACTCTGACCTGCAGCAGTGATGCAGCCCCACCTGTTGAAAGCTTCGCATGGTTTAAAGGTAAACAGCAGGGAATGTTGGTCGATGTGGGTCCGTCTAATCCAGTGAGCAGTTGCTGAAAGAAATAGGCCGCTGTGTCACATTGTATTTATAACCGCAAGGAAACTTATTAGGAATTTCCAGAAACTTCAGCTACTCAGAAAAAGTAAAGTATAAAGAAAGAAAGTGCTTCAGTTGCGTATGTTTTGTTTAGATAAATAGGAGTGACAACAAATGTACCACTAATAATCTCAAAGTGAAACAATTACTTCTTAATCCATCCATCCATCCATCCATCCATCCATCCATCCATCCATCCATCCATCCATCCATCCATCCATCATATTTTACCTGGAAGGGATGGTTGCGCTTGATTCTTTGTAAGCCACACACCCGTTGGGTGGAGTTAGGAAAGTCTTTTAAACTGTCAGAATTTCTGGTTTAAAATAATTTTCATCACATTTTTTGTCCACATGTAAATACACATTTTTCTCCTTTCTTTGCAGACATGGAGAGCGGCAGCATTCCAGACAGCTTCCGTCCTCAGCTCCACCTGTCCTACCTAAAGCACACAGACAGAGGAGAGTACTACTGCGTCGCACGCAACTCACTGGGAACAGAGCGCTCCGGATCACTTCTCCTCAACGTCAGCTGTGCGTCTTTTTGCCGTGTCGCGGTCCAAATGTATCAGAGGGAAATAGCAAGAATATTTATAATGAAGTATTCCGCTAACCGGTTATTCAGCAGGACTGCGAAGATTAACATCAGAGGCTTTATTGTTCAACTTTCTGTTTTCTGTTCCTGTTCCTCCCGTGCAGACTCCCCCAAAAACACACATGTGTGGACGAGTCCTCAGAGAGACATCAGAGAGGGCTCGTCTGTAAACCTGAGCTGCAGCAGCCACGCCCACCCGCCTCCCAACAGGTAAAACATCACCTTGAATCATCCCTATACAACGTACTTTACTTTCCCCATTTTTTTTTCAAATGCTGTTTTTGCTTCTTCACCATGTCATGCATTTCGTGTCTTCTTGACCAACCATTTTACATTTCTGTTGATTTGATGATGTCAAAAATCTGTTAAAAGAACCAGGCCCAATGGTCACCATCATCATCATTTTCCTGGTTTCCTCTGCAGGTATGTTTGGTATCGAATCATAGGTGACCAGGTGGTGCCTAAAGGTCACAATCAGAACCTGACCTTTCCTGCAGTGGGGGCTCAACATGCGGGTCAGTACTACTGCATAGCGACAAACCGACTGGGGTCCCAATCCTCTCTTGTTTCTTCACTAACCGTCCTCTGTAAGTACAATACGCACTTTTCTTCTTTTATCAACCTTTTTTTCTCTTTTTTTTAAAAACAAATTAACATTCTTTTGCAAAAGTATTCATACCTGGTGAACTGCTTGAAATCAGACATGTGGCTCTTTGCGACGTTTCGGGTCAGTAATTCATGGAGCGTCCAGCAGGTTCTCTATGCTGGTTGTGGATAAAGTTTCTCTGGGTCAACATGTGGAAGTCCTTACCCACTGAACTGAAACTGAACTCTGACTGAGATCATCTCAGATCAACCTGAAAAAGGAATTTGAGCTTTTTCGTGAAAAAGTATTTAAAAAAATAGATGTAGAATTTAGATGTACAACATGGCAGACACAAACTAAATATTGATTTTTAGATATTTTCAAATGTATCATTTCCATTTTAGTCCCAAGACTATGTGCTACTTTGTGTTAGCTTTACATAAAATACACATCATTTTATGGTTGTAACAAGAGGAGATGTGACTAAATTCGAGGGCTGTTAATACATTTGCGAGACATTTGATCAGTTACTATAACGGTGTAATTACTGGTCTTTGCTTCGCTCTCTGGCTTCACTTGTGTTTGATTTTAAACAAGAACAAAACCAGAAGGATTAGAGCTGCATGTGAACTTCGACTGGTGTTTGCTTCATTTTTATGAAAAAATGATTCACAATAACATCAATCTTCTTTGCTTCCCTCCTTTGTGCAGATCCCCCTAAGAACACCTCAATTCTGGCGCGTCCGTCCAGCGTGGTGGATGCCGGCCGACCTCTGACCCTGACCTGCAGCAGTCAGGCCTACCCAGCCGTGGACAACTTCACGTGGCACCGACTCGCTGTGGATGGTGGCTCTGTACACTGTCAGCTCTGATTTTTAACTTCTTTTTTTTTTTTTTCCTTTGTGGTGAATGTTTGCAGTTACCGTTTGACTTGAATTAAAACTGTAAAGCTTACGCCTTTTTTCTTTCTTCTTTTTCTGTTCTTCGTGAAGCAGCGTGGGTCACCAAGTCTGGGCCCGTCTTCACCTTCTCCGAGGTCGGTCCCGGTGAGAGTGGTCAGTATTACTGCGAGGCCAGAAACCGGATCGGAGCCCACAGCTCCCCGGTCCTGACAGTCAGAGTCAGAGGTACGAATCAGCTTTGATGGATCGTTTTGAATGTTGCCAATTAAAATCTCATTTCTATTCTTATAAGATCTATTTTGTTTGTCAATTCCTCTTTTTATTTTCTAACTATTATGGGCAATCTTTTTCTTTTAATGTAATCTATTAAAATGCAACCAGCTTAGCATTCAGCATTCAAGTGTTGGTTTTGTTAAGTGAGAATGGGAACACTGTGTTTCACTGCAGTGAAACCCACCTGCTACATATTTACAGCCATGTTTCTGATCATCTCAGACGCTGCAGAAGAAGAAGAAGAAGAAGGCCTCTGAGTATTTGTCAGTGTTTATATCACTGAAGGTTTTCAGATATGCTTTCTGTTTGTCTGCGGCGATGAGCGATGAAGCCTCCCTGCCACCGTCGCAGTGGTCCGTCCGGCCTCTGGCTTTCATTGTTTTTCTATGATTCACTGTGAGTCATGTAAACCACTCTCACTATTAAGAGAGGAGGTGATGAGGTGCTGCGGAAAACTGCTATTCGAGTCTAGACAGCTGAAGAAATGGAGCTTTGGAAAGAAGAAGTGGAAATACAAGACTCGAGTCCAGACAGGCGTTTTCTGATGTGCTGATCTTTAGCTCTTCAATCACTTTCCTTTTCTATTTTTATGACTTCTGTTCAGTTTTAGCCTGCTGAACTTCCTGCTTTTGCATTTGGCGACTTCACGTTTCTGTCGTGCTGATGACGTTCACGATGTCGCCGACTGCAGGTCGTTTAAAGGCAATCGCCTTGGCTTCAGCGGTGGGCGTGTCTGCTGGTCTCATCACGCTGACGGTGGCCGTCATGATCAGGTGACTGGAAGTACCTTCGCCCCTGCAGCAGCTGTTGGGGTTTTTTTGTTGTTTTTTTATTTCCTGTTTATTCATCAATCTTGTCACTGACTGTCTCTCTCTCTGCGTTCGCAGCAAGAACATGCACAGAGTAGACACAGAGTCCGTAGACGATGTAAACAAGGTGCAGCTGTCTTTGTCGTTTTTAATCAGTCTAAGAATAATTCAGCATTTTGTGTTTTACTGAAGCTGACAGTAGGAGAAAACATGGGTTTGACGAACGATCCAGGTCACCGCAGTTCAGTCTGGAATGATTTTTCATGATTTGTGATCCTATTTATCTGGTTTACGCTCTGAGGTTTGTGTCTTTCCGTTTGACCCCAGCGTCCAGCGGCGACACCCGACACCGTGCGCTGTGAGTCAGCCGAACAAACCCTCCCTGTCAGAAAAGGCGAGATGTTCGACATCCCGGTGAGCCGCGCTCAACGTCACCAGGGGAACGTTCGCCAGTGAAAGGGAGGAGGAGTTAGATGTTTCTCATGTGCACACAGGAGGAGTCGGAGGATTTAAGTGACACTTCCCACCCCTCCATCGTTCCTCTGATGGACGCTACGCCAATCAAAGAAGTTTCAGGCCGCGGCTCCGCCTCCAACTTCATCACTGTGCATTACTCCAGGATGTCCAGGTAGACACTAACCAAAGCATCCTGTTGTTATTGCACTTAATGTTTTTTTTTTTTTTTTTTTGTCGGGGGGTTTGTTTGTTCTTTTTACAAAAAAGTAAGAGTGATTTTACATTGTGACTGAACATGTGCTCCTGTATTTGGTTACAAGTCACCAGTTATTTTTGTCTTATTTCAAGTATATTAAGATATTTGCACAAGAAATTAGACCAAAAAATACTTAGTAAGGTTTTGTGTTTTTGCAGTGTAAAGAAATGTTTGGGAGCATTACTAATTGTGACACCAGCGATCAAGTTTGTGAAAATGTCTCTTCTCCCACTAATTGAGCGTAATCACAATAAAGCTTGGAGTTTATTCAATTTTAGAACATGGCACTGCGATGTGAAAGCATTTCATGTTCAGGCATTTTGCGCTTCCTGATCAATCGCTGTAGAGGATTTTTCTTAACATTGTCTTTTTGTCTGGAAGATCGGGTTTTTTGTGAACTTACCGATTTGGTGGACCTCATCTGCTTCCTGCAGCCCAGATCAGGTCCAGGTGCACAACATGAGAGGAGAGAGGAAACCGAGGGATTCTTCCAAAGTTGTTTACACTTTACTGCCCCAGCCCAGGCACTAAGCAGGAGGAAACACCTCGTGAGGTACGACTCCTCACAGCACACACTGCAGAAGACAAAACCCTCTTCTCTGATGTTTTTAGCTTTGAGATCGTTTCATCGACATTTCACAAATACAGCAGAAATGGTAAGATTTACGTAACAGTGGAACGAGTTTCCTGAACGATTAAAGTGGCAGAGATATATTTTTTTAATATAAATGCATTCAAATCAGAAAAAAATTACGTTCCGAACACTGTGTTGGTAGGCCTTTTTGCTAGGTCTGAATCATTGAGGCAAAGGTTTCACAAGACCCCTGAAGAAATAAGATGTTAGCAGCCAGTTCTTTCAATCCAATAAGTTTTGAAAGGGAGCATTCATGCATAAGTTGTATGTGCAGCACATCCTGAAGATGCTTGATTGAGAACTCAGAGACCAAGTCAACACCTCATATCAGCCACTTCTCATTGGTTCTTCAAAAGAAGATCTGTTCCAGCAGCACAAGAAAAGTTAAACATATTACAAGAAAGCTGGTGCTTAAGAACTGATTTAGAAATGTTGTGCATAGATTTAGTGAACAATGACTGTATGTGGTTGGTGTTAGTGCTTCGGATCAGATTATTTACTTATGTTGAAGCTGTTTTTACTATGTTGTCTTGATCCAGAATAAAGGAGCTCCAGAGATTTAAACATGCCACCTTCGTAATTTTGATTGGTTGTTGGTCCCCGCACTCTCAAATCGTTACAGTCGGCCATTTTTTATGCTTCTAACTCTTTAAGGACAAAATGTCCACCATCTGCCCTGGGTACCACGAGGAAGAAATGTTCACTTTACCCGCCGTGTTATGTGTGATCAGTGTTCATCCTCCTGATATTCTGTCGCTCCGTTGTCTTTGTCCCACAGAACACCTGCACCGGTCTGGTGTGAAGTACACTTTTTGCTTTCATCACCTGGTGGCGCCAAACGCTTCCTGTATCAGTGGATCTTGTGACACCGTTCCAATTCAGGCAGCTGAGGACGTCTCGGTGAACCCGGCTCCTGAACTCTGCTGCATGTCTTCTCCTCTTTCCTTTCAGTGCATCCCGGAGTGGCATGCTGTCCAATGAAAATGCTTTAAAGTTCTTAAAGGGTAAAACACAAATATTTAAAAAAATGCACCTCACGCTGCCTGGTTTGCACATCTATTTTCTTTCTCCAGTGACATTTTGGCACAAAATGTACATTTGCTATGTCATCTTTTGCGTTCTCAGACCATTTAGGCTGCTGAATGTTTGTATTGTAATTGTCTGTGATAAGACTAATAGTGTAAAATTAGGAATGTTAGTGGAGAAAACCTCAAGAACAAGTCTTGATATTATGTCAACCTTTGGGGTACATTTTGACATTGCAGTGGTTGGGATCTGATCACTTCCTCACTGCGTCTTTGTTGAATGCAGATTATTTTAACTAACTGTGAGATGAAAGGTGAAAACAAGGATAGTGAGGAAATATTAAACTGACGCGACTTCTCACTTTGTTTTTTCTAGTTTACTACTGATTGTGAATTATAATTTGGCTATCAATAAACATAACCTGCTTATCGACTGAATTACTAATTATAACTGTCAATTTGACTTTTTCCACAACACATCTGAGAAATTCCTGCCACTCCGACTCGCTCGAGAATTTGTTGCCACATGGAGGTTTGTGTCCGTCTTACAACATGGATATGAGGTTACAAAATGTGGGGAAATTAAACAGCTACATTACTGCCGTTTTGCAGTGATGTTCTTTGGTTGGTCAAAAATGAATTGAGTAAGCGATCACATGCTTTCTCAACTGCTGTTTCCTCAAATTTTGCCTCGACCTGATCGTTTTACTCAAATTTCATACGGCTCGACGTCAAAACAGATTAAAGAATGTCAATTTCATAAAGTAGAAAAAAATATGAATTTTTGTTTTTATACTTCCTTTATAACTGCAATTTTTAGGACTGAAAAGAAAAAAAAACTATGTATGCGTTACTATATGAATATACAATTGTTTTTTTATTATTACACCAGGAATATCTTAATAGATTTAAACAAGTATAATCACATAAGATTTAATAAATGAAGATCATATGTGAGATGAAAGGTGAAAACAAGGATAGTGAGGAAACACTAAAACTAACTGAACTGAACTGAATAAGCTGTTGAGTTTAAGCACACTAAATAATCTTATATAGAGTTAAGATGGAAAAAAAACTTAAACTAGTGAGAAAAAAGCTCATCTTAAGGCTTTTTTAGGAATCTACATGGATTTCTAATAGCGGCTGTGTGGATCAGTGTCTCCCCCTAGTGGACACAGAATACATAAAGCTGGCATTAGTCAGCCAGCAGGTCAAAAGGGCAGGGAGGGAGACACGTGAGGTTTTGACTTCATCAAATCACAATCTTTACTCTTTTTAAAAAAAAGTAAAAAAAAGTAAAAGAGTCTTTATTGACGTGTCAGAATGAGAGATGCGCTTCATCCCTAATCAATTGTCTGTAAAACTTGAAAAATATTTGAAGTACAAGAGAAAATGAACATACAAATCATACCAAACAGCCCACATTGTTCATATTTTCCACAGTAATATTGACTTTGCGATGTCTTTGGTAGCGGCTCTTTCTCCGTCTTAAGGAATTTAAAGTCTAGTAGTAAAACAGTGCTGAAGCACACGTCCCACTCTGCAGACGGTGCAGCGGGCAGCTGTGGCCTGTCAGCAGATGAGTAGCCATAAACCTTCTAAAAACATGTCCAGTGGCCACATTTTACGTATGTTACATAAACATCTGCGCTGAGAAGAAAAAAGAAGAAAAACAGTGAAAACCAGTAAACCGTGCATGTCTTACTTTGCATAACCGCAGCATTACGCTGCTGGATGCTGAACATTCTGTACTCTGTCTCAAAGCTGTGGTTCAACAAATCAGCTGAATCAGTCGTCTTTCTCCACATCTCAACTCTCTGTGTCTTTTGCCAGTCTATTTTATCGTATGAAGGTGTTTAGCTGAAAGGTAATTGTAACTCAAAGTGTCCCAATATGATAAAAAAAAGGAAGTAGGGGAAGGAAGACGTTCCACTTCTGCTTTCCACTGACCAAAAGAGGAAAGAAAATGCCCCAGCGATGTACAGAGTGAGTTCCTCCTCCTGTCCTCATCCTGTACTCTACAATTTTATGATTTACTGGCTGATTTAAACTATGGGAAGCTGGATTATCGTTATTCTGGGATTAATTCCAGGTAAGACAATATGTTCTGGATTGTTTTTGCCAATGAGTTCACATTAATTGTATGTTACTTGGTTTTGAAAATGTTTTTTTTTTATATATATATAATATCTATATGTACCGAAGGTGTCTGGAGTGGAAGATGGGGAGTGACCTATGAAAACCAGTGTGCTTTAAGAGGGACGTCAGTAGATTTGAAGTGCAAGTACGACTATCCTTTCGGGAATTTGGTCACCAGGGTCGGCTGGTCTAAAGCCCAACTGGGCCCTAACGGATGGACTCAGGTTCCCCTCTCGCAGCTCCCTTCGCCGCCAAACCGTTTTACATACGTCGGTGACTACCGCCGCGACTGCGACCTGAGGATCAATAATGTTCAGCCTTCAGATCAAGGAGCATATTATTTCAACTTTGCCGCGACACTCGGGAGATGGACAAGTGACACATACGCTTTCTTGACCGTGACAGGTAAATAACGCAAGAACACATAAACGTATGTCCAAGACTTTGAAGTGACTGGTGTTTCTCTGTCGCTGTGACAGAGCTGACCGCGGTGGTGGAGCCGAGCGTTGCCAGGGAGGGGGACGCCGTCAAGCTGACCTGCAAGTCAGGCTGTCCCGAAACCAAGACGATCAACTGGTTCAAAGATGGGCGACTTGTTCGGAGGCCACAGTTCCAGGCCAGCAGAGAGGATGCTGGGAGCTACTACTGCGCCGTCCAGGGAGAGGAGGCGGTCCGCTCGGCCTCAGTTGCTCTGAATGTTCACTGTGAGTACATGAAGGATGTTAAACATTAAATGTGTCAACTTGACAGCACGTCTCGCAGACCCAGTTTCACAGTATAGTGTGTGTCCCAATTATTCCTGCTCTTTTGAGTCAAAAAAATGTTTCAGTGCTTCCCCTTAACTCCCTGAGTCATGACTTCCTTCTTGTACAAACACAACTGACTCATTGATGGCCATCTTCTTGCTTACTCCCAGACAGAATAGTACTTATTTTAATACTATTACCTTATATTAATAAGGTAATTTGAGAGGACAACATGTAACAAATATGAGAAACGCCTCTATTCATAACCTCACATCAGCACCAAGAATTGTTCTGTGTTGTTAATTGTAAAATGATCAATGAGTTTATTGCTTAATTTGTTGTATTTTATGGAATTCTTAGAACAATATTTGGTCGACTGCAGTTATTAGAACTAAAATAATTATTGAAGATTAAACCTTACAAACAATTTGTTTTGTTTTTGTTTTTTGGGGTTTTTGTTGGTTTTTTTTTTGCTAAATCTTCCCTTGAAAAATAAGGCGTTAAATTAGAACACCACTTTTATTCTTGGCATCCTAGTAAAGATGTACTAATGATGTTAGAGACATCACTAGAGACATCCCTAAGAAATTTATTTTATTGTTTATTTAACTTTTACAAACTTGATGGAGATTTACAGGAATATTAAATTAAAAACATGACTTCCTGCTGATCTGGCAAATCAATATGCATATTTAGACCCGTCTCTCTAAGCCACTTTTCAAAATGAAGACAATTGGAGAAACTACAGTTCACTAAAAGACAGATACTCGTTTCATCTTGCGAATCTCATGTAATCAAAGAAAACCTTTGATCAGGACCATCTGAAGTCTTTGCACTTGTCAGACCAAACTTCCTGCTCTTCTGTAAACCAGATGCTCCTTCAGACGTAACGCTGTCAGTGAGTCCATCTGCAGACATCGTCAGAGGAAGCCTGGTTACCTTGACCTGCAGCGGCAGGGCCAACCCTCCAGTGGCTCGGAGCGGATATCGTCTCTACAAGGACGCAGAGTATGTGAGTTCGGGGCAGGACCATGTCATCTCGGACGTCCAGCCCAGACACAGGGGACGGTACCACTGCCAAGCCTGGAACAACCTCAGCAGGAGTGGCAGCGACCTGATCAACTCATCGGCGGTGTACCTCAATGTCCAGTGTGAGTAGACGGATGACTGGGGCGGTTAAACAGACTTTGTGTTACTTGGGACGACCTGATGAGGATTATTTGGTCTAAATTTGTGAGTTTGCTCACAATCAACTCGCTCACCACTGGATTTCAGTGGCGTATCCATTCCTCTTGACATTGACAGATGTTTTTCTCCCAATAAAAGTTTCAGCAGGACCTACAGATAGCGTCTTCAATAAGCTAACCGACTGACTCCTATGGGGAACATTTTTATGCAGAGGATTTTCTGAAGTGAAACATCAGCAGGTTTCCTGTCATTGATATTGAGCTAGAACATGTGGTTTCAGTTCATCATGTCCATGCAAAAACCTATAGAAAAAGTTCTGCTTTTTAAACTTTTCTTAGAGTTTCTGCAGCTGTGTCCCTCACAGAGGGAGCAGAAACAGAAGAACTGCTGCAGCAAAAACAGTCTCTCTTCCATTGTGAATAATATTTTAAAGGCACTCAGATTGTGTTCAGGCCAGGGATCCAGCTCTGCCAGCCCTGAAAAACTATAGAAGAGCATTTTGCTAATATTATTTTTTGGATTACTCTTTTTCTCTCCAGATCAGCCGATGAATGTTTCAGTTTCAGTGAATCCAGAGCACATTGTTGGAGGCAGCGGCGTCAATCTAACCTGCATTAGCAATGCTAACCCTGTGGCAGACAACTACACCTGGTACAAAAGGACAGAACCGACCGGCTCCCATTCCCTGGTCCAAGTGGGTTCAGGACAAGTGCTGTCCCTTCCCTCCATGCAGTCGTCCCACAGCGGCCTCTATGTCTGCTATGTGAGGAACCGCATTGGAGAGGGCAACTCAACCGAGGTGGTCCTGGCCATGGCAGCAGGGCAGCCTGGTTTGTGGCATTCCTCACTCACTGCTGCTAACTATTAACTTTATTACAACCTAAAATGACTTTGTTTGCTTCGCAGGCAGCCAGTCCCTTCCCCTCTTAGCTGGAATTGGACTATTTCTTTTTGCGGCCTTTTTTGCCATGCTGCTTTTGTTCTGGTGAGTCATCAAACAATTAGTTTGGGCGACTAATTTGAGTCATGCGGTCATTACTGTTGGCCAACTTACAGCTTGTATGACTTCATTGTCTGGAAATCTCCTTTTCTGCTTGGGACATTGCCTTCCGACAAATTTCAACACACAACATAACTTCGTAGCATGCATGCATCATTTGAATTTCTATTTCTGACAACCAGCTTCTAGCCACAGCAGGCAAAAGGTCACTCGAAGTGCCTTGCAAAAGTATTGATTCACCTTGAACTTCTTGATTTGTGGTAATGTAAAAACCACAGCCACGCGCAAGTTGTTCTAAAAATCAGGAAGGGATGTGCAAAGCTGTTAGACATGTGTCCTGCATCTGGAAAAACACAAATCAGAACTTTAAAACAAACAAACAAAACATCTGTTTCACTCTATGAAAACATAACCTGATAATTCAGATGAATGAAAAAAAAAATGTTTTACAAAACTGTATTTCTTGTACTGATTCCACATATCACCTACAAGCAGTAAAACAACTATTTTTATGTGATCTGAGTGTCGACTAGTACTCGATGTATTTACCAATATTGCGTTATCAGTTAAAAAGACGGCATAAAATAAAGCAAAAGTAAGGAACACGCTGTTCAGTAAGGTTAAAAATGAACTTCCTTTGTTGTTTTTCCAGGAGGAAACAGAAGTCTGAGGCGGGTAAAAAAGTGAGTGCATCTACAATAAGCTGTGAAATAACATCTAAGCTTTCTGAATTCAAAGAAGCGAGCTGTGGCTTGCTCTTTTTTTCTCAAATAAAATTTTATGTGGCATTTTTGGAAAAAAAATTGAATTAGAATTTTAAAAAGGAAAAACAAAAGACTTTTCTCTGGTTTGTCCATCAGACTCATTTAGTCTCACGACTCCATGGAGGAGCATCAAACACTGCAGAACCGACAGGAACAGTTTATTCCAACATTCACATGCCTCCATGTCCTCCTCCAGCTTCACGCGGGACAAATGTAAATATGTTTGCATGAGTTTAAAAATAAATATATCCAATAGTGATCTGACTGAGATCGCTGCATTTGTTTGTTTTTAGACTCCCAAATCTTCTGAGGCTGAGATTATCTACACCACAGTGACGATCAAACCCAGAGACCGGAGCGCAGCACAGCACAAAAACTCCCGGTAGGTTTATATGTGCAACAGTACGTTTCCATCACGAAACAAATAATTCGCAATAAAATACACCCATAGACAAACTCTATCTGCACAGCAACAATAACGATATCAGCAGGTCTTAATCAGGGTTGATTGAGGGTCATGACCTTTCCTCAGGTCTAAAGGCGGAGAAGAAGAAAGCTCTGTGATTTACGCCTCGGTCGTCAAATCCAGCAGACGATTCGTCTCCTGACATCTTCATTTTAAAATACATACTCAACACGTTTTGGGAGAAAGAGACATTAAAAGCTAAATAATTCAGAATGTTAGTAAAATATAGTTTTTATTTATTTCTTTTGATATTAAATTTTGCAATAAAAAAATTGTTGCTTTTATTAAAACTCTAATGTGATTGTTACATTTTTTATGTCGCTTTTGGGCAGCACGACCCACATAATGTCTGTATTCTGCACAACTGTCAATATTGTATCTGAAAATAAATATTTATTGTGATTTTGACTCATTTTTGTCAGAAAACATTCAATGTAGCAATGTGTTTATAAAATTTGAACAATTTTCAGTGAAAGAAAAGAAAACTACATTCTGCCTTCATCAGTCTCAGAAAACATTTTATTATTTTTGATCAAAAACCATTTATATTTACAACCTGCTCTCAGCACACACACACTGATAATCCCACTGTTTGTTGTATATTTGGTTATGTCATTTTTATTTCTGAAAAGTATAAAACATTATATTAATGCATTATTTGGTAAATGAAACGCAAAGAGGAACAATATTATCTTGCTAAAAATATTTGTTTTGTTTATGGTTCAAGTTTAACATGACAGTTCTGGGAATATCAGTTCACATACAAACAAACACATGCCAGTATATTACAGTCACAATTCAAAAAAAAATTATTAGAGAAAGGTTTTATGAAATGGGAATTTAATTATTATTGCACAGATCTGTCAGCATCCTTTTTCCTTTCATCTTGCAATTATTCTCTGTTATGTCAGTCACATAAGGCTCCATTGAAATACTTTGACGTTTGTATGTATATCATGCCAAAAAGTGAGAAAGTTCAATAATTTGAACAAAGAAACTGACTAATATTTACAACAATACACTGATTGATTGGCGGGTTTTAAGTGGATTTAAAGTGTAAGGCACATACTGAATGTTATGTGGAAATATTATAAAAGATAAAAGAGCAGGTGCGTATTACATGCGTGAAAGAAAACTAACATTTCCATTGCAAGGCAACATCATAAAATAATTAGGCATTTCTTAAATCTTTAGGCATTTGGTTGTCTGCATTGATTTGTTAGCTTATATGTAGTGTTGAGGTGGACTTAGCATTTCTACAATGTGCACTGTGAGTGGTGTGTCCAGCACTGAAGACAGAGATTCATATAAAGAGTTGATAAAATCTCTCTTTTTTAAAAAAAAATCAAGTTTTCTTCCAGAATAGCTCTGATTGATTGACTTTCATGGAAGTTCATATGTCCAGTTATCCATACTTCAAGTCCAAAGTCTACTTCACAGATATGAGAGAAAAATAAACTCAACAGGTTTCTCAAAAGTAGAATTCAGTTTAGTAACACTATTTGTGTCTTTATAACAACTGGTTAAACTAGGTTCCTATCAGAAGACCTTCAGTGAAGCATACGGCTCAGGAAGTGAGGAATGTTTCCTTCAGAATAAATGTCTGAAGCCATGATAAAAGGGGAAGGTCACAGTTTTTCACTTCCCGGTCACGGGGTCACAGTATCAGCGACGTAAAATGTCCGTATTGTCATCCAAAAATAGAAAGGTGGATGCAGGGGTCTCATGGTCGAGCCAATTTATGAACACCTGGCGAGTTGTGATAGTTCTGCAGAAAGATGAGAGCAGAAGGTTTGTTTACAAGCTAAATGAACTTTCTGGTGTGCTGGTGTGAAAAAGCTCAAATGAATCTGTCGCTGGTTGCACTGAAGTTAGGATTAAACTGATTAATGTTTTTAGAAATTAGAAGAAACGTGTAACACTAAATAATTATTAGCATGTCAGATCCTGGTTTAGGTGCATTTGTGCCTAGAAGTGTACAGATAAGGCATGACTCTTACCCTCATGGCTGTGGATATCCACGGCAGAAACCTGGAAACTCTGGTGTAGACGCCTGGTTTTTTAGCCATGGCGCAGCCTGTTCCCCAACTCACCACTCCGAGCAGGCGATAGCGGCTGCTCTTAGACAGATCGTCAGCAGCCACAAAAGGACCTCCGCTGTCCCCCTAATGCCACAAATAATTACAGTCAAATAATCACATTAAAAAAAATCCAAAGTTGTCGACACGTTTGAGTTTATGAACCCATTGATGTCCGACCTGGCAGGCATCGATGCCTCCTTTCTCATAGCCAGCACAGAACATGCTGGTGGTGATCTGGTTGTCGTAGTAATCAGGAGCGTTACACACAGCATCACTGATGATGGGGACGTTTGCTTCCTGGAGAACGTCTGCCAGGTGACCTGTGGGGAAAAAAAAAAAAAGAATGGCAAGAAAATGAAAAAAAAATTGAATAATGTAACACTTAACTAAAAAAAGAAAAAATAAATTAAAATCTCAAAATATGTTAAGCGTTTAGACCCACCGTAGTATCCAACGTTTCCCCATCCTGTCACGGTTCCCATCTGTCCGTCTACCAGTCGTTGTCCGTACGCTGGCAGACAGACAGGCTGGATGTGCTCTGCAAACATGGACAAATAATGCATTATTGCAGGTTAAATGATCGTTTCCCTCATCTTTTATGTTCAATTCTTGTTTTTGTTACATCCCCTAAAAGTTTTTATTTTACTTCAGAGCATTTACTAAAATTAAAAAATAATTTCACAACAGGTCTATATTTAGCAAGGCTAGTTGTCATCCTACCCATAGTTTTATACTGAAACTAAAAACCAAACAGAACAAACTGAGTAAAAAGATGGATTGAGATCTCTTTACCTTTCATAAATCTTTTTTATTTACATATTTTGGAATATTAAATTTCAGTTCATTCCAGTTTATCTATGATGCACCAATTCAAAACAAGGCTTACGAGAAACACCCAGACCATCACTGTCTTAAGATTCAAATATTGATTTTGTAGTTTTCCACTTTGAACACTAGATGTCAGTCATGTCCCACTGAAAAAAGGGGTTGGTTTTCTACCCTGTACTGCAACAGTGCACACTGTACTCTCAAAGTAACTACACTAATTAGTCAGAAAAACGGTTGTTTTGACAATCTTTGCAGTGTTGACAGGTTAAAAAAGGTGTTAATCATTACAGACATCAACATGTTAAAAGAACATTGCTTGTTTCCTTTTACAATGCCTTACCACTGAAAGTAAGTGGCTGTGCGAGGGCCAACACGGCGATGTCTCTGCTGTTGTCATCAACATTGGCATCTACAAAGGGCAGGTAGCTACTGTGGTAAACGATGGTCTTCACCTCGACCACGTTAGCATTGACAGGTTTGTTGTAGATGGAGCCCAGCAGCACGCGCCATCGATTAATAAAACGATTCCGCCTTGGAAAAATAGAAAAACGTTTTCTTTTAAGCTCTTCGAAACAGACACATTAACTAAGCACATTTAAAATATCTACAAATTGTTTGTGAAACATTGTTTCACCATTTCCTAAAACACAAGATGTCCAACTGAGCAATAATTGCCTCACTTACTCTGGGAAGCAGTGAGCCGCAGAAACAACCCAGCGATTCGAGATGATGGATCCTCCACACTGGTGAATGCCGTCGTACTGTAAGCTGACCTGCCACGGCCAGCTGCCCTGCCTGGCATCCACACCCCCGACTATACGGTCCGCCGCAAAACTACGCCTGCCACAGTCTGCGAAGGAGAGAGACAGGAGGGACGAAAATAAATTCAACTTTTAGAGATAAAAAGTTTTCTCAGAAATGAGAAAGGTGTCTAAAAGAATAAGGTCAAAAAGAACCAGAATCCACAAAAACTTGGTATTCTGTTAGCGGTGTAGCGTGGCAGCCCTTGAATTGTGCCAGTGTGCCACACAGAGTGAGTCCAGGCCTGACCTCTCACCTTGGCATAACACTGTAAGAACTTCCCGGCTCTCACAGGCACTGAAACAAAGACAACCAGAGTTAAAGACTGCAGGACACTCAAAAACCTCTAAGCATCTCTCATAAATGTTAAGAGACCAAATTCATAAAAACACACAAGAGAACCACAGAGAGGGCACTGAAGGAGACAGATCAGGAGATAAACCAGCGGTGTGAGTTACCATGGGTACAATGAGTCTTTCATTTTCTTCCCATAGCTCAGCTCTTCCTGTCTGACACAGAAGAACTCTCCAACGTCACCACTGGCTTCAGGCACCGATACGACCGAGTAGTTCACCACGCTGAAACAGACACTAACCATGAGTGATGTCTTCTAATTTTTAATTACAACAAAATGCATTGGGAGAAAACTTTTTTTGAAGCAGGATTTGGGCCCTTTATTGAAAAACACGCAGAGGGATCAATCAGTCGTAAAGCCAGCAAATTAAATCCCCTTTATATTCATAAAACCAGAGCAAAAATAAATAAAAAAACATGACTTGATAACAATGATCTCACCTGACAAATCCAACTTCCTCACAACTGATGCTAGCAAGAAGCTCATTGGCTGACGAGGAACACACCTGGCGCCACCTCCTCTGAGCAGAGTCAAACACTCTGAGACGCTGGTCAGGTGAATTTACCTGAACTGCAGGGAGACAAATGACTTCAGAGATACTTCTTATTGTTCTGTGGTATTTTCTAAATAAATTAATTAATATCCAGATGCAATAGCTTCCCTGTGAACAATAATACAACATTTGACGGCATACTTATGTTTGTGACTTAGCATAACACTTTACATAAACTGTGATAAGTTGATTAATTCTGATAAATGTTCATATCTTATCCAACTTACCATCATACAGTCCTGTGTCCTCCTCCATAGTGCAGAACGTAACTACAGAAACACAATAAGCAACAACAGCAGGTCAGGACGTTCGGGTTGGGAATCAGGTGAAAGCATCAAGAAATATCAAAAGCAGCTGATTATTGTCGTCACATGCTTGGAGAAATGTGTGATATGATTATGTATGAAAGCAACGTAGTCTGACCTACGGCCCAGACTGCAGCGCTGATGGCTCCGATGGTCATGAGTGTTGCACAGACGCCCATCAACCTCCAGGGGGTCAACACACAGGTCAGAGAGATGCCTCTGTTCCCTACACACACACACACACACACACACACCAACACACACACACACCACACACACACACACACACACACACACACACACACAATGGACATATAACTTAGTTCTGATGATGATGGGCCATGGACTTCACAGAATGCGGGTCCAGTTGAATCAACACATAACTCTTTTGTTTCTCACTGCCTGACATCAAGTCAGATTAAATGTTTTCAGTTTCGGGTCAGTTTTAATTAAACAATTTGTACAACATTTATGAGAGAGGTCATTTTTGGGGAATTTTTCTTCAAAATCAGCAGCTTACACGCATTTCTGTGGTACTTGCCAGGATTAAACTGCATGAATTGAGTGACCTGGTCAGAAACACATCTTTGACCAAATCCTAGAGAAACAACTGGAATAAACGAGTCCACCGTGGTCACGCATACGTTTTCTGCTCTTCCCACACGTTTTCTGGAGTCTCTTCATTTTGTAAAAGAAGAGATGTAAAAGTTGTCATTATGGTCAAACAATTCTGTTGTAGTTTCCTCAAATCACTTGAATTGTCTCCAAAATTGTCTCTGTCCCTGAAAGCATTTCCAATAAATAACCTTATTTTTCATGCTTCATTTGAAACAATGTTTTATTCCTCTACAAATGACCTTCTGGCCCATGCAGATACAAAACTTGTTTTGCTGATTAAAATGACACTAATCAGCTTCAGCCAGCATCTTTTGCTTTTGTTCTGGAATCACATATTTTCTATCCAAACACTCTCAACCAGAACCCGACTCCTTCCTGTACAGGATGGCTGAACATGCCCCTGCTGTTCATATGTCTAATATATTTAAACATCTAGAAATTATACCAAAGGATGAATGATACAGTGCAGTTTCACATCCTGATATCGTGACAGATTCATGAAAGTTTCTTTACAATGTCTCTGAAGGAATCTCTGTGTTTGGACGGATGTATGTGGATGTGTTAGAGGCAGCACTTCAATTAAAAGAGATTTTATTGATTCAGAGCCATGACATTGTGCTCTGGGATTTCTCTAATCTAATTATTCAGGCATTAGTGAAAAAAATAATAACTTCTGTAATCTTAGAATATTTCTTATTCAAATCTTAATTGCCATATTGGTGGCTAATCTTTACCAATAGGGTTGAAAATTACACTTTCAGTGAAGTTGTACACAGACTTAATTCTCCTGTTGAAGTAAGTTTAGTCTGAATAGTTTTATTTTCTGTATCGAGGTCAAAGTGCATTTATTCCGAGAGACTGGTTTACTTTGTACTTCTGGAAAAATGAACAAAAAGGTCAGAGCAATGTTTAATTTAGACAAAACAATTTTTGGACTCCAAGCAGCCGTGATGGCTGCCCCGGTGTGAAGAGGCAGACAGTTCATGTGCTGGCACGAAGTGAAGAGTACAGATCTGATCAATAGTCTAAAGTCTAGCATTTACCCACAAAGCAAGAACAAACTCCTAAAACTAGGATATAGTGCCATGTCTGTCCCACCTCTGTACCCATGCTGTTCTCATCAGGCCCATTTTAGCTCATTATTAGCGATGAAAATATTTTCAGTTGAATTTTACATTTCAGTGATCAGGTTGGTCTGAATTTCACATTTTATGTTCCAAAATTGAATAAATCTTTTATCCCTCTGACTTCATTTGGGGCTAAATTGAATTTTCTAAATTGAAGTGTGCACACACACTTTCCCACACAAAAGTTTTTGATGTTCTATTGAATTTTTATATAAAATTTGAGTCTCCAGGACATGCTGTTTGTCTTTCAACACAGGTCAGCTGCTATCACTTTCCCACCTTACACCACATCCCATTTACACAGACCAGCGGCCAGTATCGTTATGAAGGTTAGAGCAACAGAGCAGTCAATAGCCGGGGCCTCGGGCAACACCTCCAAACACAGATGGACATTAAATCACATCACGCAGCCTGACCGCTTTTTTCAGCATCGCCACAGCTTTCTGCTCTCTCATCGTCTGGAAAGGATGGAGGAAGGAAATGTAGCTTCTTTGTGTTTCTTTAAACATTTAACAATCATCGTTTTACTCTTCTAATTATTATTTTTGGCTCTGGGAACCTCTGGAGACGATGGTGCAAAGAGGTATTCTTTATAAATTCATAAACAACCTCCTATTTCATGCAATAACAGTGTCTTCAGTCAGAGGCTTCTTCAGAACTGCTTTAAAACAGGCTGCTACAGCAGATCCTTGCAGCCTAAAGCAACTCTTTTAATAAACTTATAAAATATGAGTTAAAAAAACATTTAGCATATGTTTTATTTTAAGTTGAATTCATTGTTTAACTATTCTCAGTCGGTTGACGCTTTAGATGGAAATAAGGTCTGTCTTGTGAGATATTCAGCACACTTACAGTTGATGCTAAGCAAGTTCACTTTTGTTTAACAAAAGCTTTGTTTTCTTAGTTCTTTCTGTTTCATCTCTTTCCTAATCTTTCAACTTTCAGTCTGGATTCTAACAGCTCCATCACAAGGAATCCTCAGTAGTAACTTATTACCCTTAATAAATGGTAAGAACAAAATGAAAAGTAACTTCTGTGGTGAACATGCAAGATATCTGAAAAGAGTTTAAACAGTTCCTGATTGTTTCCACCTGACTGAGCAAATGTTGTTACAAGAAGAAGCTCAGATTGATTCACATCTAAATCCATATATACAAATCAGGGTGAGATGAACACATAAATCGCAGATTACAGCCGATATATCTAATATCCGTCTTCCGGATATGAAGAAACTAAAGCTAAAAAGATGAATTAAAATAAGTTACTATATCAAGACAAGTATGAGGAGAGAAATTCACAGAGTTTCAAATGTACACTTTCAAAATGAGAGAACAAAAGCACAAAAACAGTTTTACATAACTGGAGGAAAACATATAGGTTATGATTTTTTTATTATTATTTAAAGACCTGCAGCCAGACTAAAAGCCTAAATGCTCTCCTTTTGAAAAAAACAACAACACTGAATTATAGAAGAACAGCAAAGACAGAATCTCTCTAAACCCTGAATTGTTAATTTAAGAAATTGCACCAAGTGGCCCTCACTTGTTTGCAAATATCTATGATTTTAGTATTTAATGAAAGTAATCATTGTTCTTCAGATCAAGCCATTTCATTGGACAATCAGGTTTATTCAGTAATGTAGGAAACAGAAAAATGAAATCAGCATCTCCATAAAGTTTGTTGTGAGACAGAAAAATTAAATAATTGAACCTTTTTTGTAGACAGTTGTGCTGACTTTGCATTTTCAAATTACTTTCAAGTGAAAAGAGGATGTTGGACCACTGAGCCGTCGTAGCATCGTCTCTGGTTCAGGAGGCAACAAGTGCAATACAAGAGCTGTATGTAGAATAGGTAGGATCAGATATAAAACAAAATTTGATCAATAATAGTGACTCACGGCTCAGATTATCAGCAGGACGTCGTTCCTCGGCCTGACTGGAAATAACACAACCTTTCCTCCACACCGGCATATTTATTCTAAACAGAAGAGGAAAGCCTGCCTCGAATCAAAATGTCAATTTTTCTATCTGGCCTGCTTTTTTCTCTCACACGACACAATTTCCAATAACACAAAACAATCTATATTTTTTGTCTACCTCTACCTGAGATGATGTGTGTTAGAAAATATGAACCCACTGGTACAATCACGCCTTCAAACAAGGAATGTGATTTTAGTGTTACATGTAGAGTGTGAAATCAAAGTCAAATTAAAGAGAAACATACTAAAAGACTGGATTATGAGGTAAAACAAGAGCATAGATTTAATAATTTTTTGACAAAAACATTAAATTAACAAATATTGCCACCATTTCAACAAGATGTTAAAAACAAGGTGTCATGAGCAGATATTGTTCTACATCAGTTCTGAAAAGTTACTATGGCACTCTATATTTAATTGCTATAATTATAGTTGTATCACTGCAGCAGTGAATATAATTAGATTAATATAAGTCACATAATTTCCTGATTAAGTGGAAATTGGAAAAATTCTAAAATTCAGACACGTCTCAAACTTCACCTTAAACAATCAGCTGAACAAATGATTACAGAAAGTGAAACAGATGCCGGTTTAATATCACATAACCCTCACATCACTACTGATACACTTTAACAACATCATTCTAACTTACTCCAATAAGAAATATATGGTGATTTGTCTAATTTTTCAGCTCTCTTCACAACTCGTATCAATTCAGAAATTAATCTAGGATGAATAATCCCAGATATTTACTAAAGCTATTATCGCATGTTTACTTATTAAAAAGCATAAGTATTCATTTCAGAGGAGCTCTTATTGGCCAATTAGGCTTTTATGTTGCGATTACAAAATCCTAATCAAACACAGACTTTGTTCCTAAGAACCAAATATTTTTTTAATGTAGGTAAAATATTTCACTCACTCAGTAACACAATCTTAAACGATTATAGGTGTTAGTTGTGAAAAGCTGTGCTGCATTGCAAATCTGATGCTAATTACAACTCACTGCTCTTTACTAACTAGATTAAAACATTCACTCTAGCAGATTTTAAAGCCAGTGTAAAAAGGAAAGAAGGAAATATTTCCATAAAAGTTTTTCAAAGAGTTTGCAACTTAATCCCTTGTAAATACTCCCCAGGCTTTCAGCTGGGTGTGGAAAGGTGGGATCCATCAAAGACCCACCACTGACACTCACAAATGTACAACAGAGTTAAGAACAGACTCTGTGAGTCATTCCTGCAGTCGTCAAGGAACAAAAGTAAAAATAAAAAACAACCATGTGGATGAGTGGTACTGCTCATGTCTGGGTTTCCCTGATTGCTCACACCCACGTGGTAAATAACTATGTCTCAAAAGATATAAACACAGATTGTCTCTAAAAATAAATAGCAATCCTTTTGATTTTAGCCCAGAACAAACAAAAATAAGCCAGGCGGTGCGTGCCACTCCTAAACGAGGCTGTTTTTCCTCTAATTACACGCAACATGATTCACTCTGGGTGGACGCCCCTCAGTCAGGCAACTAAGCATGTCGTTTCAAGGGCTCAGACCATTTGATGGCAAGCAATAGCAGAAGGAAAGAAGGAAAGGAAAATGAAGACAACTTCATTTCATTACGGATTAAAAGGTAAGCTGATTTATGTACATTTTATGGTTGCATGTAGCAAAAAATAGCTAACAAAGGTGTAAGTATCTCACTTATTCATACAGTCAGTTCTGGTTTTCAGTGCAACAAAAGTTTGATAAACATTTTTCTGTTAAAATCTGTTTAATAATTTCAGTTCATACAAACATGTACAAATGTGCTTCCTGTACATACAGAGGTCTCACTTCAATAATAGCCATTTATAAGAGTGAGTCTTAGTAAAACTAAAGCAGATTTTTGTTTCCTCCTCTGTCTTCCTTTGGGCTACAATGATGCTAGTAGCACTTGATGGAGATTATGAAGCAAATCATGTTATTTATTATACAAGATGGCCAACAGAGCAAAAACATTGTCATTTTCTTACATGGAAATCACAAATCTGTCAAGCACAACTGAACTTTGATAAATAAGCCAATGTAAAGGTTATTTAAAACTTTAATTGATTCTTTATTAAGTTGGTATCAGTTTGATTATTCAGTACATCCTCGAAGGCGGTCGAAGTCAAGCAACCTAGTCAGACATCCGCTGTATCAGCACAGCTGGCTGATTGTGAGTCTGTCTGGATAATTTTTAAGATAACATCATTAATGCCACAAAACAAAAGACCCAAAATCCAAAAGATCAATCTGTTCATAGTGAAGCTGAGGTTCACTGGCAGGCTGCAGATGATATGGAAGAACCAAAACACCTGGCAGCATCAACCAACATAACTTCACAAAGAAACATGGCGGCTGCCTGGCTGGAAACAACAGCATCAATTATAAGAACGACGTTGTGTAACGTTTTCATTTTGAATAGATTCAAATTGCTAAAGTTTGCTAAAACAGGCAGTTTATGCCTGACAAAAGAAAAGCTCACAGTGATCTGACATTGTTTTGCTTCAGGTAAAAAAAGTCTGAACTAACTCTTTAAGACTTGAAGCACAATCTTTGTAAAACTGTTTAGTCTAACTCAAAAGTATTTCAATTTAAAAGATTAACGAGTCACTCAGGTAAAGTGCACGGCTTCTATGTTTGCATACATGTTATTGTTAAGAGTATCATTAGTTGCTGTATTAGTAGAAATGTTTTTCTGTCATTTCAGACAGGCAGAAATTAGTTCCCTCACTAACAAACACAAATTATGTTGAGTGAAGAAATTACAGTCTGATCCAGCATGTGTTTCTCTGAGCAGAGTAGATACTGTTAGCTGCTTTAGAAATTAGTTTTTTAATGTTTTATTGTAAAGTCTTGAAGTTGTTTCCCAGTTCATCGTTTTTAGGTCTGCTAACCTCTTCAGGCATAAAGCACAAGGAATACTTGCGTTGTGTCCTTCTCAATGTACTAAAGAAACAAAGTAAAATCAGGAAGTCGTCCTTGGACAGCTACATGTTGCTAAATACAACTATATTGGTTATGTCTGATTGCTGACATACCTGTACTTTACTTTTACTCACTTCTGTTTGCATTTGTGGTGAAACCTCGAAGGCCTCCTTCTTTCGATGACCATTCAAAGACCCACAGTGGCCAAATACATCTTTAATGTTAAGTTATAAGCACTGGTGTCACATAAACATTAGCTTGGAAAGTTGAAAGCAGAAAAGAAAAATTAAACACAGATTACCAGAATGAGCCCAGTAGGAGGCACGTTCTATTCTTTCACAATGTTATCTTCATATTTCCTAAAATTGAAGTTCAGTCATGTGGTCTGAAAGTTTTTATGGTATATTTAATAGAGCATGTCATTCTTTTCCTAAATACGAGTACTGATATTAACAAGTGTTAATATATATTTGCTGTGATCATTATTATTATGGATCCAACATCTATTTGGACTAAAGAGATGACTAAATGAAGCAAATATTACAACTAGTCCAAGTATATGCTGACCCAGCTGAAAAACAAACGTCATAAAAAAAAATTCAGGGAACATCAAAAAGACAGCAAAGCAGTTTTGAACAGGCTGGTTAATCGTTAACCTTAAGGTGGACTGATGTCTGGACACAAATACAGAAAACAGGCTGCATGGGCAGCAGCATTGCACAGCATTTTGATCTGTGCATCTGCGTGTGTAGCTTTGGGTGTGTGCGTGTGTGTGTGTGTGTGTGTGTGTGTGTGTGTGTGTGTGTGTGTGTGTGTGTGTGTGTGTGTGTGTGTGTGTGTGTGTTTCAGGTATTTTGTTGGGAGAATGGAACGAAAACAAGCGTGTATTTAACCAGGCCACTCACCCATCTTCCCCTCTGTCACAACTTTCTCAGCGTACATCTGAATTCAGGAGGAAGCAGAAGGCAGCAGCAGACAATGATGAGGTAGTTCCCCCTTCCTCTCCTCTCTCAGCAACTACACTGGGCAGGTGGTCTGAACTTTTGGCAGTCCCCTTTTAGCAACAACCAGGGTCCTTACAAAGTAGAAGGATAAATCACAAAACATTAAATCAATAAATATTTACTGAATATATACATAAACAGACAAAGGATTAAGTGGGAGCTTTCATTTTTTGCTACATTGTTTACATTTTTTTCTGATGTAGAGTGAAATTTTATTTCAAAATCTATTTTGATGTGTATTTCAAATCATAAAACATAACTGTGTCCACATTCCACTCATCTGCCATCTATCACCTGCAATGATGGTAAATTAGCTCAAATGAACAGGAACAATTCAGGAACCACTAAGACTCAAGCCTGTCAGAAACAACAAGATGTTGTAACCCAATGTTGCTGCATGCAGCCAATCATGATGGAAAGAAATATTCTTGCAGGAACTGAGGTGAGATTTTTTAAAACTGTCCGGCATGGTGGTGGTAGCGTCACGCCGAGGGTCTGTTTTGCTACCAGTGTAACTACTGGACTGCAAAAAGTTGATAGAAACATTAACCAGATTAATTTTCTTCTAATCCTTCAACTTCATCTTAAATGAACATGCTGGTGGTGGAAACTTGATAACATGTTTGAGTGTTTCCAAGATCAACTATCCCGAGAACATATAAAACACATTTTAACACGAATAAAGAGAGCAACACTATCCATCTGGATCACATCACCCCTACTGAATATGTATGAACTATAACTAAAAGCAGTAAGGACTTAAACATGCAACCACAGCTACACTTGTTGATGGCTTCAGAAACCATATGGCCTGTTTGTAATTTGCCAATGGACTTCTATCTAAGTATTATTGGGGATGTAAGTATTTCACTAAATAATAAAATATAATAACCACTGAACAGATATTGATGGTGATTTAGTTCCATGTTAATAAGCACTAAGGAAATACAAATACATTGTCCACAGGAGGAGAACGTATGTGTGAATGTATGAGTATTACGTTTCAAAGCAGTTGCTTTCACTCATAATTTCTATTAAGTTTGTTTTAATTGGGGGATTAGCTTAATTAGACCAGAATTAGCTTAGTGACTTCATTGATAAGTAACTAAGTGGTACATGCTTTTTAAATCCAGTTCAGCGTTTTTCCTCAAGGTGACTCACCTGTACTCTCCTTAACAACAGGTGCAATTTTGTTGTCGTTTTTCTCTTTTGAAGTAAAACTAAATTGTGCTTTGGAAGTCCGGTTTAATAAAAAAACAAAAAAGGTTTTTAAAAAAATTATTTAAAAGAAAAAAAAAGTTTACCCCCCCGACTAACTCCGCTAAAGCCCCGCTGTCGGTAAATCCGTGTTTTTCAATGAATCCTCCTTGTTCTTCTCTTCACAGGTTACTGACCCCGGAGGAAAAAAGTGAAGCAACGCTTCCTACCAAAGTTTCTCCCGCGTGCATCAACCAAAGCCACCGGCGCGCGCTTCCAGCTGTAAGGAGAACAACATTTGAAGGTCACAAAAAACGAGGTTTTTGCCGGATGAGGTTCGTCGCTCCTTCGTGTCTCTGCGGTCTGCTCCTTCTTTCTGTGGGCGCTCAGCGGCGCGCGAGCGGGCTACGAGTGACGTCAACGTTCCTGAGTGGACAAAGTGGGCACGAGCTCTCCCTCTGAAGTGACCGCGTGGACTCCCCGTCCCACCTGAAAACATTTAACCAATTAGGCACATTTTAATGGTGACTGTCAGCAAATATCAGGTAGTTTTGACTTGGTCGATTCAACAGGTGCGCTGCCTCACACACAAGCAGACACGCGGGCTCTGCGAGAGGAAGAAAACCTAACTTATTTGGATCTGGTAATTTCTTTGTAATGACACGAAAGCACTGACATTAGCCAAGTTCCTGTTTGGAGACAGAGAAAATAAAGGGGAAGTTGAAGAGGCAGGCCCACCTCGTTTTGAGACAGAGAGCAGTGAAAAACAAACGACAAAACTGAGGTTAGTGCAGGTGCACTTTAAAGGGGGGTGAGCAGAAAACCACAGCGGGAGGAGAACCGAAAAGTGAAGTCATGGCGCATCATCAACAAAGCTGCTGCTTTCTCATCATTCTGTGCGCAAGAGGTAAAAACATTGCTAATGTACTCCAGCATTATTATCACAAGACAAAGTCGGTGAGACTGTTGCAGTTCGATGACTAACTCCTGACTTATCATTTATAGTAATGTAACACCTATTGTTTCTTTTGCAGGTATTCTGGGTGGTGATTGGTCAGTTCTTCTCCCCTCCAGTCCCATTTGTGCTGTGGTTGGTTCTTCAGTGGTTCTCCCCTGTTCCTATGACTACCCACTCGGCTCTGATGAAGCCCAGACAGATGGGCGGCTCTCCGCACAGGTGATAAAGGAGGCATTGTTTCTTGTAGCAGCAGAGATCACTTTCTGTGTGACCTTTCTGCGGTCAGAATAAGTAGATATCGCCATGCCGTGGTTGCTGACAAAACTGACAAAACAAATTGTCCTCATAAGCTTCCTGGTAATATTTAGTGTGGATATATCTGGAGCATAATCTGCTGCTCTTTATTAGACAGGAAGCAGTGAAAGAAACGTTATGTCTGAGATGTGGTGCCTGAGAGACAGTCGCTGCGTTACGGAACGGTACAGCACTACTCATCACAGAAAAACAATATGTCACAGGGTTTTCTGCAAAGACACACTCTCTAAGTTTGCGTGTCCGTATGTCTGTGTCAGCTATGTGTTCCACAGTGCCGGCATTTTCCAGGAGCCATCTTATCAGAACCGGGTGCAGTACCTGGGACAACTAGGCAGCAAGAACTGCTCTCTGAGGATTTCTAATCTCAAAGAGTCAGACAGTGGAACATATGTGTTTTACCTCATCACCAACCATAAGACGCAGAAGATGCCTCCACAGACTGGCGTGCAGCTCTTAGTGTCAGGTGGGCATATTCACTCCATTCTGTAAGATGCATGACAAACACAGTTTCATATTATTGCAAGACAGTTTCATCCACCTGTTTCCTCCTTTTTCTAATCTTTTAAGACTTTTAATTTGTTCTTACAGTGGCTGTAGTTTAACATAGGTCTATTGGTGAGTCTCACTGTTAGCGAACAATTTGGTTTGCCACAAAACTGATGCTGTAAAAAAATAACAACAAAAACAATTGTTGTTGCTTTATATCTAAAATGTATGCAAAGCAGAACATTGGTATGCATTTTTGTGTTGACATGTAACCGTTTCCCTTTTTGAAAGCAGAACTGAAACCTGCCAGTGGCTGCTTGACATAATAATCACTAAATATAAACCCATGGCATTGCATTACTTCAAAAAGAAAAAACAGCCAAAAATAAATTTTACAATGTTTTTTTATTCAGAATACTTTGGCAAAACTTGTGAAGCCATAGGATTTAGGGCAGGTTTTAAAACTGAAATTATCTCCTGACACAAAATGAGTCAGCTGATGGTGGGAAGAACTGTTTTCTGCTTTTGTCTTTCTTAACCACACATTAGACATTCCTGTCTAACTACATGTAAAAACAAATATACATGTAGGTAACAGCTTTGTGGCTTCCTCGTGTCTAATTGTTTTGTCTCCTCATTTGTTGGATTATAAACCTCAAGCAACATTTTTAGTCTGTATTTCTTTGGTGGAACCTAATCTTTGTTTTGCGATGTGTAAAATGCAAGTCATCGCCCAAGCTCTGAATTATAAGCAATTAATTTAGCGAAACTTCTCATTTATTCCAGAGTAGTAACTAATATGTGATCAAAATACATAAATGCTTCTTAAAAGATTTATTTCTCAAAAAACAGTAAATAGAACAATAAACATCTTAAGTGATGATATTGTCCTTCATTGTTTACAATAAAGTCAAAATTAATTAAATTTACTGGATACTTTCTGTGTCATATAGGTAAGCTCCTGAAACATGAGGTTCTTTATTTAGGTTCCTTTTCCCTCCCTTTTTGTCACTGCAGGTTCTTCCACTGCAGTTGCGGTCTCTGCAGGTCCGTCCCATGTCGTCCTGGAGGGGACAGCCTTGAACCTGGCCTGTTGCAGCCCAGCTGCCACTTCGCAAAGCCGCTTCACATGGTTCAGTACCAAAGGTGACAGGTTGGAAGGTGTCGGACCAGTGTGGAGTACCCACAAAGTTACATTGGGTCAATCTGGCAGCTACTACTGCCAAATGCAGACTGGAGACAAAACGCAACGCTCAAATGTTCTGGAAATCGATGTGCAATGTACGTGGAATGTAACTCTGAAACCAATCTACATCATCTTTAATTATACTGAAAAGATGTTGAAAGATACGTCTGCATCTGTCCACTAGCTGATTCACTTTTCATATTCTTTAAATCTTGTAGTATTTGAAGTTAATGACTTTTGATGCCAACCTCCTGTAGACCCGCCTAGAAATGCAATCATCTCCACCTGGGGAGCAGAGAAGGATCATCCTGTGACTCTGACCTGCAGCAGTGAGGCCAACCCACTGGTCCGCACCTACGTCTGGTACCAGGGTGCAGCATGTCTCCCAGCAGTAGACTTAAGCTTTCATCGAGGAACATCCACCCAGTCTACATTAACAGGAAGAGTCTCAAAACTCACCAGTGCCAACATCACCACAAAGGACAATGGACAGCACTGCTGTGTGGCACGCAACAGACATGGCTATCAGATAGCCAGCGTGACTCTGACCAGTTCCAGAGGTAAGTCAATGCAGAGCCTTGAGATCACATTTAAGGGATGTGTTTTTAAGTCAGGGGTGTCAAACTCCGGTCCTCGAGGGCCACTGTCCTGCAGTTTTTCGATGTGCCACAGGTACAAAACAGAGGAATGAAATGGCTTAATTACCTCCTCCTTGTGTAGATAAGTTCTCCAGAGCCCTGCTAATGGCCTAATTATTCTATTCAGGTGTGGTGCAGCAGAGGCACATCTAAAAGTTACAGGACACCGGCCCTCGAGGACTGGATGTTGACATCCCTGTTTTAAGTTCTCTGTTATGAGTACAGGATTCAGAGTATAGAATCCTTAAAAATGTGTTTTGCTAGGTTGAAACATAGCAGTGTTTACAATACATCTCAAAAGTACTTATTATATTGAAAATATATATTTCCATATATTTTAGTGAGATCTCATGTGGCCGATTAACACAAAGTGCAGTATATTTGTGACATAAAAATGGTTTTGATGCTTTTTGCAAACATAAATCTTAGAAATGATGAAACATTTTGACACCCTGTTCTTATTGGGTTATACAGAGTTAGCAGCATCATGCTATGGAGGTGCTTTTCTTCAGGAAAGCTAATCAGATGGAGCGATCTGTTAGATGACTTGGGCAGAGATTGAGCCTTCAGCAGGATAATGATCCTAAACATACAACCAGAGCTGCACTGGAGTAGTTTAGATAGAGTGAGAGTGGCCTAGTCAAAGTCCAGAGCTAAATCTAAGTGATAAGCTGTGGCAAAATTTGGAAACTCATGTCCTATTTATACAATCCTGTAGGCTTTTACTTTCATTGGAGAGAAGAATAACGTTCAATTTCAGTCTCAAGTTGGAGGGACGTGATCTTAAAAGACTGCAGCTGCAGTGTACGATGTTTCTGTAAACTGTTCACTTTTGGGGCTGATTGAAAAAAGCATGTCACTCTTTTCAGATTTTTATTTGTAAAATCTATCATTCTACTTCCACTTCACAATTATCCACCATTTTGTTGGTCTATTTCTTAAGATTCTCAATAAAATATCAAATTTTATTCTTGTATAATGTGACAAAACATTAGAGCTTCAGATGGTATGGATATTTTGCACATATGCACTGAGTTTTCTGTAATCTTCTGCTCTTTGCAGAGACACATCTGTCCGACTCTTCAGCGAGTACAATGGTGGTGATTGGAGTAACTATTGGCGTCCTTGTGGCTATTGCTGCAGTAGCTGCCTGTTTGATGACGAGGTGAGTGAGGCCTTTGCTCCTTTCATAATCAACAATTCATATTTTCAAGATGGGAACTGCTGCTTCCAATAAGCATCAGACATAACACAGTCATATTTATAGGCGATGTGCTTGTCGTTCTTGTCTTGATGAAAAGAAACAAATAATCTTTTGTAAAGGTGTGGCGTAGATGACCAAAAGAGTTGCAGGGTTTTATGTGCATAAACAATCTATTAGCTTAAAGAAAAGAAAAGTTACACTTCTGCTACGAATCTGTGTTTGTTCTGCTTTCAGAAAAAAGAAGTCCGCCAGACGACAGTCATATGTCCTGACTGGGACAACTGGGACAGAGTGAAAGAACCGCTTTGATTATGTGTGCCAACACACATGTTGGGTAATGCAGTAACACGATGTTGAGGCCCAGTGGATGCATGAGATGTCGGGTCATCTTACCCTGTAAACCCCCCATGTCCATACGGTTACACAATGCAACCTATTTTGAGATTTTTTTTAAACAAAAAGGACCAGATTTTCCTAACCTTGGTCCCCAAAGTGCACTGCCCAGCTCGTTTTAGAAGTGTCTCAGCTTTTAAAACACCTGATTCAGATCATTACCGTCCAACAACAGGCCTCTCAATGATATCCCTCTACAGAGGGCTAAAAGTGCCACAATTCCACCCAAAAAATGAAGACGTAAATGCAATTGGGAGATTTAAACAGAGCTTAAAATAGATATTATATTGAACAAATATACATATTTTACCCAGTCCAAGTGTTATCCCTTCTCAGTCTTTACATGAAGTAGATGAAGTAGGTCACTGTAAATAATTGTTAAATTGTCCTTTTAATTCTTAAAGTTTACTGACCTGGCATTTATCTGTATATTTTAATGAAATTAGATTTCCACATCTAATCACTTATTTTGAAAATAAACAGTGCAGCATATTTATTTACATGGGTTGTTTTTTTACATATCTGTATATTTAGATTTTTACATGAATAGATATTTCTTTTACAATTTTTTCATGTTTTGTATTTAGGCTGTTTTGGCCCATCATAAATATCTACTTGAAGGTGCAAATTGTCTGTGTTTGGAATTACTGCTGGTTTAGCATGTTGATATTTGAGTTCAACATGCCAAATATGAACACGGCATGTATGCCCAATCGTACTTGTAGAAAATTAATTTAAGTCTTGTTTCTAGTCTAGTATCTCCAGTCGCTGCCAGACAGGTAAAATATACCATCTCATATAATAAAATATTTGTCATAGTATCCTTCAAACCTTTACTGTGTTCTACATTTAAATTAACCTAGCATTTTAAACATTACTTCATGGCTAAAGACATTTAAAGTCAAAAGTTATATAATTATGTAAATATAAGTGTGCAGGTGCCTGTCTCTGATTGGTTCCCGGAAGCTGCAGACGCAGACTTCCTGCTGTCCATCCTCTGCTCATCTCAACCGGCCGCACTGTTTGTCACTATGTAAAAACTATGCGAAGTTTTGGAGTTTGTAGGAGTGAGCAGGTCACTGCAGTTTAGTGTTCATGGTTACTCAGACTTACGTAAAAGCAGGATAAAGGGTAATGGAGGAGGATGTGCCATTAAATAAAATTTATTCAGCTCCAAATAACATCAGACTTAGAACTTATTGCTATAGAAAACTGGACAAACAATGGGAATATTACAATAATAAATTATTACAAACAATAAGAAAAGTTAAAACTTGATACAATCCTAGAACACTGGAGGTGGAAAGTAGTTTGGTGTGGGGACTTCAATGCACATAGCACTTCATGGGGAGATAAAGGTGATTATAATGGAGGAATTTTAGAAGAGATGATTGAAGAAAAAGAATTGTTTGTCCAATATCGTCCTCTGGTGGTCAGAAATTAAAATACAGGTCACCAGGTGTGTTTTGGCAGGTGTTGCACCAGTTCAGTCTAAATAAGACCTGGTTCCAAGTGAATTTCATCGATAAAATGAATTTGTTTTTTATTGTTCATATGTTGGCACCTAACAATTTCAAATGAAAGTCACAGATCCAGCATGAACCGATGTTCATTGACCTTTGATGACCTCTAGAAACATTTCTTTATATCTTTAAAATGACAGCAGCACAAACGTCATTCATTGCTGCACAAACCAGCAAAAACGTAGCACAAACATTTGATACCACTTTTATCTGATCTGATGAAGGCTGGCGGAGGGGAGTTGTTGTTCTTTCATCCAAAAATCACATTTTCATAGTCATTGCTGGTATTCTGAGGAATAAAGAAGACTAGATTAGGTGTCACGTAACTCTGGTATCATTTTCTGCTTTCTTTGTTGTTTTTTTTGTTCAAAAACCTGTTCCTCTACTCACCTCTTCATTCTTTGCATCAGAACAAGACCGACGCTTCCTTTAACAAGAAAACAAGAAGCTTCTATGAAGAGAGTTTATTTCCTGGTGCTCCGATTCAGCAAAGCAACCAGAACCAACTCAGAATGATGTTCTGCGTTACCTACCAGACCCAGATTAGAATCGGTGGCAGCACAAGCAGAATAATCACCTTAATTCCAATTCCAAGGACAATTAAAGGATGGACTGGGGGGAAAAAAGGGGAATAAACCATTAGAAATAATTAAAATCAGCCACACATGTTTTTAAACAAACCCCCAATATCTTGAAGCGTTGAAGTTCAAATGAACATGAATGAATTGAAGCTTTAAGAAAACGAGTTCTTCCGTTCCTCCAGGATTCCTACCTGTTTCTTCCACCGCCAGCAGCAGCTCAGCTGAACGGCTCTCGCCCGCACGGTTCTGGGCCTGGCAGATATACGTCCCAGAGTGGGTCAGCTCGACGGAGGAAATACTCAACACCTGCCCCGAGCCCACCTGGAGCTCGGTGCTGGAGTTGGAGACGTCGCTGCTGTACCACCAGGTGTAAGTGATTGCAGCCGGGCTGCCAGAACCTCTGCAGGTCAAAGTCACGTTGCTGCCGACCAGCAGAGGGCCAGAGCGCTTCACCTCAACGGATACGTTCAGCGGAGGATCTGGAGAAAAAAAAAAACAACCACGGTTCCAGTAAAAATAGGTTGATAGTACGTACACAATGTCATCCAGAAGTAGCCGTGCTATTTGAATTTTTCTTCAACATTTCAACAGTAAGCCTCATTTTATTTGAGTATTTTCTGTGACAGACGTTCACAAAGCAGCAGATGGTTGAAGTTTGAGGAAAGTGAAAAACTTTCACCCCATCTGCAGATTTCTTTAAAGCCTCCAACAGGTTTTATTCCAGGATTGTCCAGTTTTCACTTCACCCATTTTCTGATCAACTCTTACCAGCTTCCAAAATATCCCCACAGCATCCTGCTGCCACTACCATGCTGCAGCATGGCTAAGGTGTGTTCGGGGTCACGTACAGTATAAACATCTTTTTAATATTTATATTTTTAATAACACTGAGGTTTGTAATTATTACGTTACAACATGCAAAGCCAAATACAATACACACGAGCAGAATACAATGCACATAAGCAGAATATTAGTGATTAATATCAAATTCATTCATTTTGCCTTGGTATCATTACAGAACTTACACCAAACATCCAGAGCCACAGGATCTGATTGTGAGGTTGTTACCCCCTCAAAAGCACATGAATAGTTTCCGGTATCTGTGGTCTGAGCCTGAAACGTTGGTTCTGCCACCGGGCGTCCGTCTCTGAACCAGGTTATGTTGCCGATTTGGCACTTTGTCCGACAGTCCAGGGTCACGCTGTCTCCGAGTCTCACTCTGTCGGGGCGGACTCTGGCTTCCAGCCCTGGAGATCAAGCAAAGGAAAAAAAAAAACAATAATTCAACCTGAAAACAGAAATCTGAGAGCGTAAATCTGTTTTACCTGTGACAGAGAGACTCACTGACGTCTTACTGCGCCGTCCAAACATATCTGTGTCAAACCAGAAGAAGTAATGTCCAGTGTCGTTCTCCTGCAGGTCGCGCAAAACCAGGCTGCAGTTGTGTGCGTGATCACCCCGATACTCAAATCGACCGTCGTATGACGGAAGGTCTGAAAGCCTGACGCGTTTCAAGACGCCATTCTGAATCATCCCTCTGTGCCATGCGGTCTCTCTGACGGATTCCTTGTCTGGGTATCTGTACGAACACCTGAACTCCACCGAAGACCCCCTCAAAGCACAAACGTCGGCGTCCTCAAAGGTCACCGACCAGGCAGCACTCACTTTCTCTGCTGATGAAAACACAAAATAAAACTTGTGACGGCCGTTTTTAAATCATTTATTATGAGGCCGTGGGGAAAGGAAACTTAATTGACTTGATGATTCAGCAGAACAGCCTTCAACAGTAATCATGTATGAAGTCACAGCTCTTGGCATGGCTTCCCTGGACTCTTTTGTGAGCAGTAAATGAAGCAGTTAGCAGCAGGTTTTGCTAGTTTCGCTCTTAAACTCCACGAATGCATGGCGGGAAATAAACAAAGCGAAAAGAAAACCACTTCCGGCCTTACAAGTCAAGATTTGTGCTTGGAGTTCATTTCGCTTGCTTGCGAAATGTTCACTCTGAGCCAAAAGTCATTTAAATAAACATAATGCTAATTTAACCCTTTCATGCATTAATGATTCTTTGTGTCAGGATTTTTTTTTCCTTTTTTTTCTGATTTTCTTATGGCATTAAAAAAGATAAGAAGAATAAAATTTCTTTTAAAAAAAATGTTTTTTTATTTTATGTTTTTTTTCAGGTGGTCAATTGTAATTTTCTCTCAATAAAAAAATCCACAAGCACAAGAAAATGGCTTTTAGATAGCTTTTCACATGCGTAGTGACCACTATGCATGAAAGGGTAAACATGACATACATAGCATTGCATGTGGGTACACTTTACACAGGAAGTGCATTTAAATAGTAATAATAAAAAAAATGTCACGTCATCAAAACCAGGGGGCAGATATGTGTGATGATACATTTGCAAAAAGGAGAAAAACTACATTTTCAAGGTGTTTCTAAGCCAACAGTGAAACTTTGACAGAAACGACGAAGAGCTCCCATCATCGTGGAAACGCTGAACCGTTGCAATAGAAAGCAGCAGCTCATGTTGAGGCTCAAACAGAAAACGCAGTTCCTCTTCGGTCTGTGTTTCCTGGCATTGGTGCTTGATTTACAGACTGCATTCAACACATTTAACCTGGAGTCAATGTTTTGAACAAATTCTTGGTCCAAGCTCAAAAATGAGGTTTGCAGTTCTTGCAAATGTGAAAGATTTCCAAATATAGAACAATGCATTTCATATTTAGAATAACTGTATATTTACTTACCCTGCTGCAGCAGAAGAAGAATCACCACTTGTATCATGTTCTACACGAATAAGGAACTGAGTTGATAGTTCATTTGTCAAAGCAAACTGTGGCGATCGAGGCCCAACCCAAGGCTGCACAGGACCTCTAGTCAAAAAACCCAGTTTTGAAGAAGTCTGAGGTAGAAGTATGCTACAAACAAGATCAGTAAGCATTATGTAAATCAGCCAGGGTGGGAAGGGAGCAGTTTGCTTGTCCCTGATCATATGATGAGTTTGAACTAGAATCTGACACTTAAGATGAAATTGGAAAATAAAGAATGAAGATCAGTGAGTGTCCTCAGCGATAGTCGAAGAGCGGATAGAGATAAAATGGGGGCTGCTGATGTTTTTAGGGTGGTGGAGATTCTCAAGTCTCTGGTTAAAAAAAAACTAAACAAAAGAAGAACAACCAGGTGAACTTGAGTTTTGTTGCAATCTTCAGTTCCTAAAACAAATTCCCTTCATTATTTTTCCTCGTGTGGTGTATGGGACGTAATCTTCTCTGTCGATGGCATAGCAGGACCTTGAACGCTGGAGGTTTCAGTTTCAGCATGGATGACTGGAGCCAAAACCAGCTCTCATCTTTCACTACTGAATCAGAGTATTTTTAGAGTTTTCGTTTTTCTACTTCAACCATTTTAAAGTGGCTGCCCAATGTGCCACTTTCCCCCATTCTTCCAACTTCTAACTTCAGGATGTCTAATTGGGATTTTAGAACAGTTTGACCCCGTTTCTCAGTTTTCCCAGCCACCCCTGAACTCATCGCTTACTCTCTCCATGATTCCCAGACTGACCACACCTGATCTGAGGTGTGTAAAGCTCACCTGTTTTCTCCTGTCATCTGCTGGACTCATCTGCAGCCCAGTCTTAGTGTTTCAGAAATTAGCTGAAGTCTCTGGACTTTGACTGGTCCATTCTAACAAGTGAATACTCTCTGATATAAGGGGTTTATTTATTTTTTTGCAGCTACTACAAATGTTTCCATTCATGACGACCATCTGCTCCCAGGCGTGAAGCTTGTTTCTCATTTACTCATGTGAAAAGATGTTTCCACCTGAGCCGTGGCTCTATGCAGCTCCTCCAGGGTCGTCTTGACTGCGTCTCTGATCAAGGCTTCCACGTTCAGTCAGTCGACCATGTCTTGATACGTTGGCTGCTGTGGCACACTCTTCCTGTTTTGGTGTGTTGAACACATCTTAGCTTTAGACAAAATGTTTAATGATGTTAATAGTCAAGTGAATTCATCTTCAGGCTGCAGCAGGATGATGAACCTGCGTATCAAGTGTGCTGGAGGCGTTTAGAGGAAGCATCGTTGATGTCGGGAGCAAATAAAAGTGAAATCTTTTCCTGGCAGACATGCATGTAGCCACTAATATAAAAGCTTTTTTCAAGGAAGGTTTTTATGTTTTCATTCTCCAGAGAGCAAAAGGTTTTGTGATGAAAGAAAATGGAGGGCAGAGAAAACGTAAACATTTTTGACTGTGTAGCTGTTCCTGGTTGAAAAGCCACACAGCTGCTCGACCTGTTTGTTGTTCTCAGAAATGTGCCTGGCCCGTCAGGAGCCCGTCCACATTCCTTCAGGTGCCTCGCTCGTCTGACATTCCTGTCCCTTTGGGGACAATTAAAGAGACCCAGGAAGTTCAGGCGCAGAGGGAGACGCGAGGCGCGCCGGTTCCCAGAAAGTGTCTGCACATTTGTGAGGTCAGTTTGAGCGAGAAAAGAAGAGATTATTTTTATATTTGCAAATAGGGAAGTTGTCTTCAGATCGAGGGAGGAATTTCCTATGTGTTGTGTAATCCGATTTTTCTGTTTCTATTTAACTAGAATTTATCTGTATATAAATGTAGACAGAATGAAGCCAGGATATGGATATGCTTTGATTAAACCTTCAACAAAAGCATATGTGCAACATTATGAGTGCCTGAATGTGTTTTTAAATATGATTCAACCAACAGTAACTTTGTGGTTGTTAATTACAGCAAATGAGTTTATGTAATTCATGTTGATTGATGAATTTGCGGCATCAGTTTAATATTTTTGAAATTTGCTGAAGTAAAACCCATTTCATTTACGTTTATGCCAGGGAGCGTTTGAGTTGGCAGAGGTGTCTAAAAACGCACACGCTGTTGTCACAGCATTTTGGCAAACAAATGTGAAACTTATTGCTGTATTGGTCATTTAACCTTCTTGAAAATAGCTGTGTACATTTCTCTAACTCTCCAGGGATTATCTGTATGGAATAAGGAGAAGAAATGGCAGAGAGGAGAAAAGTTTCTCAGATCTGCTGGCTGCTCCTGGCGGTGCTTCAAATCGCTGCACCATCTTCAGGTGAATAACAACGCGAGCGTCACAGACGCATCAGCAGCTGCCTGACCTGAACGCTTCGCGTTGCCTGCGTTCAGTCTGAGGCGCAAATCTTATCACCGGAGCAGATGTATTATTTTTCAGCGTAAAGAGTCGTGGTGCCAATTATTCACAGAGAATCTTCATTATTACATGTTAAAAGTAATGTAAGCAGAATGTTACATTTAGTGAATAAAGTGCCAAATGGGCTGTAAATCAGAGATTATTGTTATGACAACATATTTCACACAATGAAGCCAAAATATATTCTCATGCCTTAAATTACTATTATTATTTTTATAATCGGGGTTTCTTGAATGAAGACCTGAAAAAGCTTGAAGCTCTTTGACTCCTTTAGAAAACAGGCAAAAATAAAACTGTTTGGTGAAAATAGGTTTTCATTGTTAACATGCCATTTCCCTCCCCCACTAATTTTAAGATACATATCAATCTTCTAAATGTCGTCCTTTAAAACAAAATGTAAATGATTTTGTTTTTTCAAACCCAAACCTCATTTTGCATTTGATTTTTTCTTTGTGCCGGTCTCGTTTCTCCTCAAAAAAACCCCAAAATCCAACCCAAATGCAAATCTGCAGTTACATTTCAGACGAATCAGCATATTTTTGAAAAATGAATACAGAGCAAAAACACCCTTTATCCCTATTTTGATGTGCTTGCTTGCTTTTAATCTTCACCCGCCTCAGCACAAGACGCCACGACCTCGTCGGCTAACTCTACCAACACCTCAGCTGCAAAGAAGATCTCTGGCTATCGGACTCTTCCGACTGATGTCAAAGTGGCCGTGGGCGAGCCTGCAGAGTTCAGGTGTGGAGTCCCTGAAGCCTCCAAAAGCCTCACATTTACCTTCTACAGCTGCCGTGGAAACTACACCCTCACCTGCCCCAACGGCCAGGTGGAGGACATTCCCCAGGTGAGACGATCTCGACGTCGAAGCTGTTAGTTTACCTCGTACGGTCATGTTAATCTCATCAAATACGAGCTTTTTCTTCTGCGTCTGTCGCCTCAGGCTCTGTACGGGCGTTGTGAAGTGAAGGGTGGTGAACTGGTGGCAATCTGGACCCTCAAAGGGACGTCCTTCTCTGACAACGACACGCTGGTCGTTTGTCATCAGTCAGACGATCCAGAAGACTGCTCTGCTGTCCTGCATGTCTATGGTGAAGTTAGGAAACATTGTGCAAACTACACATTGCATATGTGACGTGATCAGTCGAAGTCATTCTGCTTAAACGCCTGCCTGCAGATAGCGGTGTCAGCTATGCCACCCTCGTTGGATGTGTGATCGGAGGATTCTTCGGGGTCATTTTGGTTTGCGGCCTCGTTTTTCTCCTGATGCCAAAATCCATGACGATTCAGAACTGCCTTGGTAAGCAGTGGTTTAATGTTTATAAGGCTAATGTACAAACAACAACAACAAAAGCGTAATCAGACAAACTCTTAAGAACGGATGTAATATGCAAAATCTTTGTTTTCAGGTGAAGACGAAGTCAACGATGACCTGGACTCAATCGTGAAAGAGTGAACCAAGAGAAAGGATTGAAATAAAGTTTCTCTGCCGATTTTTATTCTGATTCCAGCAGAGTCATGTTATACAGATGATCTTGGCTTTTCTCTACCTGCTGCACATCTTTCAGTCGATGGGTGATGGCCAATATTGCTCAAATGTTTAATAAAAGTAATATATAATAATATTGCTGAGCATTGAGTCACTTGCATGCAGTACCACAACTTTTCTGCTTGAGGGCAGCACTTTTATGAAGACAGTCTCGCAGCAAAACAATATATCGCTGCTTTTATGCAGTAATATTGGAGATGTGAATAGTGATTACTGTTTTTAATTTGGTTTATGTGCACAGCGTCAGCTAAGACACAAGTATCTGAACTAATTGGCCTTTTTTCTCCACTTTTCTGTATGAGTTTGGAGTTCAGTTCACAAGCGAACACATCAGTTTGACATGATCAGGTCGGCAGGCGGGTAGAAATATGTGAACTAAAGTGATCAATGCCCACTTACTGTCAAACCTTATCTCAGCGTCTTTGTTTAGGACACATCAGTAAGACAGAGGACACTTGCACAATTCTTCAAACTAAGAATCGTACAATACCTAACTCAGACCTGGATTTTTACTGTTCTGTTACTTATTTAACATGCATCCAACTCTCACTTTAAATCTATAAATCCAGATTTTATCCAGTGATTAAATTATCTGTTCATTGTTATTGTTGCGCCTGTCAACTCGCTCTTTTGTGGTTTAGGTGGCTTCTATGACAAAAATAAAATTGTTTACTGTCACAATAATGCCACTCAGCTTTTTGTCAAACCTTAAATCGTTGGGTAATAAACTGCAAACTGTGAACTCTATCACAAATTCATGTTGCTAAAGATGGCACAAAAAAAACCAAACTAAAAGTTCATCAGTGACAAAGTGAATTATGTTTAATATGTGAAATCTGAACTCTGCTGCAGTAATATTTAATCTTCACATAAAAAAAGGCCCACTGAAAACTGTTTATGAATGTAGTAGACTGTAAATGTGAAGGAAACAGAAGAGAGTTTGCTGCCCCCTAGTGGTGATTGGTGGATTTTTATATACGTATATGAGAGAAAGAGACAGAGAGAGAGAGAGAGAGAGAGCGAGAGAGAGAGAGAGAGAGAGAGAGTTATTATTCACAAATGGATATAATCTTGAAGTTTCCAGCCTACCACAATTGTTCCACAAGCGCAAAGACCTGTCTCACGTATCCCAAAAAACATCTAATATAAGCAACAAATATTCTATGAACTGCTGAGACACAAGCGAAACTTTTAGGAACATGTGTGTGAAAAATCTAATACAGCATCTCAGAAAAGAATATCAGCTTGGCAGCTGAACAAGGTGGTGGTAGTGTGGAGGCCTGGGCCTGTGTTTCCTCTTGGGGACTTAAACAACAAGTTGTCAATAATAGCAGCATTAATTTAATGCTCAATTCCTGAAGGATGCCAACCAACTATTAGTTGGGATTGTTTTTTTCCTAAATAATCCAAGTAGGCTTAAACTTAAGAACACAAAGTGCACCATCAAATGCAAATCAAACCTTAAACAAACTCTTAAATGTGGTTTAATGAATAGTCTAATTTCACATGATCCCAAATGTTGTTGCTGCAAAGGTTGTTAAGTTAAGGATGCAATTACCTTTTCACTCAGGCCCAGGTTGGTTCAGATAAAAAGAAATCATAATTTGAAAACTGCATCTTGTATTTTCTCTTTCTTATCTTTGAGTCGAAATTTGCTTGCCGAGACAGAAAGCGAAAACTAAAGCAACATTTCTGGGGGGCAAAAACGTTCTCCGAGTACCATATCGTGAGATCTGAGGTGGAGAAGACACACACACAGGAGAGAGTCAGCGGGAGAGATTCCTCCCTGGCCTTTTAGCTGACACAACGGAGTTAGTGTGGAGCAATGTGTTGATTCAGCTGCTCATCAACTTCTTGGTTCACTGTGTGCTGGATTCTGTTCCTCAAGTCTGATTCTGGTCAAATCACAACCACCGAATGGCAAGTCTGTGGTTGTTCCAGGACATGACAAAATAAAGGCATGTGTGTAGGAGTGAGAGAGGTCATGCTAGCTGCTGGGCGGCTCAAAGTCTCCTGGCTTTGACTGTGAAAAAATACAAAACAAAAGGCATTTTCAGTCTGCGTAAAAGAAATAAATGAAAAGGAATGGTTGAATTCCTGCATATCTGAATGGGACAGTAATATGAGATCAAGTCAAAATGTAGCTGATGTTCTTCAATAAATAAGTATATACCTATATTAATGCGGACAAGGGTAATGTTTGTGGGGTTTGTGCTACCCTCACCTCTTCCTTTCAAGGTTAATTTCTGTGACTTTTTTTTTTTTACCAAAACCTAGCAACGGACTCACTACAGTGTGACTTAACCTGTGCTTTGACCTTTAATAGTGCTGTTTATGGACAAACACACTTCAATACCACCATAACAGAGGTGTGTGTCAGGCCATGAGTGTAAGATAACCTTCACTGTTTCGTGTGTATTCATGCTGTGACCTTTTACAGACAGCAAATGACTTTGGGGACATTATGTTCACCAAATATCATTAAACAAAGGTTAAAATATTCCAGAGGATATTTTAACCTCTGGAATTAAAGGTCAGAGGTGGAGCTGCTCATTAGTTTTTGCAACTTTTCAGACAACTGTGACCTTCTACTGACCTCTGAATTTGTGTTGATCGTCGCAAAACAGAGCTCTGCACGGTTCAGAGTGTTTTATGACCTCAAGACATATTTTAGTGATTTAATGTAAATGACAAGTATGTTCATTTTCGCTTTAGTGTGTCTATAGCAATAATAACCTTTGATGATACTGTCACCAAAATAAGTCGTAATAAGGACAGGAGCATCAGCTAAAAGATTTATGGTGTATTCATACACCATAAATTCAATAATCATCAGCTATTCATCAAATATACTCATCAATATTCCAGTTATTATTAACTCTAAATTAATCAGTTTTTAGCCTTGATTGGAGGAAACTCAGCCTTTTTGTTTCAATTTTAACAGCAGTATTTATTCCTGTCTTCTGAACATTAAAGCAGTGATTGTGTAATTTAATCTTTAGCATGAGAGATGTCTTAGAGCACAGTGACCATTTTCTAATCATCTCATCTAATCATCTAATAATCATCTCATCTAATCATCTAATAATCTCATTTGCAGGAACACAGGAAACCAGGAAGCGGTCAGATAAGTGGCCGCGGAGCATTCAGATGTTTTCCTTTTCTTCCCCACAGAGGCGACACACACTGGACTCGATCTGAATATTCCAGCACTTAAAGCCTTCGATATTTGGTAGATACACCTGAAAATTGTGAACTTTTACGTAATAACGTGATAACAAACAGCAGCACTGACCAAACGACAACAATGTGACATGAGTAGCTTAGTGGAGGTGATTAACTCTGGGTTTTCTCTGCTTTTTTTGCTTCGAGGTCACCAGGTATCAGCTGCTAAATGAGTCTGATGTCACTTACACACAAACCTTGAGGTACGTGTCTCTGCGTCTCCATCGGCTGCAAAAATAAACGCTCTCTCCTGTTCGAGTAGTTAAAAGGAAAATGTTTGCCCCGCACCAGACCAGCAGAGTGAAAGGTATTCTACGGGGAGAAGGGCGCCGGGTGATACCTGGAAACCTGACAGAGACCAGAACTAAAACAATAGCACCTGTGGAGGAAGGAAAGAGAAAGAAGGAGTGGAAAAATACACAGTGCAACACAAACTCCCTCCCTTGTTGCAAGACCCAAATATTGATGTTCACAGTAGCTCTCCATCCAATCTGACTGAGCTTAAGCTATTTTGGAATAGCTATCTTGCATATGAAAGCTAGCAGGACTGTCCTAAATGATTGGCAGCTCTAGTGACCTTGACAGGTGACCTTGTGATCACCAAAAATACACATATATATTTACAAATCAACCATACATATTTAAACCCCTATGAGGCTCTGTTTCAGATGCATGACACGTTTTACAAATATTCTCTAGAATATTCTCACCTCCCATTTGCACTACTTTATGTATTTCTAGCGCATACAGAACATGTTAAAATACATTGACTTTGTTACAATGTGACAAAAAGTGACGTCAAAGGGTTTTTGCTACTTTTTCAATGGCCTGTAAAATATCAGGTGTTAGTAAAACTACATTTTCTCAAGTATAGCTTTCTGCTATGTAGTCATTCTTGCTGATGTTTGTGGAATAGTCCTACAACTGGCCTTCGATACACACTGTACACATATCCGTTCAGACGTCATGTCACGCTCACAGTGCGGTCGTGCACATCCAAATGTTTCTACCCCAAACAAAAAGGAGGAGCTGAGAGTACTTATTCAGGTAAAAAACAAAAGACACTTTTAACCTTTCACAGTCTTCACAAACGCTCCTCTGCTCCTGAATCGTCACCTCAGGTAAGCCTCAGTAGGGTTTGATGAATTGGAAGCTGAACATGGAAGGTTGTGCTTTTTTTTTTCTTTAGAACAGAATGAGTTTTTTTGGTCTTTTATCCTTGTTTGATCACAAGTGGTAATTAATTTGTTTCCTTGTTAATTTTTTTTTTCCTTGTTAATTAATTTTTTTCATGGACAACGCAAAAACGATTCTCCAGTAGACAGTGTCTGTCTGTGAGTATGGATGATAGTCAAGTGCTTCAATGAAAATGGAAAGTTTTCTTCCTGAGTTAAAAGGACAGATGTATATTCTCATATTTATTTATTTTCTACCCATGTACACTTAATTGACGTTTTCTGCTAGCTTGATTTGGCAAAATCCACTGCTGCTTTAGGTCGCGTGATAAATGTTTTCATGCTGTGCGAGGCGTTTTGTTTTTTGTTTTTTTCTTTTACACATTGCATCTAGAAGAGACAAGCCTTTGTCAACCTTGGCTTGTTGAGTGCAACCTGACACTGACATTGAAAAGTCACCTGACGAAGGTCAGAATGGAAGTGACGGAAATGGAGTCACAAAAAGCCCATGCAGACTTTCTTTTCAAAACGTCAGCTGACGAGGACGCAGAGAGAAAAATGTGTTGAGGTTTCAATAAATCTTCCAACCAAACAAAACGAGAAGCATTTCGTGAATTTACTTTTGCGTCTCCTGGTCAGAGTGACAAACAGGGTCCTTTTAATCGCAAATGATAAGTGCACTTTAGGCAGAGGGAAGATACAGAACACATTTGATTTCCCACCAGCCCAAGGTCAACACCAAGCGAGAAGAGAGACTTGCTGCAGGCGGGAACAGGTCGGCCATCTGGGCGCCAACCCACATAGATGGTGTCCAGGTGGTTATTCACCTGAAAATCTATTTAAATCTTTCAACAAAACTAATGCGTAGTGTTTTACTTCATAATGTTAGCACCCACCTTTGCTTTTTGTCATGTAACAGACATGATAATTAGCGTCAAATGCCATATAAACTGACAGAAAGCGTATTATTGAGCCCATGGAAAACCAAAAATTTTATTAACTTGTACTACTTCCTGTACGTATGCTGGACAGCTTCAATCACTGCAAAGCAAATTTACCAGTGAATATTGATCAATATCAAACTGCTACTGGTCAGTAATTGCCGAAATCACTTTGGTTCATTGGCAAGTTGAAAAACCATGTTACAAAACCTGTGTGGTCAATATTGTTTTTCATTATAGGCACCAACTTGACAGATACTTATAAAATATCAGCCTAATGAGAAGTAATTTTCTGAATCAAATGCATATTTCCCATGTGAAGTTCAAAATCAGATAAAGATCATGAGAGGTAGAACAAAAACTGCTCCGTACATCACATGACTGACTTGGCTGGATGCTAAAACACTTTCCCCAGTCAAGTGCGAGCCGCAGGAACGTTTTCTATAGACATGCTGGGTTTCGACCCATAACAAAAAGCGATCCGCTGTTTACTCTGCAAATACCCAGAATGCACCCCTGCTGCCGAGGCGCTGACCTCTCTCAGCACAAGGACGTTCTTCCCGAGGAAAGGGCAAAGTACACGGCGTCGCCAGTCTGCATGAGTCTAAGAGAGCGAGCAAAGACGAAGTGATGAGAAGAAATGTCTCACGATGCTGTTATGTCTCTCTGTGTGTTTATCTTCGTCTCTTTCCAGCTGCCTGTCTGTTGTGTTCAGGATGGGACATCTCAGTCTGGTCACTTTGCTAGCAGGTAACCTAAACCTGTGTGTTATTATTAGAACAGACGGACGAAGTGAAGAATTTTCAATCATTTCAAGTTTTTTTTTTAAATAACGTGCCATTTTTTAATTTTTTTTTTTTTACTTTCTTTCAGTGCTGTTCTCCATTTTTATGGAAACTGAAGCAAGTAAGGCCATAACTTTTCTTTTTGTCCCCCCATTAGCTTTAGTTGATCTGGGGATAAACCAGTTCAAACGAGGCCTGAGGCTCACATTAAGTAATACCCTTAGTATACCTTAGTAATGAAAACAGATGTTTTTATTTGTAATGTCGAAGCAGCATCACTAACAATGTAACATTTATAATGATGTTATTGCTCAAATTGAACTATTGTTATTTTTTATTTACTTTGGTGTGAGGCTATTTAAAGTGGAGTTTGCGGTGCAGAATATGGTTTCTTTTTTCTTCTTCACAGAGTGACATGATATATTTCTTATGAGAAAATGCTACATCTATTTCTACATAATGTAAACCTGTAACAATTACAGCTTAGAAAAACAGAAATTATCCAAAAGTGAAGTAATGGCAGGTCTTTGGTGAATAACAGAGCAAGTTTTTAATGGTGGGATTTTATTAACAAATTGGTTAGTCAGGTTATTTGTTTAAAGCTTTCAACCCTAAAAGAGAGACTCCTCAATATTAAAGCGTGAGAAGCTTCGTCCTGTTCTTAACTTTTTGCATTTGCGACCGACTACTACAGAAAACTCCAAACAGCTTCATTTGCCCTTTCTTTAAAGCATGAAAAAAGCAGAGCTGGACTCTTTCAGCTGGTTGACCCGTTGCGTGCAGCAAAAGATGGGATTAAGAGTCTGCAAACGCCACATGTGATGAGGAAACTTCAGGATTTCCTCTTGGATCTTGACGGATTAAAAACTGTAACTAAACGTGTTTCTTTCTTTTCCATGCGTCTCACTGCTGTCGTCTCCAGATCCGTTTGTTTACAGTAAGTTTGGACCCTCTTCTTTCCCTACACGCTGAAATATGAAACATAGTTTCACAGCATTGAATATTTGATCACAATTCCATTTGCGCACTGCGAATCACTGATTGCAAAAATAAGGGAAAGTGAAATTTATTAAGAGCTTTGATTCAAAATATGACATCCAACAAAATTTCTAACTCATATGCTGAATGTGTGTGCTTCGTTATCTGACAGACTATGAACGGCTAAGAATAGGAGGCCTGGTCTTTACCTGCTTGCTGATAGTTGGCGCAATCCTCCTTTTAACCTGTAAGTGCTCCAAAAACATAAACAAAAATGATTCATACATTTTCAGCTTTTCCTCTTGATCCAAACTGTCCAGATATTTGGCAATCATTTCAAAGAATCAACTTTTCTCTCCTAGATAATCGCTGCAGCAGAAAATCCAGGTGAGACATTTCTACGAATCTCGAGTTTGTCTGCGATTCAATTTGCTGTCCACACTGGCTCTGACTTTACCAGCTGCCTTGTTAACTGCTGCCACTCCCTTCTTCCTCTTTATCCAGTGGAAAAACGAATAATGACAGTGATATCTGATCGTGCTCCTGACAAACCAGTTCAGGAAGAGGAGCTGGGAAGCGGCTGGCCGGCGGAGAGACAATGGTGGGAAGAACATCAGCTCAGAAGATCAGGCATAACCTGAACAGACATAAAAAAAAAAAAAAATCAGCAATCAGAAACCCCAAATTTATATTTTTGAAACAGCACCATGGGTAATCAGCCATGTGTCATGGTTTAAACTTGTTGAATCTAAATAGCCTATGTGACATTTACCCCCAACACAAGACTTTATTTTGTCTAGATTAAATGTCTATTTAGTAACTATTCCCATCGATGTAAACATTGATTGATTAGACAGCATTGTATTTTTGCTCTTTCATAGACATCACTACAATGTCGCACTAAAATCATGCAGAATAATTATAAGCTTTATGAAACAGTACCAATTGCAATAAGGTGATATGTGATCAGTTACAGATGCATTTAGTGATATTTGTCCAAGTATTTAAAGCATTTGGGAAACAAATGTCACCAGCTTCTAATTCTAATAAACATCTATGATAAAAGTGAACAGATGAGTCAGAGTGTTTTTTTTATTATTCTTTCAATGCAGATCTGATCATTATTGTGCCTTTATTTCTAAGCAATTAAACGTGAATAGCAGAACTCTCCTGAGCTTAGCGCTTTATAGACCAGAAGCTGACTCTGGATCAGCTCCCACACCCACTCGTGTGGGGTGTGAAGCCAGCGGAAACCGACCGGGGACCAGCAACTCTTTGACAAAGCTGCAGCAGCTCTTTGAGCCCGGCGGCCCCTCCTTTTCTTTTTCTTTTTTTTTTTTTTTTTTTTTGTTGTTGTTGAAATGAAAGCCAACCTGTTGAGTGTCAGAGCGACGCGTCGAAGGCTGGGCGTGGGCGCGCGCGCTGGAGAAAGGACGCCGCTTCAGAGAGTCACGCAGAGACATCCGCAGCTCAATTTCAACGACTTTCACGGTGAGTTTTCGCCAAAAGCGACCCTTCGGCCTGAAATGTTCTCCTCACGTTGTCCGCGCTGTTTATTCCCTCTGACACATTGACAGTTTTCTCCATCTTTGGGAAACTGGAAACGAGAAAAGCAGCGTTACTTTTCTTCTTCTTCTTCTTTTGTTTTTTTTAGATCAGTCGCGTGCGCGAAAACCTCTCCCAAAAACTTGATGAAACGCGCAAATATCACGTAAAATTATTTTTATCGGTTGTTTGAACAGCAACAAAGACTATAGAGTGCGTAAATAGACACATGATTCAAAGTGAAATCTCGTCTAAAGCGATTTATGCCTCCAGTCCTGGCGACAGTTTGCGCTCGCGCGCAAGCAGAGGCGGTCCATGTACGAATAGGGACCGGGGCCCCTTCTCCTGCTGTAATGGTGCCTTTTGTCGCTCTGTTTTCACTATTGGAGTGAAAGTTTCAGAAATTCAGAATTTGTTGTGAGGAGTCTATGATTTGTGTTGGACAATGCTTTTAGGTTCATGTTTTCCATGTTTCACGGTTTACATGAGTTTTAGCAGCACAAACTTCTACAACCATTTAACGATTCAGGAGTTTTCGATGTTTGTCAAATTTACAAGGGCTTGAACGTAAAGGTTGGCTTTGATTACCACCTAAGACAGCATGGGGAGCTCAAGATCACAATTCATAAATCGTCTTTAACTGGATCCAAATCTTTTCTGTTCATATTCATTCACACTTTGCTGTTGTTGTGCACAATAAAAACAAAAGCCTTTCAATCAAGAATTTGATGAAAAACACAAACAAAGAGGGAAAATGACAGAATCCTGTTTGAGAGGGGACATTTTGTTATCTTGACTATATTGGAATTTAGAGCAAAATGTCAAAACAAATAATTAAAAAGTGACCTTAGCATGCTTCTCCTGTAAGTGACAAACTTTACTGTATGTATCGTTAGTTTGATTTCACAAAAAAGTCTAACTGGAAGTGCTAAATGTTCTCTTATTTCAATCCGAATGCATTAGTAACTATATAAAAATAAAATAAAATCTGATACAAAATGTGATCTCAAACGATTCGACCCTTTTGGAAACGTTTGGTTCCTAAACCTCCGTGAAGCTCTCCTTGTAGCCAAGCTGCAGCTTGGTTTCTCAAGCATATAGTGGCGTGTGGTGTGTTTGCCAGTGTGTGACAGACAGAAGGCCAGCTGATAAGAGCAATGGTGACTCTTGTTTGCCAAGTGTCACAAGGACAGGCTGGGAAAAGGACAAGGGGACAGAAACCACTGGTGAAGCTGGAGTGACAGAAAACTCTTAGCGGTTCCTCTGGCGAATGTTGATGAAGGATTTAGATCAGGATGTGGTCTGCATATCGGCGCATTCCTTCTGCATCAGTGGAAGTTGCTCAAAGTTGTCAGGTTCGATGTAATGATATTTACATTGCCAGTTCCCATCTGTGAGCCATGAGTGCTGCTACAAACTTTGCATTTGTAAAGAAAGAATTAAGAGAACCGCAAAGCAAGTTAGCGAATTTGAGCCAGAAATGATTAAATTGTATTTATAGCTTTTTCCAAGTAGCTGTGAACTTAACAGCAGGATGGAGTTTGGGATCCTGAACGAGGTGATAGAGTTATTTATTCTTTCACAGATGAGACAGACTTAGCTCTCCGTCTTCACCTCGCCTCTCGTGATCACAGAGAAAACAACAGGAGAAACTGAGAGAAACACTTTGGCTTTGGAGGAGAGGAATAGCGAGAGCTCAGAGGCGCCCGCTCCCTCCTCACCTCTTCACGCGGCACTTTGCGGGCTCACGAACACGGATTTAGAAACCCTGACAGGGAGGCATTGATCTTATATCAGCGTCATGGCTGTGACCTTCGCTGCTCTCACCGCTTGACCTCAGAGCTGTAAAAGCTCCACTCAGATGAACCACAGCTAATCCTTTCAGATTTAGCAGCCATAAACGTTCAAAAATGATGCTTTTAATTCTGTAACTATTGATTCAGATCTTAGACTGAGCGTTTTTTTCAACTGAAGTCTGGTTGAATGAAATTATAGAAATGCACTCCATCCCTTCTTCCTGTGAGTGTGGCGGCAGAGCTAGGCACATGAAGTTTGTTGTTAGCGCTTGTGGTTTCCATGTGTGACTCATGGTTGGAGTATGCTGCACTCCCTCGTGCTTTCTGCCTGCGTCCCTCCTTCTTTCCTCGGTTTCTCAACCTCGCTCTCCCTCGTCTTCCTGGCTGAGGCCTGGATTCCTCTCTCCTACTTTCCTTCTGCTGTTCACTCTTTATGTCCTTTGAAATGTTATGAGCTTTTCCTTTTCTTGTTTTATCGCGCCACCCCCACTGAGTCTGGCTTCTTCCTTTCCGTGTCTGTTGCGGTTTTTTTGTGTTTTTTTATGTCAACTATAAAAAAGTTGCTCCATTTGTTGGAGCTCATCCTCGGTCAGTATTGATTAGCTGGTATCCAGCGGATGCATTTGACAAATCTCCAGACATTAAGATTATCCGTTTTCACTTCTCTCTTTCCAACGATTAATGGGAACTTAATCATCAAAGAAATCGGAGCGGACTCAGCCGTCTTCGGTGTGTTCAGGCTACAACAGAAACCTTCCTCTGTGTATGCCTGCTCTCTGAGGATGTGTTGCACACTGGAATGCACTGATGCTAATTTAGGCATAAAAAAACACCCCTGAAAATAGACAGCTGCCTTTGTAGTGCAGGAACACAAACACGCGTGTCTGGGAGTTCAACACGTTGGAACAGTACTTCCAAGCTGGACAGTTTGCCATTTCACCAATTCATGCTCCCATTTCGTACTCTCATGTTGACTCTTTTTTTTTCTTATCTATTCCTAATCCCATTTCATAATCACTTTGGCCCCAAAGTCACAGCAGCTGTGGACTCCCACTGTCTGTTCTGGCCAGGCTGTTTCACTGCTACCCATTAGTGCGGGCGTAGTTTCTGTCGTGTCCAACTACAACCAACAACAAGATCAACGGTCCACTTTCTGTTCCACATTACAATATTTACAGAAACTGTGGTAATTTAAAGTATTAGTTGATAACTTAATCCTGACTCTGCTCTTTGAAAAAATCTGGAAACATCGAATCTACTGTGTTTTTATTCCCAGTCCTGAGGTGATCGACTACAGACACTGAAACATTTTAATCGCTCATTTTGAGTTATTCAACCACCTACTGATGTAATTCATCAGCTGAATCAACTGTTTTCTAAACTAGTTTACAATTATCTCACCCACAATGCACTTCATCCTGATCATTGTTCACATCTTTGCAGAACATGTCTAATTCTGTCTATTTAACGCAGTTTATTTAAAGCAGTTGTAGAACTGCTTTAAAGAGGACCCCTATGACCAGCGAAGGCAGTGAAGCTGATCTGGTTAAATGTAATAACACGATCAACTGCAGAGAAAAACAACGGCTCTATAGAAGTAGACCAGGCAAGTTTGTAAACCTTCCACAAGTTCCTGCATGTATGGTCTTGTTTATTTCAGCGTAAACATACCAGTTTTGCTTGCGAATTCGTGACCGTATAGGTGCGTCACGCCTAGATGGTTCAGCATCACTGATGTCAGAGAGGAGAAGAAGAGAGGCTGGACTGCAGAAACTGATTATGGGCTCAAGAGCAGAAACCCTAGAAGCCCTGCATCTGGGACTTTGTAATGTAATGGATAAATGGGTTGAAAAGGCTGGAGAGAGGGAGGGAAGGGGGAAAAAAGGTGAAAGTGCAGGGATGTGGACAAGTGTTGTTTAGGAACAGGCTCCAAGTAAAGGACAAGTTCAAACAGGGCCAAAGGGAGAGAACAGGAGCTCATCCAACGAAGAAAAGCAGTGGGTTATAGTGGTTTTAAACAAACAGGCAATTCTTTCAGCTTTCAGATTTGGCAGAAAGAAAAGTAGTGAAAGAGATATGCGAAGCAGGAAAGAGAGAGACAGGAAGAAAAGGGAAAAGTACTGCTGCGAGAGCTGAAAACAAAACCCAGTCAGAGACTGGCTTAGTAGCATGACAAAGCCAGAACAGAACAGTCTTTATTGCTGCAACAGGCGCGGCGTCGCTGCGCAGGGGGAATTCAGGCCTGGGAGTAAAACAAACCTCCCCATCAGCTGTGATTTCACAAGGTTCATAATAAAGAGGCAAGGAGGACAAAACAAGATTGGAAGCCAATGATGGTTTTTAAAGGATTCAGCATGCAGACAGCAGAGCTTAGATCTGCCAGGGGGGTTTGGTGTGAGAATTTGTCACATTTCCCACAAGGAAGAATCGGTAAGACGTCTGAGACATGAAAGGCTGGTTCATTGTAAAACTCCTGCAAGATGAATCCCTGAGAGATTGATGTTATTCCAATGGGAAAAGCAACTTATTTTTTAACAAGTTTTCCTTCAAACGCTCAAAATGATGTGACTGCCGGTTTGGTTTTGTAGTTTTCTTTGGATTCACGTCTTGATGTCGATGTGGGTGGTGCACCTTTGTTAATTTGTCATCAAATTTTTGGAGAGCACCAGAATGCCTGGGAGGCACACCCTGGACAGAACCGGTACCGGTGACGGCATTAATCTCACACACAGTGTTCCTGTAGTTGAGTACGTTGGAGCAAACGTGGTGGGAAGAATTTGCCTCAAGGCTTAAAAGTTCTTTTCTTGGACAGCTGCAGGTTTATGACAAACATGCAATCTGTTTTGGTTTTCAAATAATCATAATGTAGACTTGATTCCATAAGGTCTTCAGCTGGATTCATCTAAAAAAATAAGTCTGGCCTTTTTTTTTTTTTTTTTTTTTTTTTTTTTGCAATTATAGAACAAATTTGTTATGCCAGGTAATCAAATTCTACATGATGATGTGATAAAGCAGAAAAAATGACGAAAGGGGTCAGGGTCAGAAGGTTAAAAAGAAATTGTGTTTTAATAAGGTGAACGCAACTCACCGACTTGGGAGAAAAAAAAGAGGCAATGGATGTTTACTAAAGTTTCTCTCAAGTCGGTGCAACTTGATGAGGTTTGATTGATCACTGGGTGAAACCTGATCAAGAACAGGAGTGACTAATGACCGGCGTGTTGCTGCTGATTTAAGCAATCAACAACAAAAAAAGGCTTTAACCTTGCCAATACTAGGGTGATAATCACAGTTATGTCTTCCTATTGAGGACAACTTTTAGCACCTTGTGGTGAACTTTCTAAGATTTTTTATTTACTCAGTTTTGGGTTAAGCACCTAGTGTGAAAGCGCAGCTCTTTTCTTTTTAAACAGCTGCTTCATGACATCAAGTTGCTGGACTTTTATCTTTGCTTGAGCACAAAGCCTCCAGCACTTTCCTCCCATGCTCCACCCTGTACAAACATTTGCTGTAGAATATGATCGTGCTGGTGGAGGTGAGGAGGGAGCTGTTCCTCAGGCTCCTCTCCGCTTTCCCTGCTGCGTGCTCTTCATTGCTCTTTGTCTTCCGTCTCTTGCACGCCTCTCCCTGCTCTGTCTTTCTCCGCTGGTCGCCGGCCAGCTTCCCATCCTCTGCATTCCCTCGGCGTCGCCTGGGGTTGCTGTGAGGAGGCACCAGGAGAGAAGCGCTCATCCTGTTGTTTTCTTTCTCCCCTCCCCGTTGCCAAACTCCAGCCGGCAGCCAAGTGGGAAGAGATACTGCTTTAATAGCAGCCTTTATTCTGATCCAATCAGGCTCAGCTTTGGTTTGTTTTACACCTACAAACCTTGACAAATTCATTTAGCTAAGGCAATTAGACAGTAGCTGTCTTGGGGATTAGATTGGTTCTATACAGCCGACTTTCTGCCGCTGTAAGTGGTGCATTTTCACAGAAATCTCTCACATGTGACTGTGTGTGAATCTGGTCCTGCTCCAGTCTGCTCTTCCCTGTGATGCACCCAAACTCGGAAAAGTGCAGTAAGTGGAAAATCACTGCAGACTGAGGTGTGTCACAGCAACAAACAACCTGGGAGCTGATTCGCTCGGATGACGCGTGGAATCTAAATAGAGCGCCAGGAAATGAGTTAATAAAGGAAGATTTAAAATGTTCATACTCCTTGTATTTTCTCTTTTTTTTTAACTTGTTTTTTTAACATGGCTTTCAACGTTTCTGTAGATATAAAATGTGTAAGTCTGCATTACGTTTAACCCACTTTCAACCCGATAACCTTAAATGATATGATGATGCCGCTTTTCATAAGCTAACTAGAGTTAATTTGAAGATAGATGAAGCTGAATGTAGACCAATTCTGCAGAAAAACCCGATGGAGCCTTCAAAAGATTTGACACTGAGGTTGAAGTTCAGCGTCCAGCAGGACAAACACTATCTAGATCAAAACATATTTCTGTGTCATAATAACCGACGTTCAGGCGTAGAAATTAGCAAAATGAAAACTAGTAGCTCGCCAAGGCATTTCATTCCTGTTACAATGATTTATAGCATCTGGAGCTACATCTGAGAACACAGACTAAGAGCTCTTTTAATAGAATATCAGCATCTTCTGCTGTCGCACTGCAGAAAACAGGATTAATACATCACTTCAGAGCAAGAAAAGCTTTAAAAGCTTTTCTGGATAATAACAGTCTGACAGACAGCTGCACTGAAGCAGCAGAAACGATTACAGTTCTGAAGCTTTAACATGGGAACCTTGTAATGCCGTTACCACGAGGTATTTAAGGCCTTCATCCCTTTGTGACCATAAAATCACCCCAATTTTCAGCCCATGTGAAATAATTGGATTTCTTTTCTTGCGAGTGAATATTTATTCCTGCCGTTTCTGCCTCACTCTGCTGCTCGGCTCACAGCACAATGAGGAGTTTTTAACGTCACAAACACGATGCATGACATTTAAAATGTAAATATTTTGGCGTCCTGAAGCCATGTGACTAAACAGTCTGTTTGAAGCAGCAACTTTATGGGGACACGAGCTTCAATCTGATGTTCTGGATTATCAAACAAATCATCATTTCCACTCAGTTTCTCTGGTAGCAAATTTTGAGTATTTGCTACCAGAGCCTGACAGAGATCAACAGTTTGATCATAATTAACTTACTGCACCTTTTGTCTTTTTCAGATCTGAACAGAATCAGGCCTGAAGATGTCAAAGATCCTCACTTTGGCGTTTTTGGCTCGTAAGTAAAACAGAATATCTTGGTTTCTGCCAAGTGGCTTAAACTGTTTTTAAAATGTAAATGTTTTTCTTAAAATGTATTTTTCAAATAATGAATAGTAACTCAACACACAAAGCACCCTTCACTCTTTGCACCCCAGGTTGAACCTGCATACTAAAAAACACAGAAACTTTTCTTGCTGTTTTCTGTTTGTAGCCACCCAGCTGTTTGTAATGTTTCCATTTGTGGAAGTATGAACATCAAGCCGCATCCAATTTACCTCAGTGTTGTGTTCTTTTGTCTTTCCCATTTTGAAGAGTAGCTAAGACAATTTTAATTATCATATTTAGAGCTAGGATATTATAGACTCATGGATATAAAAGTTTCTTTAGCCTCTGACAAACTCAAAAGAAAGATTTAGTTTGATTTACTTTATAGGATTTATAGGAAGGTGTTTGTTAGAAACTTTAGAAATATTTAGTAATGTGAATCTTTCTTCTCAACATCTGTGCACTCTGTTCTGAATTGTGATGTTTTAATTAAATATATATTTCTTAAAGATGTATTTAAAAATTTATTTCTTGTGAACATGCAGATTGCTTTTATTTTGTTATTTGAGTATCTTTGTGAGAACTTGCCTTAATTGAACCATAAGTACACTAACATTAAATGTCAGCAGAAGTACTGATCCTGCAGAGGCTTGCATTTTCTGTGCAGCTCTTTTCCTGTCTGTGAAATCACGTGAGAGGTTTCAGGCTGTGGTTCACTTCACTGATGTGTATCTCTCTGTTTTTGTTTTTCAGTTTTGTCCCTGGTGTCTGTCCACGCAGAGGCCACGAACGACAGTAATGTTTTGAAAACATTTTTATGCCTTTGGATTAGGTTTTAAATTAGTTCAGGACAACAAATGTCTTAATGTTGTGACCTGTGATAGGTTCAGAACGAGGCCACCATGTTTGCTCATCTGTTTACATTGGGTCACTTATTAATGTTACTGCTCATCCTCTCTCTGACCTTTTCCCTCTTTTCTGCTCCAACAGACGGAGAAGAAGCGTTTACATTTGGTAATTCGCTGTTCTTCTATGACTACTGCATTTTCATAATAACAGAAGTTAAATTAGTAACATCAGCTCTTCGTATTTGAACCAGGATGTCTGGGGAAATCAGTTTATCCAGTTGGGTCCTGTTTGAGCTTACTGTTTAATGATGAGCGCCATTTGTTTGTGCAGACTACCACAGGCTGCGGGTTGGAGGCCTCATCTTGGCTGCTGTCCTCTGTCTCATTGGCATCACTATTCTGTTCAGTAAGATGCATACTACACACACACACACACACACACACACACACACACACACACACACACACACACATCTTGGTAAACATGTGATATTACCCAGAGATACAGCCATGGTAACAAAAAGAGCGTCTTTTCTCTTGAAGGTGGCCACTGCAGGTGCAAGTTCAACCAGAACAAGAGGTGAAGATTTTTTAAAGCACCGATATAAATTTGTGTGAAATCAGAGTGGAAACACTAAAACTCTGCTCTCTTTTCAGACGGAGGACAGGAAGCAACGCTCAGCAGATGCTCAACGACCAAGGTGCTCTAATTTACACTTAGTTACTTACCCATCAGCCAACAGATTAATATCAAGATGTCCAAAAATAAAATCATAAGTATTCCTCAAAACTGTAATCCCCCTTATTTACCTGTTTTACATCAGTATACCTTTAGACGTCTTCTAAATTAGGAGTAAAACACAGGATTTTTGTACTTAATATATTATCCTCCATCTTTATTTACAAAATTTTGATTGAGCTTTATGGAATCTGATATATTTTCACACAGTGACATGTAAACAAGTTACTATCTTTAATGTAATACAGTCTTGCAGAAATTTTATTAGGGCATTAAACGCTTATTTCCAGTGCAGTGTATAGTAAATATATGTCAGCTGCATTTATTTTGTACAAAAAGGCAGGAGAGTCATTAACTATAGCACTGCTGATTTTATATTTAAAAATATTTAAATTTGGATGTTTTTTCTTTTTTATAAAAAAAAATGTGATTCTTCTACGATCTGCCCTCTAGATTACATCCCAGCAAAATATTATTTATTTAAAAATAATTTTCCGTCTGTGTTACAGATGCCAGTGATTGTACATAAATTAACTAAAGCTAAAAAAAAAATATTGCAAAGAAAACATCTTTTATTGAAAATTGTCAGTCAGATAAAACAAGTATTTTCATGCAATATTGTGCATCAAATTTAATTCAAAAGGTGTAATAGTGGCTTAAATATTCAGTGTTTCGTTTCGTTTCCAAGTTAGTTTAATTTTTCCGGTTAAAAGCTGAATTTATTCCATCCATCTGTTTTGTCGCAAACACACACGCACACACACACACACACACACACACACAGCCATGCCAACACATACTGGTCGGCGCTCACGGAGCTGGCCTGAGATGCCTCGGACCTCGCTGTTCAACAGGTGGCGGGACGCCGGGCGTCCGTAAGGTGGAGGAGGGGCGCAGGGAGGGGACTGTAGCTGCTGGAGGTCACCACACTTGTGCTGCAGCAGCTATAAAAAGATTCAGCGGTGAACCCCTTGGAGGGCACTTTGCCTGATTGTGCATGATATAACTCTGTTTTATGTGATATGTTCACAGATTTTGGAAATTATTTATAAAATAGCTTCTCTTTCAGTGAAATAAGCGATTAAATAATTATTTGCACATCTCACCTAATGCAACATTACAGGGGTTTTCATCCCATCAGTTTTGATGACAAACATCCCAACAGTTATTGAAAAACCTTCACACGTCTAATAGAGTAAAACAAAAACTGGCCAGTCATGATAAATATATTTTCGTCACAGAAATCTACAATAAAGAATGTATTACATGATCCAGACATATTCACTGTTTGTTTTCTTCTCAAACATAAAAGTAAATTGTTTTGTTTTTTAAGTGTTCTGTGTTGAATTTCCTTTTAATTATGATTTGTAACATTGTTGAGTGTATCTATGTCTAGTAAGGACTTCCTCAAAATGAGATGGTACGTCTTGAGAGGGTTATCCTTGGATTAAATGAGCAAAAGATTAGTGAGTCGGTGAACCTATAGGCATCATGATGCAGTGACATTTAGAAAACAAAAAAAAAAAACTCTTGAGTGGTAAAACACTTGTACAGCCAGTGAGACCGACTCCCTCTATCTTAGAGTATTTAACCAACAACATGTTGCTGACCAGTAACTGTAAACACCTTCAAATGTATACATTGGTCAGCTGAGAAAACAGCCACAAAACTTATCGGCTCTCGTGAAAGTGTTGATCTTCAATAGCTGCTAAGATAACATTACAATCTCCTCTCCTCAAAGAAAACTGTCACTGACGACAGCTTTACTAACTAAAACGTAGAATGCAGAGTTATAAAAATGGATCTTCCAGATATTTATACATTCATATAACCCTACATGTATCTTTAAATAAAATGCAGATAGTTTATTGCTGCCTGTGCTTTGTGAGTTTAAGCTGACCTGACCAAAAGGTTGCATAGCATATCTTATGAAAATGTGTTTGGTAAACCATGCAATTATTGCAGCTTTGATGCAGACAAAACACAGCTGAGACCCACATGGAAACACCCCAGTAATGCGTTAACATCGCTTCATGGCGCCTGCAGGGATTTACTGCAACCATATTTTCCACTTGCATTAGCGCACCTATACCTGCTCTGTCTCTCCTCCTCCCTACCAGCTTTGTCTTATTTACACATTTGTTCCTTCTTGCAAATAATCTCATTTTAGAGTCCGTGTCGATGAACTTTTAAGTGAAGATTACGAATGGGGAAAAAAGTCGACTGGTCTGGTAAATGTCTCTGGTCTCAAACTTCTCTTTCCATGTTGTGCTTACAGTTCGTGCCTGCGACTGCTAAACACACCGACTTCTCAAACGTCCGACCAACAGAAACCACAGAGCAGCGGCGGCGAGATTTATAAGACCAAGCACAGGCTTCTGCTGTTATTTAGAGAAATCCACAGAGAGCAGTCGGCATGCACCGGATATTAGATGTGAGGCCTTCTGCCTGGCAACTGAACTACTGACCTGCACCCTGTTACACTCAGACATATTGTGCATAAAACTGTGCCGCTTTCATTTCACTCAGCTGAACTCTTGTGTATTTGAGAACCTGATGGGCTGGGATGGACTGAGAGACCCCAAAAGTTTGTGTAATCTTCCAAAAATACAGGAAACATTTCACAATTCGGCTTGTGTCGGCTGAAATGAAATGAAAGTGGCATCGATGATAATGCAAACATACCACCAAAAATGATCGTAAAGCTCCACATATACTCCAGGCTGTGTCTGTCGTCACTTCTGTCATGTATTGTGTATGTGTGAGGTGAACACTGATGTAGATATTAGTCACCAACCTAACCTGCAGTCTGTGTTTTGTGTCAAATCCGTGAAGTGAGTGTTGTTCTTTCCCCAAGTTTCATTTTGTGGGGGAGAGTAGTGGATTGTACTGTTAAATGAGTCCTGTTTCTATAAAATAACAGTTAAAACACATGTAGGAGTGGACCTTTTTTTTGTGTGTGTGTGTACAGTGATGCTGCGTGTGACGTACCTGAAATGAATTAAACTCTAAAGCTTTAGTGCAATGTTGGATTCTGCAGAGCACATCATAACCACAAGAGGGAGCTAATCAAATAAGTTTATCATGTATTTGGATCATAACACATTAAAAATGGTGCACAACTTAAATGAAATGATTGATTCAATATCAAACTTTTCATTTTGACTATCATAATTAGTTTCAATGGGAAAACACATTTAATTACCAAACCAACCTCATTTCACTGCAGAGTGTTTTGCTAAACCCAACAGTTCTCACGTCTTTCCAAAGAAAGAAAACGAAACTTGACTTATGAAGTAGAATGCATAAGACAAAGTCAAATGTTTCTTCATTCAGTAAGTCACAGCATAAATTATACAAGTGTTTTTTTTTATAAATTCTGAATTATAAAAGTGGTTTTGATGCTATCAGAAACATTACAGGTTGTAAAGAAGCAAGAGTAGCAGAACTGCAACACATTACTGAAGTAATAGTAAAAATATTCATTCACAGATGAGTTCAAAGGCTTAAAGTTGCTTGACAAGAACGCTTCTCAAGAACTGAGTGACTGATCATAACATATGCAAATGTAACAGTAAATATTTATGATAACCAGCACATAATAAACCTGCTGTCAAAGCCTGTCTCACTGCACATCATAGTTGTTTTTTTTTATAATGCACAGATGAAATTAAACTCTTTGTCATCATTTTGGCTGAACCAGCGATGGTTTCCTTCTTTCTCCATGGCTCCACTCATGTCACAGTCTTCTTTGTATCCGTTCGAATCCCAGCGCCGAAACTGCACAACGTTGTCATCAACCCAGAACCAGAAGTCCAGAGTGCAGGTGTAGCGCAGGCCGGTCCAAACGAAGGGACTGTTGGCTTTCTCAGCCTCCAGCTCAGCAAAGTTCTGGGTCTGTCCATCCAAGATGGAGGCCAGATCTCTGTGGTTATCCCTGCAGTAGTTCAGAGCTTCTTCCCACGTCTTGTTTTGGTCAATCAATTTAAAGGGAGATTCTGGAAGAGCAAATATACACATAAAAAGAATATTTAAAAAAAAAAATCAAGACTCGGCAGATGGTAAAAAAAAAGTACATATATGTTGTTTAGTCAGAAGAACATTTTTTAGCTTTCCATATATACTCTAATGTTTAGCCGCCATGTTTTAAAAAAAAGAAATGAGACGTGAGGATCTTAAGTTCTTTTGGAGTTTGATTTGATTTTAGTGTCATTATTATTCTGTTTTAGTTTCTCATTTTGATTAGAGGAGTCTTGTGACTGTTATTTTTCTTCTTTTAACATTTTTTTTGTCCCTCATTTGTTTTCATTAAATCACCCAAAATCTGCTCAACGCCTGCCGGCTGCATCTGGGTCCATCCGCACAACCTGCAGCACGACGCGAGAGACTTTAATCTGAACGTGACAAAGTTTGCCAACATTTAGCTTTTTTGACATGCTTCATGTTCACACTGATGCCCGTCAGCCAACCAGCCACATCTATGGAGGGAGACATTAATCATTACCTATCTTATGGCCTGTGATGTTCACTTCACATAGGACTAAAGGTTTTGCTGGCATGATGGTGACATAACGCCCCACCTCTGGCTTAAATGAGTAGGGATTGCTTTGGCTGACATTGAAGCCGGTGATGTTATGAACCCTGAAACAAAAAGAGGAGAGGTCGAGGATGGTGATGTGAGAATAATGCTGGCTGTGTGCAATTATATTTGGATCCTTTGCTGTAAAACAATTCAGACTCTATGATAGTAATGTTGGCAAGTGCATAAAGATATTTCCTGAAAATAGGAAATAAATTAAGGCTCTTACATCTTGTTGTCGACGCTGTTGTTCTGTGGAAAGTTCCCAATGTAGATCTTCACCCCATTTATTTTAGAATGGTCAGCTTTTTTGTTGTATATTGAGATGCAGGAAATGTTGTAAACACCCTGCAGGTCGATGCTCCACCAGGAAAGATCAAATTCTTTCGTGTTTGAACATGTTTCAGTGTTTCCATCAATGGCTCTGGAAGAGTTGTATTCGTCAGATTCGTAGGTGTAGGTTGTAGACTGAGAGGATTTGGAGTTAGTTAGATCTACAGTTTGAGCGTCACAGCGAGCTGCAGAGAAAAAAGAAATAATTCGATCCTAGAACTTCAAAATGTCTAGAACAGTATGATGTCTACCAGTGACGCATCTGCTGAATACATTTGGTCCTACCTGTCGCCGGCTGGGAAACACACAGCCTCCCTGCGAAAACATTTATTTGGAAATATCCTCAAACTGCACTTGTCACTCATTGTTTAAACTACAGCCTTCTTGGAAAGTAATGGAAACTTTTCATATACATGAAAAAACTAAGAAAAGAGGATTTTCATTTCTCCCGGTGCCCGAGGGGATCAAAATGAGCCACTTACCTATCAAACTGATGAGCATCAGACTCTGCAGCATGTCTGAAAGTACACTGCTTGCGCAGAGTTATCCCCCGTCTGTAAAAAAAAGAAAAGAAAAAGAAGCAAAAAATAGAGAATAAGAGAGTATCTGTCAGAGCAGGATCCCAACTGAGCGGTTGTCCACAGTAAGCCTCGCAAGTTGGTCACTTTCTGACCTGCTTCTGTTCCGTCCGCTTGTATGAAAGCAACATATTATCACAGATTCACCGTCAGACTTGTCGGTTCAGCTGTGGAACATTTGCATTTTTTCTGCCAGGGGATCTTATCAGTTTTCTTATTATGTTTTAGTCAACATCTAGTCAATTCACTCTTTGTGCGAGCTGCCCTACATATTCAAATATTGTCTGAGCTGCATGTAAAACAGATTTTTCAGGAAGCTACGTTTTTCATGTTGAAATATTTGGGCCCTGTGATGACTTTGAGCCGTCCTTTGCACCAATCAATAAAAGGCGTAGGGACGGCTGTGGAAAATGTGGTACCACTTGATTTGACGGGTTTGTGCATAAGACTGACATGACACTATCATAAACATAACACCTGAATAGTTGCAGTAAAAGTGCAGTAAAACTGTCAACTTTTCATTGTTTGGTAGGTAATGACACTTTTAATGCAAAGTTTTATTAAAATTTGTATTAAAGGTCTATTAACATGGTCAACTTTGCATTATAAGTGTAATTATGTAGAGAATGACCCTTAATGAAACAGTCGTAAAGATTCATGAAGACTCCTTCATGTTTCTGACAGTGTCATGTCAGTCTTATGCACAACTCGTTCAATAAAGTGCTGCAGACTGTTATGTAACAGACCCCTTTTCGTTGTGTCCAAGTGTCATTTAGTCGAATGTGTCGCCCGGTGCAAAGATGTTCTTAAATATCTGCAGAACTGCGAGGGGTGTGCTCACTTTGGTGATACGCTGTACATCCTGCTGCGCTTCTGTTATGAAAGTCGTGACAGGAACCATCTCGCGACCATTACAACTCCGCCGTCATAAACCTGGAGATAAGGATTATTTCTGACCCGACTCCCACGGACCGGCGCCACAGCTGCAGAGAACCAGGAGGGAAGAAAGTTGCCACACTCCTTACAGCCACATCATGGATTACGGCAAGTCGATGGGAGCTCCTTCCACCAACCAGGCGTCCGCTCCTCCAGTTTACCAGGGCAACTTCGCCCATCCTCCCCCGTACTCAGCACAGCCTCAGGTAACCACCAGCATCCAGCAACTCACCTGGGCCTCAGAATTTCACCCTTCTTCTCTGCCGACAATGTGGGTGAACAGATTTGATGAAAATGAGATGAAGTGGACAGTTTTCACTGTTTCCTTGCGTTTCGCCAGATTGTTTCTGCTGTAATCTGCTTTGGTTGAATTCATAATAATTAGGCTTAATCAGAAATATGTCTTAATTAATATGTACTTCATATAATATCAGTGACAAACGTTAATCAATGAACATTTATTAACATTAGTAAATTAAAGTTAGTTTAATAAATTAATGTTAGTTGAATACATCAACATTAGTTTCTGTTCATTTATTATTAACATAAATTATTTGGCAATTTATATTAATGTTAAATTTTAACTTTTTAACTTGTTGTCTGCCTTGACAGTTCAGTGAGAACTGAACCGGAACAGGGCCTGGACTTTGGACCGGCCTGACTCCTTTTATTAGAATGACAGGAAGCAATAATCACAGTGCTTATTAAGTGAGTACATGCAGTGATAAGGACAGGCAACGCAAGAAAATAAACATAATTCCATAACCTGAAACACTAAAATCCTGTAAAACTGGATATTTGTTCAGGCCAGAGCTTCATCTGTTTGTGTTAAGTGATCACCATCCATCTGATATTTTCACTGTTTTCAAAGTTTTTCTCCAGTGTCTGAGCCACAACGTTCACTTCCTCTAGACGGACAGATTTTCTCTAAGGAATATTAGTTCCCATATTCTTACGAACACGTCGGGTTTTTTTCATGATTATTATTTTGTAAACTGCATCCCAGAGACATCAAGATGTATTTCATGTTGCTTCCCTTCAGGGTTACGGATTTTCACAGCAGTATGTCCCGAGTGTTGACCAGCAGCTGAATCAGCAGCACGTCCAGCAGCATGTAAGCCTGGAGTCAGCACTGCAAGGAAGCCCCGTCAACGACTACTTCGGGTACTCCATCTTCACAATGGTCTGCTGCTTCTTCCCGCTGGGGGTATTTGCTCTCACCAACTCCTTAGCAGTAAGCACGTCCCGACTCGTACTTTGTCAACGTTCTTATTAGGAACTCAGAGAGCGAGACCCAGGCACAGGTCAGCCGCAGAACGTGTGGGGTCTGTGGTCGAGGCCGAAACTCTGAGCAATTTTCAATCAAACGTAAATAGACTCAACAAAAACGTCTTGATGCGAGTCAGAAAAGCTGTTGGTTTGTTTTCATTTGGATATAATTAATGACCTATAGGATATAGATGTGCTAAACGTGAGTTACGTTGAGTAATGATTGGATTGTGGCCTCAGGAGCTCGAGGAAGGAGGTTTATGTAGCCGCCGCTCTCTTGCATCTGAGATATTTGGTGTTTTTGTGTTTCAGCTGCATCTAAAATGCTTGCAGAACAGAGACGGAACAGAATAGATGTTGCACCTGGACTTTCAAAGACTAAGGGATGAAGAAATTGTCCAGTCAGACTTTTTTTTTATGCAGCCATCACAAGGATGAAAGTAATGTTCATTTTGCTTTCATTGCTGCATTTCAATCTCATTTTAAATGTGGACTGCTCCACATAGACAACGACTGATCTTTGGTCCGCCTTTCTTAGTGCATGACGATGACGACGCTCCGCCTGCGTTTTACAGGACGTTTGGGAAACGGGTGGGGGGAACTAAAAGATGAACGCCGTTGACCTTTTGAGACTCTGACCCTTGTAGCTGTTGAAGACAAATTTAAAACGCACAATGATTGATGGGGAAATACAGACTAAACAGAGCCTTCTGGTCTGGTTGGTTTCAAATAATTTCAGCACTGATGGGACATTTATTGGGATTTTGTTTGGATCATTGTTGGTTTGTCAGTCTGTCTGTTTAAATTGACTGAAAACCAAGTTGACTTTGAACTTCTAGCTCTAAGCTGCATTCACTTGCCTCTGAGTCGGCGGCTTTTTATCTTTAAATGATCGTCTTTTTAATATTGCTGACATAAATGAAGCATGACCTCACAGGTTTATTGTGCATTTGGTGTTTATTGTGGAGGCAGCGGTAGTCGTAAACTCACCGAAGCGGGCAATCAAATTTGTTTCTGTGATTTATTTTTATCACTGCTCTAATGTGCTCTGCAACCACAAAATATTTATCACCTAAGCAGCGTCCTCAAGTTTACCTTGACCATAGCTGACTTCTTGAAGGCCACACAATAGTTCATTGTACCAGTGCTTAGAGATTCACGAATCATTGAGCACATTTGCACACGAGGACATGGAGAAATACATCAAGAGGACCATAAAAATTGAACATTAAACACAAATAAGAACAGAAAAATGCTCATTTATGACAATTTCCTTTCAAATTTTACTTAAAATAATTTTGGCAAGTTTTGGCAAGGGTTGTAAAGTCTCAGGTCACGGGAATTATTTCCCGTAATCCAGACAGAGCCATTAAATACTCCCGTATTGGACAGGATCCAAGCCTCATCCTGCCCACGTCCTCGAGCACATGCGTCAAACTCAAGGTGCGGGGACCACATCCGGGCCGCCATAGCTTTTTGTGTGGCCCTTGAGACTCCAGATGCTAAATTACATCAGTCAGTCCACTCAGTTTTCTGTGATTGTGGAAATTCACATAAAATCAAAAGATTCACACATGTTTTACCCACTATTTCATAACTGTTAGTGTATTGCAAGTTTTTGGCAAAAATGGTCAAGAATGTTGGGTTGAATGAACACAAACTCATTTCTGTATTTTATACTTTTACGACTCCACTGCTTCAGCCCTATTTGGTGTCAAGTAGTTTGTGTGTCATCAATATGACAATAAACAAAGTCACAATCAACATCGTACATAAACGCAACTATTGCAAAATTCCTTGGAACTATTTCTAAATTAGTCCCACAAAATTTGTGATTTTATTTGCAAAAAATCACAATCGTAAAGTACTTATAAAATACGGTGACGAGTATTTATTAATTTTTTAACAAATTGTTAAAGATTAGCCGTACATTCTGGGACGTCCAGCCCATTAAGAACGCCCAGGATCTTGATTTGGCTGAAACAAAAAATGAGTTTGACTCCCCGTTCTGGAGACAACATGTAACCATGTCCTGTTTTGTTTTCTTTGCTTTCTCTGACCTTCAGACTCGTGACGCCATTGCCAGAGGTGACAGGCAGATGGCAGAGTGGAGCAGCAGACGGGCCCTCATCATGAACCACTCAGCTCTGGGAATTGGGATTGGAATGTTTTCCCTCTCAATAACTATGATTGTTATCCTGTTTGTCATATAATAAACTCTTTCCTCATGCTTTTCTCTGTCTGCATCAGGCAGACTTTAGGAAGTCATCTGGCCATTCAAATCTGACTGGAAGCTAAAAGTCATCCAATGAAACATTTATCACTTTAATGTGTTTCAGCATTTCTATCTTCAGCCTCCAAAGTCAGTCACAATCAGTCATGTATCATTATTATTTCAGCCATCATGGCATTTCCGAAAAAACGTTTGGTGGCTTTAATGACTGCTGCTCGTCTTCTCACCAGTGACGTCAGTAATGAGGTCGAACCACTTTTTTCAGTAACGAGTAATCAAATGCATTGTATTTCAAATCCAGTAGTCAGACTACAGTTACTTATCTAAATCACTCTATAATCTTTTGTAGTTTTATTTTATTTCCTCTGGGCGTCTTGGGGAATGACCATCGTTTCTATGCGATAGTATCAACAGGGACGGAAACGTTAACATTGGTGGGAAGAAGGTGATGCACATTTTGTTGCTGGAAAAATAGAAACAATTTTTAGTTGGTGTTGCCAAGGCCAATCATTATAGGCTTGTTTTTTTGCTAAAGTTGTTTGCAGATTGAATGAGTCGGTTTTTGGGCTCGGAAATAAGCAGACATGATGTCCAGAATCTATCTGACACCCAGTTAGTTTTAGTCAGACTCTGATTGTGCATCATTTCCCGGATGAGCCGTCCCGCTGTGTCTTTGTCAATGTCAGGTTAATGTGTTACCTCTGAATGACGTGGAGCTTCGCGTTACGATAAAACAAACTGCAAACATAGAGACTCGTATAAACAGCCACGAATGAACATGTCCGTAAAGTTGTGCAACTCAACGCCATTACGATTATCAATATCAATATTAAGATAGGTGTCACAGATCTGTGCAGCCAGGAGTTGCGGAGCAGCAGCAGGAGGGCTGTGACACCAAACGCAGAACCTGCAGGCTGGGCCACAAGGGTGTCAAATCCTATTTATAGTTTTCCAGACAATACTGGAACACACAAAACACAAATTACTAAAGATTTTTTTGTACTGTTGTAACCATTAAACAATCTCCCCTTCAGTTCAACCATATAAGTGGAGACACACTGTTGACGTAATCATTTTAAAATAGCTTACAGTTAAGTATTGGCAAAGAACAATGTGATTTTCACAGGCGGCGGAGCGTCGTTGTTGTTAGCAGCTGCTTTTAGTAATTAAAAAACAAGAAAAAGAAGAAATACCTTTGCTAATTTATAAATCAAAATCCAGAACCGAACATGGAGAGGCAGCATTCAGCTTCTATGCACCACAAATCTAGAACAAACCTCCAGTGAACTGAAAAGATGCTGTAACACTGAGATCCTTTAAATCAAGACTAAAATCCCACAGGTTTAGAGTCGCCTTTGATAAATAACTGGAACGCTGATCAACATAGTTGATGCATATTGGACTATGATTATTCTTGATTTATATGGTGGCATTTGAGAAAGTGCAATGTTTATTACTTGTTTCCTAATTGGTTGATGTGTTTTATGGTGTAAAGCACTCAAGTGCTTTGTTGCTGAAATGGGTCATAGTAGTAAATTAGAGTTGACTTTACTTTAATTGAGCATAATTATACTTGATTAAAGTAAACATGACTCTCCATAAAATGCGTATCTTTTCAATGACATGATAGGATCTGTTTAGTTCTGTGTAAATACTGATTATCATTGATCTTAATGTTTATCTAAAGTTAATGAACATGTTTTATATTTTTATGAGTGTTAATTTGTCCTTGTTCGTAAATTATTAAATGTTTATGATGTCTGGAAGGAATAAAACAAATACCCAGAGAAATGTGTGTTTTTTTTGCAAGGATCAGTTTGTAGGTTAAACAATAAAAGGAAATTAAAGTTGGAAAAATCGATATTTCCCAACTTTATTCCCCATCTATACATCCATCCTTCCATCCATTTATCCATTTATCCATCCATCCATCCATCCATCCATCCATCCATCCATCCATCCATCCATCCATCCATCCATCCATCCATCCATCCATGGATCAATGAGTGGTTCAGTAAGGGGCCTGGTTGAACTTTGATTACCTCTGGCAGCATTTATTAAGGTCTTTAAAGTGATAGCGACACAAGATTTTTGCTCCACAAACGCAGCACAAATGTAGCACAAGCATTTGACACCATTTTTGTCTCACTCATTTCACCAACGTCCCAGTGACTTTGCACGAATAGGTGTTAAAATGAGTTTCCAAATTGAAATCTAAGGAGCAAAGTCCCTGTTTTTAAAAAATAAAAATAAAACAAAGGCTTCCTGAGAGGTTCCATTATCAGAAGGATTCAGTGTGGTGTTAAGATTGATCAAAAATCATTCTAGAAAAAAGCCCGATCCACATGCGATAATAGGAAACACTCTGCCAGCAGGTGGCACACCAGGGCAAAATAAAAGACATTTTCAGCAGTGGACCATTTTTTTTGACATCTCTCCATCACTGATACTAAATAAACTAAGGTGCTGAGGAGAGACAACTGACAAACAGAACGGACACAAGATCTATACCAAAATATAAGAGCTCAATGGAACTGAATGAACTGCTATGAAAAGATGTTAATGGCATTTACCTTTCGTTTGCAACACTGATTAATGATGAGGGACAGAAGTGAAAACCAACAACAGTTTATTAAACGAGGAGCTTCTAAAAATCTAATATTGGAGAACAAGAAACTAGTTATTTGTTGATTTGGCTTTGGGTTTGAAGCAGGGGCAGGTTGGCCATGTTGAGGTTTCCCAAATGGCTTTTATGTTGTACTTGTCTTCTGACTCCATGCGGAAGAAGGAGAAGGTCCAACATTGTTGCTGCTAAATAGGAGACAAGGAAAGAGTCCACTGAGGCTGTGGAGTTGTGAAAGAGGGAGAAGATACTGTAAATCGAAAAGGGGTGACGAGGTAAAGGTGCAGTATGCTGGATTGAGTTGGCGTTACGTCTTCAGGATGATATTGTCCACTTTAAGACCAAAGGACTGACCATTTGGAAACAATCTAAAAATGATTAATTGCCCTTCTTCAAATTCATGAAAAGGCCTGAAGGCTGCTTGTTTAATTTTCCTCTAAAATTATGTGTGAACTTTTGTCTGGTTTGTGATGAATCACAGACTAGACTGCTCTGCCTTCGGTGTGAAAGTCACCACAAGGACCCTGTCGTTTTCATTACCCATTGCCGTCATAAACCTGTAGATAAAGACGATCCCGATGCTGCTCTTCCACACTGCCAGCCTCGCAGCACAGCTGTAAAGAACCAGGAGGGAGGAAGTTGTTTGATTCTTCACAGCTACACAATGGATTACAACAAGCCGATGAGAAATCCTTCTATGAGATGGAACGGTGAGAATCCCTCCATGATGCGTTCTTCTTCTCCGCCACCTTACCAGGACAGCGGCTTCCCGTCAGCACAGCCACAGGTAACCCTCAGCATCCATCTAAATACCCCAGTGTTATAATTCTATCCTGTTTTCCCTCCCACTGATGTAGATGAACAGATTTGAGACAAGGGTAAGTTGGAGAAAATTGCAATTTTATAAACTTATTTATAAAGTTATTTGCTTAGCCTAGAAACTCAATAATTCCTTGCTTTATCAACATCACGGTTATGGGGCATCATTATTCTGTGGGTGATGTTAAGTGATCGCCGCTCATAAGATGCTTTTAAAGTTTTTGACAGCTTTTCTCTCGTCTCACAGTGGGCAGAAACCTCTGCAGCTGCTTCTGTGTTAAAGTAGCAAACGTGCAGAAACAGCAGCACAAACAGAAACACCTTGCAACTTTCTGACTTAATTCGTTCTTCATTTATGCTCTGTTTCACCTCAGTTTGATTCTGTTCCTCCCTTTACACATGCACCCTATCCAGCTCACTATATACATCATCTATCATCCTCCCACACCGATTTGCTGCAGCGCCCAGTTCAAATCTTTCGCCTGTTTCCTATCGACATATTTGATTGTTCAGTCAGCAGGTTTTCTCTATATTTTTACAAACATGACAAATTCCTTATTTTATAACCTGTGTCAGTCGTGGAGCCCTTACCAGTATTATTGTCTTACAGGGGTAAATCACTGATAGCAGGAGAGATTATCATGTGAAGGCCAACCTTTATTGCAGTCTTACAACGTGTATTGAGAAGTCCGCATTGTTATCAGTATTTTAGTCTCTTCAGTTTGGACTCATGTAATCTGTTGTCAATAAAGAAAAAAATAGCACAAGTTATCCATATTCTCCCAACAGAATACGCTACAGGATTACAGGATTTGTAAAAACTTTGCACTTTTCAATTAGAAAAATGTCCTATTACCACAAAGCTACACCTTCGTCAAAACCCAGTGTCCTCCAGAATGCCCTCCTCTTCGCTGCACACATTGGGATTTGTTTTTTTCCCAAAATTAATCTAATTAAGATTCGCTGAAAATAGTCATAGCAGTTTCAGTATACCCAGTCACCCCTCTTTCAGGGTGTCAGCAGGCTGTCCTGTACCTGCAGAGAGCAAGATGAGGGTTTGAGGCAAGTACTCTGTCCAGAAGTGTTACGATCTGAACCAGTGACAAAGGACAACCTTGGTGGAGTCCAACGCTCACCATAAGCAAACATGGCTTATTTGTTTGCATCTGGTGCAAACAACTTTCAACAGCCCATGTCAAAGGGCCTGGTGCCTGATATTCCCATGGGAGTCTACGAGGGACATGGTCAAATGTCTTCTCCAAGTCCACAAAGCTCATGTAGACTGGTTGGGTGAACTCCTACGCATCTTCCAGGAACCGGCTGAGGGTGTACAGCAGGTCCGGTGTCCCATGACCAGGATGTAAGCCTCACCGCTTTTCCTGAGTCTGAGGTTCGACTATTTGACTGATCCCTTTCTTCAGAAACCCTGAATAGACTTCACCAGGAAGGCTTAAGAATGAAATTCATAAGCCTCCCTGTCCCGAGATCTTGAGGGACTTTATTGGCTTTGTCCCTCTGACCGGTCTCTAAATTTTGACTAACATTAATCTTTACATTTTGAGCTTACTTAATCTGTACATCTATTACTTATTTGAGTGTGTATTACAGAATCTTCGCCTATGCATCCCACAGATGCATAAGTGTTGTTCTTCTATCTTTACTTCCAGGTGAGGGATTGTCTCAAAGAGATTAAGGTGTATTTCCTGTTGGTATTTTTCAGGGTTATGGAGCTGCACAACAGTATGGCTCAAGTTTTGACCAGCAGCCCAACCAGCAGCCTTATGGAGAGCCTTTTCACCCCCAGCAGCCATTCAGGCAGTCTTTTCAGCAGCCCAACCAGCAGCCTTACGGGAGATCTAACCAGCAGCCCAACCAGCAGCCTTATGGGATGTATAAGAAGCAGCCGAATCAGCAGCCTTATGAGATGTCTAACCAGGAGCCTGACCAGCTGCCTTATGGGGAGCCTTTTCACCCCCAGCAGCCATTCAGACAGTCTTTTCAGCAGCCTAACCAGCAGCCTTACGGGATGTCTAACCAGCCACCCAACCAGCAGCCTTATGGGATGTCCAACAAGCAGCCAAATCAGCAGTCTTATGAAATGTCTAACCAGGAGCCTTATAGGGAGCCTTTTCAGCCCCAGCAGCCATTCAGACAGTCCTTTCAGCAGCCTAACCAGCAGCCTTACGGGATGTCTAACCAGCCACCCAACCAGCAGCCTTATGGGAGGTCTAACCAGCCTAACCAGCAGCCTTATGGGATGTCCAACAAGCAGCCAAATCAGCAGCCTTATGAAATGTCTAACCAGGAGCCCGACCAGCTGCCTTATAGGGGACCTTTGCAATCCCAGCAGCCATTCAGGCACTCTTTTCAGCAGCCCAACCAGCAGCCTTACGGGATGTCTATCCAGCCACCCAACCAGCAGCCTTACGGGATGTCTAACCAGCCACCCAACCAGCAGCCTTATGGGAGGTCTAACCAGCAGCCCAACCAGCAGCCTTACGGGATGTCTATCCAGCCACCCAACCAGCAGCCTCATAGGGGACCTTTGCAATCCCAGCAGCCATTCAGGCACTCTTTTCAGCAGCCTAACCAGCAGCCTTACGGGATGTCCAACAAGCAGCCAAATCAGGAGTCTTATGAGATGTCTAATCTGGAGCCTGACCAGCTGCCTTATGGGGTGTCTAACCAGCACCCCAACCAGCAGAAGCCTTTGTCTAGGGACCAAGAGCAACCAGAACAGCCAGGCATCTTCACTGTGGAGCCAGCAAGAGAGAATCCAGAATCAGGACCTGTCAACGATTACTTTGTCTACTCCATCCTCACTATGATTTTCTGTTGCCTGCCAATGGGAGTTGTTGCCCTTATTAATGCCATCGCAGTAAGTATATCTATCTCATACTTGGTCTACTTTCTTCTTTTACATTAGATTTTCACCCATAAGTCAGTCAGCTGAAGATATGGAACAACTTTCGCAGCAACAGCGGCGAGAGAAGCTTTGTATATATATATATATATTTGTCAAATATTCATCTTCTTACACCCTTGTCCCTAGTGGGGACAGGATCAGGCAAATACAAATGATTAATGAAAATTCTTAAATTCAGAAGAGCTTCTCATTCATATTCATTATTATATTTAGCATTGGTACATTGTACTAAGTGAGGGCAATTATGAAGATGATGGACAACCTTTACAGTCTCTAACTTCATGCCAAATCAACAGCTAGATAGCGAATCTTGAACAGAGTTGGGTTTTCCGACACTTGAATTATCCCGGACACAAATCAGAACTGGTTTTGGAAGTGCTAAAGCAAGATGGCAACCTTCAATGTCTTTCCCAAAGGTCGTATCTCAACCACCTCCAGGATTATGTCCTGAAATGCCTGGATCATGAACTCAACAAATTTAAATGAGCTCAACAACTCTTTGAATAAATAAATTCATCCAGAGTATGAGTGGTCATAAACCTCTTGGCATGTTAACACATGGACACAAAACGTGAAACACCAAGTGATAAAAAAACAATATTTGGATGCTTTTTATGGCATTCTTCTTTTGAGCTAGGGCTTTATCTTTTTTATTGCGCATCTGTACTTGTGAGAGCTGCTGGTTGTAAAGTAATTCCTCCCCACAGATAATGACAACTGATCCTTGATCCCCCTTTCTTTACACATAGTGAACCATTTTGAGCACCAATTATACATCTTCAGCTGTTGAAGACAAACATGTTCCTCAACAATTCACAATGATCAATGAGTGACTACAAACTACAAACGGCCCTCAGGTCTGGTTGGTTTGAACTTGTGTCAGCATAGATGGGACATTTATTGGGACTTTCAAGTTTTGACCGTTACTGGTTTGTCACAGAGAGAGAAGTCATACACGATGAGATCAATTTTATTCGCTGTTTTCGAACTGCAGTCTGCCTGTGGTTTTAGCAACGGGAGCGGAAGAGGACTAAGCCGTTCAGTCCACGCTTCCAAAGACCGAATTAACGTTAACAGCTGCCTCGTTCAGCACAGATCTTCTGTCTTTGCAGTGAGGAATGCCTGTTTAAGCTTCTTAGCGTCAGAATGGTGCGTTACCAAAGTCATGGACAAGTGTTGCATTGGGTAAAACTTCAACACAGTCCCTGCCTCAAGGAAGCAATGGTTTCTCTGTAGTCGAAAGCCCAAAGCCTTTGAATGAAGCAAATTACATAAGACAAGGTGTTAGTTTTTACAAGGCTCATTCAATCTTGGTGAAATAAAAAAGCACAAGTTTATTGTGTATATAGTGTGCATTGAAGAGTTACTGGTAGTTGTAACCTCTGACAATTAAGCTCCAGTTTAATTTGCTTTTGTGGTTGTTTTTTTTTTTTTAAAGGCTTCTCCGATGTGCCGTAGAAACATGAAATATTTATCACTTGAGTAACAACCTTTTTTCCTCATCAGAGGTCAAAGTCCTGATAAACACAGTTGAGTTGTTAAGTCTGAGGAATTGTTTTCCGTAATCCAGATATCCAGAACCATAAAATACCCGGACAGGGCCAGATCCCCATCCTGCTCAGGTCCTCAGCAACAAAAGGTTCTGGAGAATAGATATAACCATGTCTTGTTTTCTTTTCTTTGCTTTCTCTGATCCTCAGACTCGTGATGCCAATGCCCGCGGTGACAGAGAGAAAGCAAAAAAGACCAGCAGACGAGCCAGGATAATGAGCCACGGGGCTCTTGGAATTGGGATTGGATTTTATGTCTTAATGATTATATCTGTTGTTACATATGTAGAGTTGAGAAAATAAGCTGTTCATCTCACACTTTTTCCTGTCTTTTGTCTATCTGAATCAAGTGTGCATATAATCAGAAGACACGTAGCCAAGTGTTGTCAAAATCTGTCTGCTGCTAAAAAGTTATCCGTCTCACTGACGAAGATGTATCCACTCAACATGTTTCTAATTTTTGTCTTCACATTCAATCACAATCATTCCTCTATTTTCACTCTCATCAAAATTACGCAGTTATTTGTTATTATTTTATTATTATTTTAGCCAAAGTAGTATCTATGAAAAACCTTTTGTGACTCAAATTGAATGCAATACACACTAATATGTGAAATATGTTTCTCATTAAAAAAAAAAAAAAAAAATTCTTTCAATATCTTAATATAACCTCTTAGTTTTGTGTAAAATTCTTATCAGATAATGAGTATGGACATTTGCATTTCTCTTAATAACTAAGTGAATGAACATGTTTTCTTTTTATGTGCGTTAATTTAATATTATATATTCCATATGCAAGTATGAAAAAGTAAATAAAACAAAACCTACTTAATTCTGTGCTTGCTTGACCTGTATCAGTTTGTATCAGCTTCCATCCATCATCCATCCATTCATCCATCCATCCACTCACTCACTCACTCATCCATCCATCCATCCATCCATCCATCCATCCATCCATCCATCCATCCATCCATTCACTCATCCATCCATTCATCCTCAGATTTTGTCTTCTTTTCATAGTTCCATATTTAGAGTCTAATCACTGTAGGAATTGCTACACATCCGTGGTTTCGGTTTCACATATCAAAGTTTTTTGATGGAGGTATATAATTTATCAAGTCGTGGCTCCCTCTGGTGGACATATTTAGAAATGCTCAGCTTTACACACTAGTGATGACTCCCCAGTGAACCAACCAATTTAAATCTCTTGGTAAAATACAGTCAAGAGTCATCAAATAAATTAAGTTGAACTAAACTTAGGTCGACTAAGTTTAGTCGTCGGGACTGACGATTTAACCACATCACTCCCCAACCTGAGATCTGTCAGTGTGAACAATACTGGCTGTAAACCAAAAGGCCTTGAAGTCTCAGTCTCGTATTGCTGGGTAACAGCAAGTTTTGTTTTCCTGTCGATGAGTGAATGTTGCCAGGGGTTTAACTTCACCCATCCACCTGCTGGTTCCGGAAACAATAGAGAACATAAAGGTGTATAAAGCAGACCCAGACAAGAACTTAATGACTTTAAGGAAATGCAATGGATTCAGATCCATCCATCTATCCATTTTCTGACACACTTGTCCTTCCAAGGATGTGTGAAAAGTCTTCCTGCATGTCCCCTCCATGTAAAAAAAACCTCAGGCAGGGACATTTGCCCACTCATTACACAAGTGACTGACTGGTTGACCGACTGTAATCAAACAGAAATCTAAAGCAGTTTCGAAAATTAAAACAGATTTCAACTTCTGTAGAGCACAATTGCACCAAAATTGCAAATCAGCAAGCATGAGGCTCCAACTCCTGATTTAACCGGTCCATTTACTTCATTCTTGAGAAACTATTTTTGGTTCATGTTTGAGATTGCGCCATGTTTGTTTTTGCTTATCTGTAGATTGTGTGTGTGAACAACCGGCAGCAAAGTAAGTTGCTCAGCACGGAGAACGACAACTGATCTTTGATCTGCGTTTCTTAGCGCATGACGATGACGACGCTCTGCCTGGGTTTTACAGGACGTGTGGGAAATGGGCGGGGGAACTTAAAAGATGAACGCGGTTGACCTTTTGAGACTCTGACCCTTGTAGCTTTTGAAGACAAATTTGATCCTTGACAATTTACAAAATGTGTCACAATGATTGTCGGTGGAATACAGACTAACCACAGCCTTTTGGTCTGGTTGGTTTGAATTTCTTTCTCTATAGGTGGCACATTTATTGGGACTTTTATGTTTTGAGTGAATCTGAAATGACTAGCAGGAAACTCAGAACTCCAGTCATCAACAACCACTTTGTTAAAATAATAGGTTGCTAAACTATGAAGTGGAGCCACTAAGAGTTCGCTCTTTTATTATAAATGAATGTATTTGGCTCTGTGAGCGTCACAGACACAAATGCAAATCCAGCCTGGTGAGTTAAACTGGAGCAGCTGCGTCAATATGCGGCCTGATAAAACAAATTATTAAAAAACAACCAGACTGGAAGAATAACAAAAAACAGTCTTGATGTTTCTGTTGGGGAATACTTAAACTCTCTTTTCTGACAGTTATTGTTTTATAACTTAGTTGCATTTATTCAATTACATTTACTTGACATTTTTGAAAAACAATATTTTTGCTATGTTGTACTTTTTAATTCTACTTTAGTAATTTCATCAGGAAGTATCTCTACTCTTACTTGAATTATAACGACTAAGTAATTTGGAACTGGCTACATATTTAAGTTTTTTTTATTATTCCTCCACCGACTCTTTGCATGCGACGTCGCTGTCTTTGAAACTCGACCCGCTCCGCCATGACGGAGTTCAAAACAACCTATCCGCGCTTCTAAAATCTGTGGAAAAAAACGCACATGGTGTCGCTTTAATCAAGTTGATTTTGCAGTGAAAATGGCCACAGGGTGCTGCACAAACAGACAAGGATACAAACCAAACTTATCAGTTTATTGTGTAACTTTAAATGAGGAAAGATTAACGGCTGCAGCAGCTTTAATCACAATCACCGCCATCCCTGCAGATTTGCAGCAAACACTATTTACAAGATAAGAAGATGTTGTATTATCTTGCCGTCTTATTGTTGTGTTCAAGTATTCAACTCCGAAAGAAACTTATCTTGATTGTCTTTCAGCTGTCTTTGTCCTCGCAGTAAAATCACTGCCAACACTATGATATTCAGCTCACCGTTGAATGTTGAGTCAAAACCAGAAACTGCTGCTGCGCCAGCGACGCAACGGGCTGTTGCTAGGTAACCAAAGAATGAGTGAGTTGCTGGGTAACAATACCTGAATACCAGCAGGTTTATGTCAGGCAAAGAACGGCACAGACCTTCATCTCTGCAGAAACCCTCAGCCTCAGATGCAACAAATTATCCAGTGAGCCGACACTGGCCAGAAAGACAGTCAGAAATGGTGGCTTCCAAATGGTGGCTGGGTTTCCCCTTTTTCTGTTTTCAGGCACCATTTGACCGTTGGTCCTGCCACCCTGCCGTGCCAGTCCATTGTCCTCAAGAGCCGCTGTCTCCCAAGTGCGGATTTCAGCCTTGGTGATGTTTTACCAGCTGAACTGTCTCCAGTGGCCATCAGCTTCAGCTGTAAAGTTTGTTTTTCTTCAAACTTCAGCAGTTTTCTAGTTGTCCTTCTGAGGTAGTGACATCAATTTGTGACATCACGCAATTTGATGTCACAAGGAGTGATGCACCCTATGTGGAGATATAATGCATCACTTCTGAATCTACGGTCATAGCTATTGCAGCAGTTGGAGAGAAAGCACAAGTATTGTACTAATCGCACTAACGAACAAATAGTCAATTTTCGGATCAATTTTCAGATTTGTCCAGAGAGAACAAATTAAAAATGAGTAAGAGCAATAACATAAGTAAGCCTTCTGATTTCAAAGGCAAGGAAATGCAAGAGACCATAGCGAGACAGACGCAGCAGCTCAATGATTTTGTAGAAAAAGTAAGCGTGATGTCCATCGAGCGAATGTCTCTGCTGAAAGCGAATGAGGAGCTGAACATCCAAGTTCAAAACATGAAAAAAGCTGCGCTGGAAGTAGACGCTCTGGTTCAGGAGAAAGAAGACGAATTAAAGAAACAGTTGGACGCAAACAAAACTTTGAAGAAAAATATCACTGCTCTGGAGAAGAAAAAGTCCACTCTGGAGAAAAAAACAATCACCTTGGGTCAGCAAAACACAGCTTTAGAGACTGAAAAGATCACCTTGGAGAACGAAAAGATTGTCTTTGAAAACGAAAAGACCGTTTTGGAGGAGAAAAATACTCGTTTGGAGAAGGAGAAGGCCGCTGTGGAGGAGAGAAACACAGCTTTAGAGATAGAAAAGACCGCCTTGGAGAGAAGAAAGACTGCGTTAGAGGTTGAAAAGAACGCCTTGGAGAAGAGGACCTACACGCAGCAGAAAGAAAATTTTGCACTGCGACAGAAAAACAGGATCTTGGAGAACCAAAACACCGCCTTAAAGGAGAAAAACACTATGCTGGAGAACCAAAAGACCGCCTTAAAGGAGAAAAACACTACGCTGGAAACACAAAACACTGACTTGGAGAAAAAGAACACTGCTCTGGAGAAGAAAAAGACCACTCTGGAGAAAAAAAATAATGCACTTGGTCAGAAAAACGCAGCCTTAGAAATTGAAAAGGCTGCCTTGGAGAAGGGAAAGACTGACTTGGAGGACAAAAACACAGCCCTGGAAACACAAAACACAACCTTGACAAAGAAGACGACCGTTTTGGAGAAGAAAAAGACTGCTCTGGAGCAAAGAAGTATCACACTGGGGCAGAAAAACGCAGGCTTGGAGATTGAAAAGACCGCCTTGGAAGAGAGAAACATAAACTTGGAGCATGAAAAAACTGCCTTGGAGGAGAGGATCACCATCTTTGACCACATAAATACTGTCTTGAAAGAGGAAAACACCGCCCTCAAGCAGGAAAAGACTGCCCTGAATGAGGAAAACACCACTCTGAAGGTGAGAAGCACAGCTCTGGAGCAGAAAAGTGCAGTCTTGGAGAGAAAAACCACTGCCTTGGAGAAAATTAACACCATCCTCAAGCAGGAAAACACCGGCCGGGGGCAGAAAATCACTGCTTTGGAGGAGGAAAAAAGCTCGCTGGAGAAGGAAAACACCACCCTGAAGCAGAGAAGCACCACTGAGAAGCAGAACAGAACCATCTTAGAGAGGAAAACCACTGCCTTGGAACAAATAAGAGCCATCCTCAAGCAGGAAATCACCACCCGGGGACAGAAAATCACTGCTTTGGAGGAGGGAAAAAGCTCGCTGGAAAAGGAAAACACCAGCCTGAGGCAGAAAATCGCTGCCTTGATGAAAATAAGCACTGACCTGAAGCTGAAAAGCGAGACCCTGGAGAAGACAACCACTGCCTTAAAGGATAAAAACACCATCTTTGAACAGGAAAACATCGCCCTGAAACTGAAAAGTATCGGAAGTGTCTTGGAAGGGGAAAAGCTGACCAGGGTCAGAGTGGAACAGCAGAACCAGCAGCCGTCTAAAGAGGAAACCCACGGAGACAGCCAGTCGGATTCAGACCAGCCGTCGGTAATCGCACGTGTGGTCGGAGGTATCCTCAATACATACCAGAAAATGTCCGAAAATGGAACTCTGAGATATTGGATTGAATTGTGATTTGAAAAGTGTCATGATGACTGAAAACTTCAGACTTGATTATTTGGGGCAGAAAAGCTTTACAACAAATGCACTGCAGTGTCAAGGGAGCTTGACACTTAGGAGCTGATGGCGGAAGATGTTGGAGGGAGAGCTTGCGGCCCGCAGGACTGCGGTGCCATGGGAACTTGAGGCCTCAAGTTCCCAGACCATCAGACTCTAATCCCATTTGTCGCCAGGTCATCAGACACTCTTCGGCTGACCTCTGGGGCTTCGTATGGATTCCCGTTGGTCTCTGGCTGACCTCCGGGTCTTTGTGTCGAGTCTTTTTGCATGAATATTGCATGTTCTCCCCATGCTTGTGTGGGTTCTCTCCGGGTACTCCGGCTTCCTCCCAAAGTCCAAAAGCATGATTGTTAGGTTAATTGATTTCTCTAAACCCATCCGTAGGTGTGAATCTGTGCATGCACGGTTGTTTTTCACCTGCCTGTCTCTGTGTTGCTGGCGACCTGTCCAGGGTGAACTCCGCCTCTCGCTGGAGCAAGATAACTCCCAGATCGTCCATTTTTGGTTTGAAGGTTTTCTAAATAAATCTTTTAGCATTCGTAGCGGGAGCTGAACTCCAGTATTACACTAAGCCCTATAGCTAATGCAAAATATTAACAACATCGTCCTAGTACTGAAAAGTTATGTCCCGAGCCCTCACATGAATAGTCCGTCATTTTGAACAAGAATATGCAGCAGTGCTGAGGCATCGTCTGCTGTTCTGGTTTAGCCAAGTAGGATTGACGACCTCTCCAACGACGGCCGTGTTTCCTGCCTCCAAGCAGTCAATGCGGAGCCTATTCTTTTTGTTATGTCTGTGGGTTGAGCGGTTAAAGCTGCTTCTCAGCCTACATTTCCCAGAATGCAGTGTGGTTCTGGATCAGAGTTCAGTAAATATTCTTTAATACAGTGGACCAACCGTGGTCCTCAGGAACCGCTGTCCTGCATGGTTTTGATGAGTCTGGACTCCAACACAACTGATTCAGATGACTGCATTTCCTTCTTTGCGTTCCTGAAATTGTTGCAGTCGCTGGTTAATCACCTGTTCATTTAACCCAGGTGTGCAGCAGCAGGGAAACGCCTAAAATATGCAGGACGGTGGGCCTTGCATATTTTAGGGCCCACTGTGGGGCCTAAAATGGGTGGGGGACTACTGCTTTAACATATTGAATATTTTCTCAGATATATCATCTATTGATATATTTGTAATATATCAATAGATATATCTATTGATATATCTATCCATAAATATATTGTAATATATATATCACAATATATATATATATATATATATATATATATATATATATATATATATATATACATAGCAATATACAGGGGTTGGACAATGAAACTGAAACACCTCTCATTTTAGTGTGGAAGGTTTCATGGCTGAATTGGACTAGCCTGGTGGCCAATCTTCATTAATTGCACATTGCACCAGTAAGAACAGAATGTGAAGGTCCAATTAGAAGGGTAAGAGTACAGTTTTGCTCAAAATATTGCAATGCACACAACATTATGGGTGACATACCAGAGTTCAAAAGAGGACAAATTGTTGGTGCACGTCTTGCTGGCACATCTGTGACCAAGACAGCAAGTCTTTGTGATGTGTCAAGAGACACGGTATCCAGGGTAATGTCAGCATACCACCTGGAAGGATGAACCACATCCAACAGGATTAACTGTGGATGCAAGAGGAAGCTGTCTGAAAGGGATGTCCGGGTGCTAACCCGGATTGTATCCAAAAAACATAAAATCACGGTGCCGAAATTACAGCAGAATTAAATGTGCACCTCAAGTCTCCTGTTTCCACCAAAACTGTCCGTCGGGAGCTCCACAGGGTCAATATACACGGCCGGGCTGCTATAGCCAAACCTTTGGTCACTCGTGCCAATGCCAAAAGTCAGTTTCAATGATGCAAGGAGCGAAAATTTTGGGCTGTGGACAATGTGAAACATGTATTGTTCTCTGATGAGTCCACCTTTACTGTTTCCCCCACATCTGGGAGAGTTAGGGTGTGGAGAAGCCCCAAAGATGTGTACCACCCAGACTGTTGCATGCCCAGAGTGAAGCATGGAGGTGGATCAGTGATGGTTTGGGCTGCCATATCATGGCATTCCCTTGGCCCCACACTTGTCCAAGACAAATTGATGCTGCATTGGCCGCAAAAGGAGGCCCTGCACCATACTAATAAGTTATTGTGGTCTAAAACAAGGTGTTTCAGTTTCATTGTCCAACCTCTGTATATTGCAATATATATCGCAATATATATTGCAATATATATCGCAATATATATTGTTAGCCCTAAATTATGGTCAACATAATCAAGGCAAACACTGCTGACTCACCGAACAGAAAATTATTGTAAAATTGAGTGGAGAGAAAAAATGCAGTAGAAACAAGGATAAGATTGTGAGTTTTGGACAGGTTCATAAGGTGAAGACCCCACACAAAGACAGCTCTTTGTGTTCCTAAATAAATCTGTTAGCATTTATTTAGGAACAGAAACAGAAACGTTATTTCTGTTTCAGCCACTCCTGAAACAGAAATAACATCATCTAACTTGAGATTAAAGTAATGTTTGCATTTCAAGAAGAGGATGAAATGCAAACCAACAACCCAGAAGATCCTTTTTAAGGTGACTCAGTATAATTCCTTATTATAAAAAACAAATAAAAATCGATTTATGGGATATGCAAAACATTTTTATAATATTTTTTGCACAAAATCATTATTAAATAATGAGACTGAAGTTCTGCTCAGTTCTGTCTGTTTTCAGCTATTCCAGTGCTTCTGTCACTTTAAATCCAAATAAGCTGCTGCTGGCCACACCCCCCAACTCATCATTTAAACTCACAAGTGAAAATGGCTGCAAACACATGCGCAATTATACAACCGTAGATCTTTGAAAAGCAGAAGTGGAGCCTCCTGCACAACCAACAAGAACACATTTTTGTTGGTTTCTGGATGGTGAGTCAACAACAAAACATCTTCTGTCTTTTCCAGCAGCCACTCTGCAGCGCATACAGTAGTAAAACCAGCTGACCAAATATGCTGGAGCTCTGCCTGGGTTGCTAGGTAACAAGCTAGGTTCAGCTGGGGTTGCTAGGTAACGGTGCAGTGAAATGTGAACCAACCATCAGGAGGTTTTTGAAATTATCCAGACACCAAAAAAAAAATTTTTCCCCAAAATTTTGCTTTATCTGATGTGTGGGTGGCGCGTCTCTGTTTAGCGAGCCGCATTCAGTCTGCTGCTGCGAGAAACTGATGGATTCATTGTTATTATGAGAGAACAGGTCAACTCCAGTGTTTTATTTATACATTTTAAACCCTAAATGAGGGCTTTGGATCAGGGTTCCCACTGAAAGTCATGAAACAAGTTTAAAAACTGACCACTTTTGACACACTCTGCAAGAATAACAAGATAATATTTACAAATATATTAAACATAATATACTAGCTGCTGGTTTTCTGAGTCAACTTTTACCATTTTGGGCAACTTTCCATTCTGATGATTAATATTTTTTGAAGGGCAATTTTGTTTACAGAGACGTCACAATCCATTTTACTTATGGTTTCAGTTTTGTTTTCGGTTGTTGTGTTTTATTTTCAATATTTAAATATCTTCCAGTTCTACTGTAGAGATTCTGTGTGAAATTGAGAGGGCAAACTTGCATTACTTAAACATGCTCTCTAAACAGCAAGATGATCATTTATCACAATAATTAATTGGGTAATTAATCATACTGCAATATTTGTTATTTAAAACTGCTATAAAATTAGTCACAAAACAACATAATGGCAAGTTATGGAATAACTTGATCAGTAAAAGACAGTTTGTTGCTGAACGTCATTCCCTCTGTCACAAGAAGAACATGTACTAAATTGAAAATTTAAGTTTTCACAAAACTTAAATTTAATGCCATTAAATTTAATGAGCATTAAATATCTTTGTACTCGGGATCAGTGTTTGCTTTAACAATGAATCAAATGTTGTCAGAAAGAGTTTCTGCTTCATTTTGCTCTCGAAAATATTAGGCCCGAGCAGCTAAGCGCTGCGAAGGCCTATTGTTTTCTTGCTGTTTCTTATTATTGCCCTTGTGCTTTTTTTATCACTGCTGCAGAACCAAGAAATATTTACCACATGCTTACGTTTACAACAATATAATGCTCAAACCTGGATTATCTAGTTAACTTACACAGAAGTTTATTTTAGCAGATTTTCATAAATTATTGAGCACAACATTTGCACACCAAGCTGTTAAATTGGTTAAATTGAGACAGGAAAGTGGAAGAAGGTCTAACTAATTGGCCTGCTCTATTATAGCCATTGAATAAGGCATGTTAAGATGCAATTGTTTGTGCTGGATTTTATTTAGGTTTTGTTTGTTTTCTCTCACCCTCAAACTCGTGACGCCATTGCCAGAGTTGACCGGCAGGTGGCAGAGCGGAGCAGCAGACGGGCCCTGAACTGGGATTGCAGGTTGTACCACCATCACTGTTGTGATTGTTTTTATCTACACAGTATAGTAAACTTTCTACCCCTCATTTTGTCATCAGTCATCCGTCTGACTACTACTACTTCTTCTTTCATTCAGTTTGTCTTGATATGTTTCTAATTTCAGGCTCCTCAGTCGATCACAAACTCAGATCTTTGTTTTGTTTCATTTTTATCATAGTTAGACACGGTCATTATTTTATCAGTATAGTTTCAGCTGAAGAGCACAGATGCATACACTTTTTGCCCACAAAAGACAGTCTTTTCATTAATGAGAAAAGATCTGAGCGTACTGTTGCCAATAACTTAACATTTATTTATGAACCAGTATAATCATTGGCTTTTCTCAACTTTTATGACGTTTTATGAATGAAGATGTTTTATTTTTTTTCATGGGTGTTAATGTAACTTATAGACATTCTAGTCACAGATGTGAATAATTGAATATTTAGGACGAATGGAACAATAAAACATAAACCAAATACCCAACAAATTCTGTTTATTTAACTTACAAATAAGTTTGTAAGTGAAAGACTTGGATCTGCATGAGAAAGTGCATTTACCAACCTGTTCTATTGCACATCCATCCATCCATCCATATTTAGAATCTAAGAACTATATAAAATACCTAGAAACAGTAAAAATCAGCTCTTATCCAGAGCCATTAAAAAAGGAGAATATTCCTGATAAGCCCATTTAGTTCAGGAACTTTAGCTGGCAGACGCATATATCACCTAAATTGATAATGAAAACACAACATTTGACATTAGAACATTACATCATAACAATGAAAACTTCTTTATTTAAACAAAAACATTTGCTTGATAAAATAAATCTATGGCGAATAAAGGCTGTTATTTTGCAAAAGCGCTTTTAATCTGACGAACGGACCTCGTCTGAACGCATATTCTAATTGATCAAATAAAAAAATTTTTAAAAAGTTAGAATTCTGGAAATTCTAATGTTTCCAAGAGGAAACATTTCCAAAAGTTTCCTCTTGGAAATGAAGAATTTCTCGGTTACAGAGGCTCTTGGTTCCCCTCTAGCGGCCACGTTGAGCAGGTGCTCCGCTTCTCAAAGAGATGTGGATGAACCAACCAATTCCAGTCTGTCTTTTCAGATACAGTCAAAAAGGGCTAAATAAATCACGCCGAAGTAAAATGAATGAATACGATCACTAAAGGAAACAATACGGTGGCTGTGAACTAAATAACAGGGTTTTGTCTGGTATTACTGGATCATCTCAGGTTTTCTCCTGTCAACGTGCGAATGGCGCTAGATGGCCCGCTTTGACCCCGCCCACCTGCTGCTGGTTCATCCGGGCTTCCAGCAAAAACCGGACCGCAGGAAACTGGGGTCAAATATCAGCGGACCCAAACAATGGCTAAATCATGAATGGATATTCTCAGAACTCGACTGTGTTCTTGGCATTCCTTTTGAGCGTATTTTGAACAAATGTGCAATAGGATAAAGTACAAATTTCACGGGGAATAAAAAAATGAAACTCTAAATGTCGGTAAAAGTGTTCATATCTGAAGCTTAAGTTTAAAGTCTGGGGCTAGGGAAGGAGTGTTGGGTTTGGAGAGCGGACATTTTTGCCCACGAACACACCTCAAAGGCGCAACATCTTTGACGTTGAGTTCACTCCATAACCGCTCAGCTGCTCGAGTGGAGCGAAAACCATCCTCATACATCTTCACCGGGCGTTTCGGACGCTGCTTTTCTTCAGGGACAATCACTCACTCACAGTTTCAAAATAAAAGCAGAGTTCGGCTTCAGTTTGATTTCAAATAAGAAGGATTTGACTCCTGGTTTTACTGGTTCCTCCATTTCATACTTGAATTAATATATATTTTTCTTAGCTATTCAAAGATTTGGGAAGAAGGCGAACTTGTTTTTGTTTTCAGCACCACTGAGTAAGACCACAACCCCGAAAACGGCTTAACGTTTTTGTGAAGGATTTTATTTTTAAAAGCCGCACCGGAAGTGTTGCTTTGAATACAATAAGCTTTGATACAGATTGTAATTATCATTTTTGAGACCCCCCTCTCTCCCTCCCTAGTTTAGCTCATTTACTCCAGGTGCCTTTTGTGAGGAGGACATCATTGGTGTCCGTAGAGGAAGTGTTTATCAAACTATTCGGGAGGGAAAAGGACGTTCCTTTTTGCTTTTTTTTTTTTTTTTACAGTGAAATTTCTGACAGGTGCACTCTGTTATTCCATGGATTCTAACAAGTCAGCGGCTGTTCCAGACTGGGACAACGAGAAGTCCTCAATGATCCAGAACCCACCTCCACCTTATTACGACAACCCGGGAGTCGCTCCGCCGGGCCAGGCTTGTCCCCAGCAGGTAAGGAAAAAGAGAACAAAAAAGTACTTACTTGACTTTACGACTTTGTCTAGTTTATTTGTACATACATACATATATATATATATATATATATATATATATATATATATATATATATATATATATATATATATATATATAATATATATATATATATATATATATATATATAATAATTGTAAAGTTTAACAGAAATTATCTTTGCTTTACGCATTAATTCCTTACACTTTCTCTGTCGTGTTCCTCCTACTAAGTCTTACATTTTTTTCCTTCTAAATCTCAATATATATATATAAAGTAAACTTATCTATATATATATATATGTTTATATGTATATAAATAGAAATTAGTTTTAAAAACGTTGCTGAAGGAAGATCCTCCCTAAATGATGGATTGCTTAATCGAGACGGTTCGCTGTAACTAAAAAAATATATATATATGGCCTATACTTTTGCTTTCAGTTAACCTGAAAGTGCCCATCCCTTTTTTTAACCGTTTTCATCTCATCTTTCACTGTGGGCAAAAGGCAGCACGGCGCCTGGGCGTGGCCGTGAATGATGACGCAACAACGTGACAAAGCTCAATTAATAAAATAAAATAAGCTTCATAAAATTCAATCTATAGAGATTCCTCTTACTCACAGAAGACAATACTACATGGGAAACATGACATAAATGCAACCTTGTATGAGGAAACATAAAGGAGTTATATATATATATATATATATATATATATATATATATATATATATATATATATATATATATATATATATAATTTCCTTCCTTTTTGAAGGTAAAAGTGTGCGTACACAATGTTCAGTTACCCACTCATCCTTTAGTTTGGTGCCTCGCCCAGCTGGACAAGCAAACAACCATCAACCATGCACACACGCATTGAGCAATTTAGAAACAGGTCCAAATAGTTTAGAAGTCCTGGTTTGTTTGGTTTTTTTTTTTTTTTTGTTTGTTTTTTTGGACCAAGGAGGATCGAACCCACCCACACATGGATGGAGTAAACATAACAAACTCGACACAGAATGAGGCAGAACTTGGTCGCTCCAAGGCAAAGGTTTAAACCGCTGCCTGCTCAGTGGATGGCAAAGTGATTAAATAAATCATAATAAAGACAGATGTTTTCTATCCTTCTTAACATCCAACTTTTTTTTTTATTTGGATCCTCCTCCAGTTACAGAAATGTTCTCTTTCAGATTATTAAATAAAAATAAAATTATATATATATATATATATATATATACATATATATATATATATATATATATATATATATATATATATATATATATATATATATATATATATATATATATAAACCTGGATAGGTGTTTTGTGAAATTTTAAGCAGGATCGGGGGTGATCGTGATAAATAATGACGACACGCTGTTCTGCTAGAATAAATGTGTCCTTTTATTCCGCCACAGATTACAGCAAATTCATTCACACAACAAACAATGCGTAATGCTTAGATTCTTTCAATCTACTCACACAGTGACCTGGAGAGCCGACAGTTTCGGGGCAGAGCTGCAGCAACACGTAATTGGGCGTCCGTACGTAACCCACAGCAGAGACTCTACTCTGACTCTACCGAACAATGGGACTTTTCTGCCTTTTACACTCATTACAAAACAACCTGGAATGAAAGAAGGGAATGGCCATTTCCCCTCTTCCAGACGGGTTTAGCCAATCAGAATGCTACTTCCCTGCCCACAATTTGACCATGAGCTCAGAGCGGGATCAATTAGCCAATCAGAATGCTACTTCCCTGCCCACAATTTGACCATGAGCTCAGAGGGTGATCAATTAGCCAATCAGAATGCTACTTACCTGCCCACAACTTGACCATGAGCTCAGAGCGTGATCAATTAGCCAATCAGAATGCTACTTACCTGCCCACAACTTGACCATGAGCTCAGAGCGTGATCAATTAGCCAATCAGAATGCTACTTCCCTGCCCACAATTTGACCATGAGCTCAGAGCGGGATCAATTAGCCAATCAGAATGCTACTTACCTGCCCACAACTTGACCATGAGCTCAGAGCGTGATCAATTAGCCAATCAGAATGCTACTTACCTGCCCACAACTTGACCATGAGCTCAGAGCGTGATCAATTAGCCAATCAGAATGCTACTTACCTGCCCACAGCTTGACCACGAGCTCAGAGGGTGATCAATTAGCATACAGTACTCAGTCTCCCCTTGTCCATGGGCTCCAGAGGCGACGAGCATTCCTTGATTCAATCAACATACAGCACTCAACTTTGTAAAATGTGTTGAAAATGTATAAAATGAGCATGAAACATACAACTTATCAAAGAACATATAAAATTCTCATATCAATAGGTAATGTGATCGGATTGAAGTTTTTATCCGTTCTGACAATGATTAATTGATTTTTAGTTTAAATCTTAAACTAAAAATCAGGCAAAACATTAAAAAAATGTTTTATGTTTTAACTGTTAAGCAAAAAATAAATACAAAAACAATTTGGGGCTTTTGGCAGCATATAATATGGAGTTTTTTTGGTCAACTGAAATAGTCAATGAGATGTCTCCAAGCAAGTTTATCCAATTGCCGATTTGCAGCTCTTAATTTTGTATTTCGTCTCTGCCATTTGCATACTTCCTTTTACCCCAAGCTTCAGTTTTGTCTGAACATGGAAGATATTTTGTAAATCTAAACATTGCTATGTTCCTTGACTTACTAGTCCTGGAAAGAAACAGGTTTTTTACATCTTCTTTTTCTCACTTTTAAATGAGAAATGTCATATTCTCTGACCTTCACTCCTCTTTAAATGTTTGAAGTATGGGAATATTCCAATTAGGTAAAACCACCACAGCTTTCACCTTTTTCCAGTCATATCTGATCATGGGAATTCCCTAGAGATGCTACTGCATTTTTATGACTGTAAAATATTTCTCTCAAGTTACTCAGGAAAGAAAGTGACAAAACAAATTTTTGATGAATTCTTGTGTAAGAGCTTTCTTTGGTTTCTACTGTGCAATGTTGTAGATTAGAACACTCCTGCTGTCCCAATTTTGCATATTTCATGGAAATCCAATTTGCAAACCAAATAAACAAATGATAATGCATGCATTCAACGTCAATAAGTGGCTCTGACCGGAATTGCCTCCTGGGTAAGTGTGCTGTTTGTGACCACATTTCCTCTTTCCTGTTCTGTACACAACCCAATGAACACACACACCCTCCACCCAACTTACTGTGCTGATTTTTGTCTGTTAGGCAGTCCTGATGTTGAAAAGCATTTATTTATTTTTTGTGTGTTTCATTGATCCGACCCTTGGTTTCAAGAAACTCTGGTCGATGTGTTCGACCACAGTTCTATACTGTTTTTTTATACCTCAGTATAAAATTGTGGTTTTAAACTGTGGTATAAAACCGCAGTTTTATACCGCAATGTTCCCCGAAACATTATGTTTCAGGGAACTACCAACACCGGTAGTTCCCCGAAACATAACAACGAAGAAATGTCCCCCTCCATTGTCATCCAGAAATATGATTCAATTGGATTTTATTCTTGCTGCCTTCAGGGTTATGGGTACCCCCCGCAGCAAGGTGCCGTGTACAACCAGCAGGTATACACACCGGGCCAGCAGTACCCGTTGCAGCCGGGCCAGCAGTACCCGTCGCAGCCGGGCGCCATCGTCATGCAGCCCACCGTGTACGTCACCCAAGGCCCTCTGACCGACCCCGTCAACGACTACATGGGCTACTCCATCTTCACCATGCTCTGCTGCTGCCTGCCGCTTGGAATCGCTGCCCTCATCTACTCCATCTCAGTGAGTTTCTTCCACCTGTAATCGTTTGTTCTCTTTGATCCCTGCCCCGCCGGTGAACCAATATCTGACCGTTTCACCCCAGCAAGAGATGAAACGCCAGGCTAGCCCCCGGTTGCATGTTAGTGCAGGCTTGTGCATGCAAGCTGACGTTCCTGCACTTGTTCAACCACATTATGGCAACAAAAGTGGGATTAGAAGGAGGATTCATTTTGTCTTGTAGGACAACGACAAAAAAACGCTGTCTGCTCTAGCAGGTCCAGTTGATTTTTAATTATTTTTATTAGGGTATTTGTTCAGTGTAGTTAAAACCAGACACCTTTTTAGTGTAAATATTACCAAGCAGAGTCAGTTGGAAGATGGGTGTAAAAGAAAATGCTGTTTTGGCTGTGGCTTTTAACTTCAATGCAACAAAATTGGATTTTCAGTTTAACTGCTAACTTATGATAATTAAATAGAAACCAAAACGTAAAGACGTTCTGAGATTAATTTACTCAATTTACAATACAAGTACGGGGCTTTATTGTAGGGGTGTTACTGTTTTAAAGAAGTTTTTGAAAACCGTGTACCCTTTCTTCTTCTTTTCTCCCAGTTTATGATTTACCACTTTATGTTATGAATTCAGTAAGTTGTTTTGGAGATGTAAGTGGCATTTACTGGAAAATTAGAGTGGAAGTGCACAGAAACCAGAAGGTACTTCTCTAAGGGAGAAGTTTTTTAACTTCTCCATTAGATGACTTTCAAATGTGTTTAAATCTATGTACGTCTTTTGCATCTGCTGAAGGCTTTGTGAAAGTTGAGGGTGTGTCAAAACTGCGAGTTGAACTGTATTTCTCCTGCAGCAGCCAGCTGGCCCCTCTGTGCTGCTGACAGGCCCTTTCCTCAGCAGCAGCAGCAGCAGATGACGGTCCGCATATAGACCTGCAGGCAACAATTTAAAATGCCTGCAGGTCGTTGGGAGTATCTGAGGCGCTCTGTGGGATACTTTGACCTGCAGCAGTCATTGTCCTCAGGTGACTACTTTCTCAGTGGTATTTAAGTAATCATTAATCTAGAGATAAACATGAACTCATATACTAAAACATTGTGATAAGTAATATTTTAACTAGTTTTAACTGGGGGCACTCCTGTTAAAAGTGGACTCTGAAAATGTCGATGCGTATGTGACTTGTAAAAAATACGGCTTTTTCATTTTTATTCAAATTTTTCACCATTTTGTGACAGCTTAATATGAGACAGACAAACGCCCTCGCCTTTCCCTCGTACTCCTACTGCCATCAGCAGGAATACATCGATCCGTCAGGAACAACCAATCACAGCCAGGAGGGACTTAGTGCAGTCAATCATTCTTGTGTATGCTGCTCTCAACATGTTTAAACACAAAAAGCATATCTGACTCAGTAATTCATTAACAAATCAATAACAGCGCATATAAGAATAGCTTCTAGCAACATTAATTAGCTTAACATCACTGGGCTGTTCCTAGCATATTAAACAATTCCAAGCGACTCATAAATACTAAGATACATGAACCATTAGCAAACTTTTATAAATATTTTGGACTGTTTCTTTACTGTTAAGCCAATACTCACTTATGACCCACACTGACAACCGCACCTCTAAAACAACAGTCAGCTCTCAACCAGGCTTAACCACAGTAACGCTTGACTGACAAGGATGGCTGTCAAACAGCATAGCTGGAACGGTTCTAACTCTTCATCACAGGCGCTAAGATAAAGATGTGTGATCCTTGCTCTCTTGTGTTGATTTGGTGACGATTTGGGGGGAAAAAAGAGAACAAAGCCAAATCTGACATAAGTCTACAAGTCACATTCCCATTTAGCTTGAGTGGAGCTTTGTTGAAATCCCCATTATGATTTTTGTGTTGGTGTATTCAGTCAACATCTCATTCCTCAGCGTCGGATGTTTGTAGAGATGCGTTGAGAGTAAGCCCCAAGATGTTTAGACCAATCGTTGAGTCACTTGATTCGAATTCTTCCTTTTCGGGAAAGAGTTTGATAAAGTTATGCTGAGACTCTCACCTGTTTGGGCTTTTTTCACATGTGAAGTCTCAACAACCTTCAAGGTTGGCTTTTCACCCTCAATAAATAAGGGCTTTTTAGTTTTACTGTTCCAAAGCAGACAAAAAAAGTAACGTTGCCCCGGCCGCTCCATGTTGCGAACACAAAAAAGGTTAATCTGAACCTTAACTCTGAGGTATCACTCAGATTAAACTTTTAACCCCCAATGAAGAGTTGTGTTGATGTGATCACATTACTCCACAATGACCTTGTTGCTGGTTAAAGAACATTACAAGTTGAGCAAATAATCTTCAACACAGAGACACCAAAGAAAGAGAATTGCCCAAACCTCGTAGAATAACACTTCCTGTAAAAAGAAAATGTTTGTATTGACTTTAGAAGTCAGTTGAGCATATGTTTCAGAAAACCTCTGGAAATATCAGCTGAAGTAAGAGTTTGGTTTTACTTCAAGAAAAAAAAATGGAAGTCATTTAAAATTACTGGTCACATTTTCACTGTGAAATCCATTTTAAATCGCTTTAGAAACAGATCATCTTTAGATCAAATGGCATGCATGGTTTTTACATTTGCTGATCTATTTACTTACAAATTGCTGCATAACAAGGTAAAATCTTTTCTCCCAACGAGCCCCTACCTCTGCTGACATCACACAAGGCTACAGGTTAGAGCTCGTTGGTGGTTTTTCTTGCTCTTTTTCCCCTCTTTATTTGAACAACTATGAATTAAGTAATACATTTCTGCAGCATATGGCGACATTAAAACGCATGATGGACGTTCATATCACATGTAACCCACAAGGAAAGTTACTTCAAATATACTTGAATAATAATTGGCAGGTAAATGAATTTACTTCAATGACTAATACCAATTTCATATAAATAAAAAGAAAGTTGGGCCGGATCAGAAGACTCTAAATTTAAGGGAGCCTAGGTGTAACAACAGAGGAGAATACACAGTGTCTATAAGAATAGAATTTAATATAATGAACAATTGTGGATCCACATTTACAATTAAACCAAAATTGTACATATTCTATTGAAATTAGAATATGTACTAATAGAAAAATAAGTACAACTACATAGAAAAAACACAACATACACAATAATAACAATGCAAAATCTTACAATACAATTTTATTTTTTATTCAATTGGATCAGTTATTTGGTATTTTAGCCAATTTTCGACGACTTTACTGAGCCAACTGCCGAGCGCGTGCGGTCACTCACCGATGCTCTGACGCTACACGGGCATTTTTTTCCGGCTTCAGCTGCTCACGAGGGAAGCTTTCTGGGATTTAATAAAAACAAATTTACTATTTTGAATGATATATTTTGCGAAATTGTATTGACATTGTTTTCCTTGCCGACTACTAACGGAAGTTACTGTCAGCTCTGAGCTCTCCAGCGTGTCCGACGCGTTCTGAGCAAAATCTGAGCACAGCAGTCAAAGGGGCGGGACAATCAACCTTATTGGCTGATGTGAAATCATACTATGCCAGCTATTGGCTGTTTAATCCGTAACTAAAGGCATATTTCACAGTTTGTAGAGATCTTCAGCACTTTTTATCTGTATTTATGAGCATATTTGTTAACCTATTTTTAACTTTATTACTTTTTAATGCTTATTGTAGAATAAGACATTAAATCAACATCATTAAAATTTTACTTGTGTTTTTAACACTGGGTTACACACGGGCTTTCATTTCCAGAGATCCAGGCAGCTCCATAGTAGACAACACTGTTGCACTCCATCAGCGAACGAGAACGATTTGTCCTTTGTAACTCAAAGTGCATCATCTAGTCTCTCAGAATAATTGGGTAATTACTTATGGCATAATGATGTTTATTGCATCTCTTCTGGGATCTGCAGTCTTATCATCTTACCTGAAGTGCAGCTCGACAGGAAATGTCTTCCTATACAGAACAATTCTTGAGGGAAGACAGGCCGCTGAAATGCTGTTCAGAATGGAAAAACTGGAGTTTGTTTGAAATAAACAGCATTTCGAACAAACTGTGTCTGCTTTTGGGCCCATAAACAAACTTTATTCTCTTGCATGTTCCAAAGAAGAGTTTCCTGTTTTGGTTTATGCGTTCTCCTAAGCGTAGTGATAAATATATTGTTTAGAGTTGATGTAGGCTGCCTTGCAAAAGTATTCGGGAACACGTGAACTTTCCTCCATTTTCGTTGCATCACTGCCACAAACCTCCGTGTCTTTTGTGAGAATCTCTATACAGGACGACTAGTTGCAATGTGCTGCACAAATCTAGCCTAGGAAAGAGTAGCGAGAAGAAAGCCATTACAGATGTTAGCCTGATGGGAGGATGGATGAAGTAGAGATTCACCTCTTAGTACAACAATGATACTGAGATGCAGTCAGATCTGGGATCAGTTGGTTTAAACTTTTTCAGATTTTTGTGTTTATTAAACAGCCCCATATTACTGAAAAAGGTGGAGGAACTACCAGCGCAGAAAGTTAATCACATGAAGAGCCACTTGTCAGCCAAGACTTAATCATTTATGATCTGTTTACATTCATTTGTGAAGACGCAGTAAACATAACGTGGTTTGGGATTTGACCATTAGCCTTTTTTCCTTATTAGGACTCACATCTGAGAATCGAGATAGCAGCAGCTGGAGACGGCAAAAAGATGCTGCAAAACAACCTCTTAATTCCACTGAACCCACAGCGATTAAGATAATGTCCTGAGTGGTTTTCACTCAGGCTCCTTTTTTTTTTTTCTCACTATCCAGCAAAGACAATAAAGTTGTTTTACACTGGAAAAGTAAAATAATGGCAGAAATGTTGGAGGTGGACAAAATCTGCAAAAGAAGCTCAAATTCACTTTCATTTTCTATTTTTTTGGGGGGAGGTTTTAAACTATTGTTTTGAACAAGTCTGATCTCAGATTTGGGTCAGCGCAGTTTGTGTGGAACTGTGTCGACACACAAAGACAAGCAGCG